GACAAAATCAACTTGCAGTTTTTTAGAAGCCACTGATCAGTGAATGTCCCGGTTAGAATTGATCTTCAGTAAACCATGTTTGTCGTAATAGGCAGCTAATGGGATCAGGTGGTCAGGCTCGATCACTTGGTTGACAAATGTCATTGTATCCCAATGGCGTAGATCTATGCTCATGTTGTTGATCACTGGATTGTCTGGTCCAGACTCGATTATTGACAGACTGCCGGTATGTAGCTGGAATATTGCTGAGTGTGGCATTAAACAAACAAACAAACAAAACAAACAAACAAACTCTAGAAGCCACTGAGCTCAGGAGGTAAAGAATTTCAGAATTGCTTTTTTTGTAAGGAGTTGGTTGTGTCTTAAAATTGAAGAAATTTCTTTTTGAACTGGCCCCTTAGATGATGGATGGTAGAGGACAGGTTTGAGGCCAGTATTTGGACAAGGTGTTTTACATACATATAGGTATAACTTCCTCATGAATACACTGGGGGTATTTCCTCATTGGAGGAAGAATAACTGCTGTCATTCTGTCTGTGGTAGTACCTCCACCGAGCATTCAAGGTGTAGGAACATAAACACATTTATATAATAATATGGGGTACATTTCTATAGAGCCAAATTCCATGAATTTTTGTATGCTCATAGTGGTCACTGGATCAGTGTAGAAGTGTTGATTGTATGACCAGTTACAAAGAAACACAAATATTTGTTGATTTTAGAATTATTTTGGATGAATTGATGTTTTTGTAAAAATAACTCTCTGGACAAAAACAAAACTATTTCTATGCCATCAAAAGCTCCTATATTTCATTGTAGGTTTTATTTTTGAAGAGTGTGGGTAATTGGAGTCCAGCAACAAGACTACTTTTTATCTATCCACAGCCAGTCTTGGTGGTAAAAATAGCCAGGTGTAGCTAGCTGCTAGATTTATTCGTTAAACAGAGACAGTTGTTGTGTAATAAAAGATTTCTTGGAGTATGGTTTAGCCTTGAGTTTGTCTATGTCTGTGTGTATGTGTCTGTGTCCATCTCGTCGTAAAATATTAATATTTTAAAAAATATATGCACTAGCCTGATGTCGTTACTAGTGGTGGTCCGATTAATTAAATTAATCAGAGAATGGTCGCAGTGATTAAATGACCAAGCAGTCGATCATATTTCTCACAATTGAACACAAACAATTTTGGAACTACTGTTTTAGTGTTTGAAACACTTGACGATGAACCTATCTATAAAGTTGTCAGGTCCTGAAAGCATGTTTAATGCTTAGAAAACTCACTTCATTTACTGAAAACACATCACTGAATATTTCTTGAAGACTCCAGGAAGTTTATGTTCTAGGTATATTAGTCATCACTTTAAAGTAGCAAGTTGCATCATGTATGCTTAACTGCCGGGAAAACCTGAATAGGAAGATCTGAAAAATGACTTTATTAAACCAATATTCTTTGATGAATGTGATATTTCAACCAATTCCCACCACAAGTTGTTACTAGAACTGTTGAGGGTGTTAGATATTTCTTTCTGTATTTCCCTCATTCAGTTCACTGGTTAGACAGAGCCGATCCCCCTTGTTCAGAAACCTGTATTTTGTATTCTTGTCTGGAGATATCATTATGACGCCACTGGAGGTTTTTTCTGTAGTAACTGACATGCATCAATATCTCAAGCATGTACATTTCCCAGCTGGAACAGGTGCTCCCCCCATGTTAGAGTATACTCCCTGTCTGTTTGACAGACAACCAAACCTTGTGTTTCTCGCTAAACATGATATATGTGTATGATGCTGTAATTTACTGACTATTAAAAGTATCTGAAAGGAGGCAAGCTGTCCGCTAACAAGTCACATATGTTGGTTAACCCTTTTATCTTTCAAACTAGTGCAGAAACTTTGGCACATGGGTACTTGTTTTACTTGTTTTGGGATCGTTGTTTGTACCTAGTGATGATCTGTGTTCTATAATGCGAAAAAAATTATTTTGTGTAAGAAGAATTATATTTCTTTGAAGATGGTGGATGAACGGATTTTGAACATGGTGATGGGATGAGGAGGGTTAAATGAAGAGTGTCAGGAACTATGAGGAAATATGGACAATTTGGTGTAGGAAATTGGTAGAATGCTGTACATCCCATGTGGAATGTTTTAGATACACTAGGGGCTTGAGCTTAGATGTGATTTAGTGTTGTGTGTTTGAAACAAAAACATGCTGATATTGTATTTAACATTGGGATGAAAATCAGGGGACATAGTAACCCAACAAGTGATTGATCAGTACTCCTGTGACATATACCTGGCAACTGACATCTCAACCCTATCAGCTGAATTTTCAACCCCACCAGCCTCCCTAAACCCACCAGCTGACCCCTCAACCCCACCAGTTAACCCCTAAACTCCACTTAACCCCTAAACTCCACTTAACTCTCACCCCAGTAGTTGTCACACCAGCCATTTAACCCTAATGTCCAGCAGCACACCCCTCAATCTTATAGCGTACCTTTACCCCAATAGTTGACCCTTCAACCCCAGCAGCTGACCCTTCACCCCCACCAGTTAACCCCTAAACTCCACTTAACTCTCACCCCAGTAGTTGTCACACCAGCCATTTAACCCTAATGTCCAGCAGCACACCCCTCAATCTTACAGCGTACCCTCTACCCCAATAGTTGACCCTTCAACCCCAGCAGCTGACCCTTCACCCCCACCAGTTAACCTCTCCACTTAACTCTCACCCCAGTAGTTTTCACACCAGCCATTTAACCCTAATGTCCAGCAGCACACCCCTCAATCTTACAGCGTACCCTCTACCCCAATAGCTGACCCTTCAACCCCAGCAGCTGACCCTTCACCCCCACCAGTTAACCCCTAAACTCCACTTAACTCTCACCCCAGTAGTTTTCACTCCAGCCATTTAAACCCAAATGTCCAGCAGCACACCCCTCAATCTTACAGCATACCCTCTACCCCACCAGTTGACCCCTCAACCCCAGCAGCTGACCCTTCACCCCCACCAGTTGACCCCTCAACCCCAGGGGCTCATCCCCAGGGACTCTTCCCACCCTACCTGTACCCACCTACGGAATCTAACCCTGTCCACAGCAGAACTCATTCAGCCCCCAACTACAGGTCTTCCTACTACCCAGCAGTTCCCCAGCACCTCTCCTGTGTGTGGCAGATGTTCAGGAAGTGATGCTGTAGATGTTGTTCTCATCACAGACACATCTGCGTGTATATAGAGCTCACAGACTGTCCAGTGAGGCTGGGAGCAGCCTTGGCCTCAGGGGAGAGGGCTGAGCATAGGCTGGGTCGCCTTCCAGGTTACTTCTGTTTACATACAGCCTGATATAGCATGCTCTAGGGTCGGATTCAATATGCAGCCTTCAGCAGCTAGTCTCCTCGTATCCTTCATCCTTGGAGTATTGACATCATCAGCAGGTCTCCTTGCATCAGTAATATCCATGGTATGAACATAGAATAACAGAGCCTGACGAGTGTGCAGCTATGTACTTCATAAATATAGAAAAGAAAACTTTTTTGTGTATTAATTCTTTCATATACGACTGAACATAAACCTTGTGTTAATGATTGGTTTGCAAGAACAAAACAACATATTCCAAGAAATAATGTCTAGTTTTTCAAGAACTTATCCCTCGGAATAGACTTCAGTGGCCAAATTGGAATGATACTGGAATCAATAGTGAAATGCCATACTGTTTATAGGTCTGAATGACAGGATCAGGAACTATCTTAAGCAAAGTAAATTATTGATGATATCTAATAATATAACCTAGTTCCACATCCACTAGATCAAAAGAAAACTGTATTTAGATGAGAGAAACTAACTTCAACTGTTGTTGATGGTGTGTCACACTGATGCTTGAACAAATGTACCAAACATAATCACCATATATGTATGGTTGATAGGAACTACATTTACAATGAACTAAACTGTGTTGTCTCTTAGGGGCGGTGAGGTAGCCCAGTGGTTAAAGCATTCGATTGTCACGCCGATGACCCGGGTTCAATTCACATGGGTACAATGTGTGAAGCCCATTTCTGGTGTTCCCTGCCATGATATTGCTCGATTATTGCTAAAATGCGGCGCAAAACTAAACTCAGTCAGTGTTGTCTGTTAGATTTTTGTTATAACGGTAGTTTACTGAAGGCACTTTACCCCCGGACAATTTTCTAGTTGACTGTGACAGTGACTGCGGCTATATCGCATTTCGGTATTATGTGCATCATCCCCCACTAGTGCTGGTATTGGCATACAACAAGTGAAATGATACATCATGATACTGAAATTTTAGTCATGACGATATATTGCCAACGTATTGTGCACTTAAGCTGCGATACTATACGAATACCGATATAAGGGTGGCAATACAATAGGTGTCATGATAGTAAAATCCTTAATTCTAACACCAACTATTAAACGCCTAAAGGTCAAAACAAAACCAATTTTAAAGTATTTTGTCAAATTCCGCCAGCGTTGTTCAATGTTCATTCGGAAACGAGATAATTAAGTTTATACACAGACTTTGTGAATGTTAATAACATGTGAGCTCTATGTCTGACACAGTTCTTGATGCAAGAATTTCCGAGAAAACATTTACTTATGAAGGGAAAATAAGTAAGCATATATTTTAATCAACAAAAGTAAGTCTTTTTTCTGGACTGATATTGCGATTCGGCAATATTCAAAGTTAAACATAGATGTATCGTGGCCGATTTCATGTGTCGTATCGGTATATACAATAATGTAAAACTTTGTATCGATTCACTGTACTGGGCGGCCCATGGATCAATGCATCGATGCGTATCGATGAATCGTCACACCACTAACTTTCACCCATAGCTTTCATCCCCAAACTATTTGATCGTCCATGGAATGTATCAACGTCATGAAATTAATATGTTGTCTGCAATTAATAAGGGTGTCATGCAATGAATTTGACTCAACTTGTTTTTTTGTTAATGATTTCAAATTTTGGTTCCAGGAGAGAGTTCATGCAAAGGACCCGCCACATGTGTACCTGGACAAGCTACGGACATACCTTGACCCACGAGCCACACGTAGCTCCAGAGTAAGTGACCTTGACCTTCATGCTTCCTTGTCATTTTACATCTGGATGTAGCAGCATCAGCAGCAGCTAATGTCAGTGTCTCAACTTGTCAGTATTTGTTTTAGCCTATCTACATATTGTACGTCAAGTCCTTAGCATATAGTCTCCTATTCATAGGGCACATTTCCATCCATGCAATTAGTAATGCCGGATACACTCTTTCAGAGACATTTTTTTTTATCGTTTAGGATGTAATTAAGTTCAAATGTTGCTCACAGTGATCTGCAGATGTGTGACTTGCTGATGTCATTCAGACTGTATTAATCAGCCGATTGGAAATTTAGATTCTTGGTGATGAAAATTATGTCCGTTTCTGATGTGAGGATTATTTTCTTGATATTTTTTTAAGTACCTCCTAAAAGTGCCTGATCCAAACTATTTTGAGTAATTTTGATAAAAGTTGATTTTCCCAATGCAGATTTACAGAATGAAAATGTTTGGATTTTTTTTCGAAATTTATTAGGGTTTGTGTTTATAATATTTTCTGTCAGTTTAACGATAGGGATTCTTGTAAAAAAAAATGAACGAATGGTGTGTGATAAATCAGATTCTACATCCGGCAAAACGTCTTAAGACTCCTCACTGTACCATATGCTTATTGAATCGCTGGGCAGTGTGCTTAGCCTGTGGCTGTTCAACCAGCAAAATTCCCTGCAGCTTAATCCTGTTATTTTCAGCTCCAGTGATAGGTATCGGCTAATTCTGATATGTAATAACGAACATGTTTATTCCATGGCCATTCCATATATACAACTCGCCATTGATGAACATGTTCAGAGCAATAGGCATTATTGAGCCAAATGTTTCGAAGTCTATGGAAAAAAACAAGTAAAGAACTTTATAATGCTACCATTTGCTACAGTTGATTGATATCCTAGGTTGAGGTTCCGGTACTTTGGTCTCAGAATCTAGATCAAATCAGTTAATGCATGACTGTTGTATAAATTCATATGTTTAATATTGATACATTTTTGCCCAATTTACAGAAGTGTCCTGTCATTAAGTGTCATTAAGTACACATGAATGCATGTGAGTTTAGCGATAGATAGCCAACATGTCACGTGATGCCAGGTTACAGCACTGCATTGAGAAGTATACTAGTCTCGTGCTACTGCTAGCGTTGTTGTGACAGTTACTGCACTGCTGTAACTCAACTTGACCACGCCCAGTTTTTCCACGACTTGCGTGTACACATGACCTTTGCGCTACTACATGACTAAATGTGTTTGTCCCTTGTCCTTTTCAGCAGCGAATGTGTATCGCTCTCCACACCATGGTAACGTTCCCTCAGTGTACAGAAAGTGTACGTGATAAGTTGTTACATCACAATCTGGATCATCCGTATATTTACAAGGCTTTCAGTGTAGGGAAGAATGGTGGCTCACGGATTGGTACACCCATCGAAGTCCTGTCCCAGTCTCCCTGCCCCCTAGCCCCCGTCTCTCTACGCCCCAGCCCTAGTCTCTCTGATCCCCCAGCCCGAGTCTCTCTGACCCCAAGCCCCAGTCTCTCTGACCCCCCAGCCCCAGCCCCTGTCTCTCCGACCCCCCAGATCCAGTCTTGTCCCACCCATCCAGGGAACTCTCTCTCTTCTCAATATTCCCCTATCTTCCTACCCTCCAGCTCTTGTTCTGGCCCCACTACCTAGATTGTAATGCAAAACATTTACTAAAATACATATACATGTGCTTTTCAGGTAATGTTGTTTTCTTAATTCTAAAATACAGAATGGTTGTCAAGTATTATTATTAAAAATCTATTCCTCCAAGAACGCTTTGGTATCCAGGCAAACAGGCATTGATTGCATTTGCAGTGATTAATGACACTGATTAGGAGAGTCTATGAAACAAAGGATAATCTATTTCTAGCCAGGCAGCTGTTATTTTGCAGATTTAGGCTGTTGATTGTCATGTTAGTGCACATGTCGCTTCTACATCTGTGCAGATAAGGACATCTTGACCTAGAAGTTAGCAATAGGTACATACCTTGCCACTAACTTTAAATGTACCGTTTCCATGAAACCAGATTCATAGAGATAATGTGTTTTGCTAATTATGATTTCAAATTAAGATGGGAAATAATACTGAAAAAGACCATTGAACTCACGAAAGAAGGATGGTTTAAATGATAAAATTTGATAACTTCAGTGAAGTTATCTGAATGATCTTTCATGAGTAACATCAAACAAATAAAATGAATATTTAAACTTGTAAACTTACAGAAAACTTGTAAACTTACAGAATATAGGATTCAGCATGTTTAGCTCTATGTATCAGTCTGTGACTTTAGCCACATCCGAGTGTATATAGTATATATATATAGCTTGAGTATTCTTGCATTTTCTTAAGTCTTGTCAGATCAGTTTATCCAGCCACAAACTTAAACTAAAATCTAAAAATGCCAGATACCAGCTCGGGCTTATAGGTTAAAGGGTTTCTGGTACAGACTTGTGGCATCCATTTTGAATTGCTGGTTTACAAGGTTTTGAATTCAAAATATCAACAGTTTAAGATAAAAACAACTTGTAATCAGGTATTAGTTTGAGTGGCGAAATGGCCAAGACGTGTCAGGAGAACAAGTCATTTGATTTGTGGAGCATGTTAATTCCTTGATGATAAGGAAAATGCATTCTTGCTCTTGACACCAAGAACTCATCTTCCCTCTCCAAGAGTATACCGACCATCCCCTCTTCAGTGAGTTTCTCAAGCCCCCTTCCCCTCCACATGAGTAGAACATGCCCCTCCTCCGTGAGCTGCCATCCCCTCCCCAGGCATGCAAGCATGAGACTCACACCCTCAGACAGAGTGAGACAGCGTATAACAGCAAATATATCCTCCAATGTGTTCCACTTGTTTTCGTAGCCTGAGGAAAAGCTTGAATTTTTCGTTGCTTATTTTTGTGTAGTGATCTTCTTTGTTCTAGCGTGGAGACTCCATATTGGCCTTACTGCCGTGTTGTGATCTTGGTCATGTGACCTGTGCACTGATGCATTCTGGGAGTTAGCACTCCATGTTGTCATTCTCACAATGTTGGTGTAATCATTTAATATGTTTCTCTCCTCTGCGTCTACCAAAGATGAATGGTGCATTCGGCATCAACTGAAACATGGCAATCTTGGCGTCTAAGTGACAAATTGCCAAAATTGATTTCCATGTTTCCATACATAGAAATATTTGTCTGGGGTCTTGTAATCTCTGTATTTTCTCTATCATTTTGTTCAGTGGTTGTCCTATCCACATTCTAATAGTAATGTCACAGTTTCATGATGAGGACTGTGTACATGTTGAGGTATTGTGTTGAAGAAGGAATATTCCTTGCTTATTATGTCATGCTAAACAGGACAAAACAAGAACATCTTCAGCTGTGAAATATTTTGTTTTCTGTAAAACTATTTTTTAAGGTTTATTGACACATTATGTCATTAATTGGTTTACATGGTTACTTGAATGTTTTATCAGTTATTCCTTTCTATATTTTTAGAAAGTTTTTTTGAGACTTAATGTAATTTAGTTCCCATGGTTACTTGAATGTTTTATCTGTTATTCCTTTCTATATAATGGCTATATTGTGACAAATCTTTCACAAACTTCATCTTGTTGTAACCTATATTTGTCACATATTTATGCATGTAGATTTGATTAATATTTGATGAATTTAAAACATATGTTTATTATCTGTTCAATATCATCAATGTTATGATCCTGGATCAAATTTAAAAAAGAGACTACTTTACATAAGTAGCATTTTATGAAAGCTGTGGAATGATTACACCTTTGTAGAGCAATACTGTTGATCACTGGATTGTCTGGTCCAGACTATTTACAGACTGCCCCCATATAGCAGTAATATTGCTGAGTGCGGCATTAAACAACAAACAAACAAATGTTGAGGAATAATCATCTTTGTATTTGTGATGAGGTAAATTCTACCTTGTTTAGTTTATCTGTGTATTCACTTCAGACTTAGGTTTGTCTTGTACAGATTCTACAAGAAGGAACCTGATGATCCGGGGTTAGAATTGATCTTCAGTAATCCATGCTTGTCGTAAGAGGCGATTAACGGAATCAGGTTGTCAGGCTCGCTGACTTGGTTGACACATGTCATGGTATCCCGAATTGCGTAGATAGGTGCCCATGCAGTAGATCACTGGATTGTTTGGTCCAGACGCAATTATTTACAGACCGCCGCCATTTACCTGGAATATTGCTGAGTGCAGTGTAAAGGTAATCTCACACACTCACTCACTACAGGGGCGGTGGGTTAGCCTGGTGGTTAAAGCGTTCGCTCGTCACGCCGAAAACCAGGGTTCGAATCCCCACATGGGCACAATGTGTGAAGCCCATTTCTGGTGTCCCCCGCCTTTATATTGCTGGAATATTGCTAAAAGCGGCGTAAAACCATACTTACTCACTCACTCACTTACTCACTACAATAAGGACCAAATTTAACATCCAACCTAATAGCCAAACAGGAAGTGTTTCCTTACGTTTTTTCATTCATCTGTACAGCGGTCTGACACGCACTATACTTAGTGCAGCAGGGTGTGTAACAGGGAGATTTTGTCATTGTCGTTAAGTAACACACCCATTTTTTCTTTACAACACTCCTACAAAAGGCCATTGTCACTTTGTGTGAAATTAGACGCAATTTGAAACCATTTAGTCAATATATGTCAGCTTTAGGGATTGTAACTTTGAATATATCAAGTTATTTTAGACTCCAATTTAAAGTCGTCTACTGTGGTTGTGAAAAAAGGGGTCGTTGGGTGTAGAACTATTTCCTTTGACAGGTTGATGAAAGAAGTGTCATTATTTCGTGTTGTATTGTTATGCTGAGATATTGTGTAGAGTTATAACCTCTGAAAAGGGGATTGGTTTGGGGCCAAACTATTTTTTTAACCAACACAGTTTTTTCACTATAATGTTTTATGTGATCATTTTTTCACTTCTTGATGATAAGATTTTGTTCTGATAGTAAAGTATCAATGGTATGTCCTTTTTTTCCTCCACAATTCAAAAAAAGAAAGAACTGGAACCTGTTCTACCTAAAATACTTGGTTTGGATAAGGATATACCTGGCCCATACATTTATCTTTCCAGTTAATTAAACCTAGATTACCAGTAGATATACATTGTTATTTACTCCCTGAGTAAGTTATCTATATAGTCAATGGATAAATAAAAAATGTTTATCATGTGTCTCCAAATCAAGATGGCAGACCAACTTCACATTTGGCCTTTACAGAGACAGAAAAGACACCGACTAGTAGTTCAGCTTAAGGAAGTTCCAAATCTGAGTTCCCTCTGCCTTTACAAGGATTGAATGGGTGTTGAATGTGATCAATTAGGCCAGTTAATGGCCATCTAATGGAATGGCTGTAGTTCTCTGCATTGTTGTGACTTAACAGTTACATCTGTCCACAGCTCCTGTCTGTTTGAAATGTCAATGGCCATCAGTATGTGGAGAGGTCTGCTTCATAGTGTGGCCATGTCCTGTGGCTGTGGTGTCAAGTGCTTATTGCCTGTTTCACCACTTGTGCCAAGGTCTGGCTGCAAATAACTGGACCAGTGCTCAAGTAGAATGATTTCCATTCACCTCACTGCAGCCTACATGTGCTGTTTGTTTGAGGAAGATGTTGGTTTGTTTTCTTTTCGGGTTAGAAATACTTCACAGTAACTTACGCTGGTTCTAAGGGGTGACTTGATGGATCAGGGCCCCATTTCACAAAGCTCTCGTAGAGCTACGACAATCGTAAGTCAGTGTTACAGTATAGGAGATAGGAATGCTACGAGGAAAGTTAAGAGATCTTAGGCTTACAAGAGCTTATGACTATCGTAAGTCAGTGTTACAGTATGGGAGATAAGAATGCTAAGAGGAAAGTTACGAGATCTTAGGCTTACAAGAGCTTATGACTATCGTAAGTCAGTGTTACCCTATAGGAGATAAGAAATGCTAAGAGGAAAGTTTACGAGATCTTAGGCTTACGAGAGCTTATGACTATCGTAAGTCAGTGTTACAGTATGGGAGATAAGAATGCTAAGAGGAAAGTTACGAGATCTTAGGCTTACAAGAGCTTATGACTATCGTAAGTCAGTGTTACCCTATAGGAGATAAGAATGCTAAGAGGAAAGTTACGAGATCTTAGGCTTACAAGAGCTTATGACAATCATAAGTCAGTGTTACCCTATAGGAGATAAGAATGCTAAGAGGAAAGTTACGAGATCTCTTAGGCTTACGAGAGCTTTATGAAACGGGTCCAATCAGCCAGGCTTGATAATGTCGGTGATTGTGTGTCATAATACCCCAGTTGTTGAATTGTTGTTCACAATATTTTTCATTGGATTGTCTGGTCCAGACCCACCACCATCGTAACAGCTGAACTATTGCTGAATGCCACATGAACCATCAAAATCTCTCTCTGCAACAAAGTAGATGGTCCTATCTTGTCAAAATACAAAGTTGTTTTTAAAAAAAAGTAACAAGTAATGTTATGTTAAAAAGTGGATTTTACTTTGCCGCCAATAACTCATGAACCCAATCTTTATAATGAGCAGGGTTGTAGTAAAAGGCGACTAACGGGATTGGGTGGTTAGCCTCGCTGACTTGGTTGGCACATGTCATCGATTCCCAATTGCGCAGATCGATGCTCATGCTGTTGATCAATCACTGGATTGTCTGGTCCAGACTCGATTATTTACAGACCGCGACCATGTAGCTGGAATATTGCTGAGTAAAACTAAACTCACTCACTCACTATAATGAGCAGGTTTTTTTTTATCAGATTAGTCTGTACTGGGTTACACGGTAGAGTCATGGCTGTCTACAAAACATATATCATGTCTATCTCACCAGCTGCTCAATCCCCATGTCATCAATCCTCACCACCATAGCATCCATATGTTAGGTGTATATCCCTGGGGCGGTGGGGTAGCCTAGTGGTTAAAGCGTTGGCCCCTCACGCCGAAGACCCGGGTTCGAATCCCCACATGGGTACAATTTGTGAAGCCCATTTCTGGTGTCCCCCGCCGTGATGTTGCTGGAATATTGCTTAAAGCGGCGTAAAACCAAAATTCAGTCAGTCAGTATATCCCTGCTTGGCCATTGTCCTCTTGGTTCAAGCCCAAGGAACTCATTCATGTAGGGGAGATAACTCTGCTGCTTTCTAGTCATTAACACTTAGTACCTTACGATCCTAAATTAAAACCGTGTGCAACCCTACACCTTTCTGCTAGATTATTTGAATGACAGATTTAAAAATGGTCAATTAAATTGAAGTGTGATGCTTTCTCTGAAACCTTAACACATTTTGCTGCCAATTTTAAGTAGAATATTGCTTCTGTAGTACTTGCTCCAAATTCCCAAAGTTTGATATGATGTAGTTGAAGATGCTAACCTTATTTTCATTATTTACTGTCATGAATAATAATTTCATGAAAAAGCATTTTATTCTAATGATAATTTATATTGTATGTATGTTGTTCATTTTTCAAACCCTGTGGGGGTTCCAGGTTAAAATAATAAGTCCTCGGAAACCGTGCTGATTAGCGTCATCATACCAGGACGGTGTGGATAGTTTGCTCACACTATCAACCACTGGTTTGTCTGGTCCAAACTCAAGTATTTACATCCCATTGTCAAGTAGCTTAAATAATGCTGAGCATATAACCACAATCATTTTTCAAGTCATTTCACTTTGAAATGTTCAACTCTCTTATTGTTTTTAAGAACGTGTTTTCGATGTATGATTTTCATCATATATCTTATCTTCTTGCTTTTAATGCTTCTGTTTCTATTCATTTGCTGCCCATATAGATTCCTGTGCCTCCGTATCTAGTGAGTACACAGGATTTGCACATATCTCTTCATGTTGTCAGTATTTATCAATTTTACCATATCTTAGTGTCATTGTGCCATCTTAGCAGCATTAAATAGCCGCCTAAGGCCTTGCAATTTGCTCTACAGAGTTGCATCCCTTGGTCGTGCCAGAATTCGAAGGTCTTTGGTTGGAATAACATTGCTGTTTCATGATATGTCTAGGTTTGTCAGCGCCAATGGTATGGGGTATGAGTTTCTGCATAGTGATAAATGCCTAAGACTTGTATCACTTTGAGTTTTCTGTGGACTAGTGGTGGTCCGATTAATTGAAATAATCGAAGATTGGTCGTAGTGACTAAACGACCAAGCAATCGATCATAATTTCTCATAATTGAACACAAACAGTTCTGGAACACTTGTTTTCATTAACAATATTTTTCACATGGTTGGTTTTGTCTGTTACATTTCGTAAGCACTACAAGCTCGTTTCAAGTCATGATTGAATTTATCTTCCAAGAAATTTATGTTCCTTACATACTTGTCATCCTTTAAAGATGTGAAATTTTGCCAAAACCCCCAGAAGAACTACATTTTTCCCCTTATTTTAATGTGCATTAACAAATTTCATAAATGACGCTAGCCAATTATATTCGATGATTGATCGATTGTAAATAACCAATCATCAATTATGAGATTTAACCAATTCCCAACACTACTGTGGACACTTGCTGACATACCATGATATATGAATTGCTGTTTTAACAGTATTGAACCCAACTTGACCTGCAGTCATAATATGTTGTCATCTTGATAGTGATCACTGACTGTCGTGCCATCTTGATATCGTTACATGTTGTTATCTTGATCATTTTGTGTTGTAATCTTGATGTCACTACGTGTTGTCATCTTAATATTTTACGTGTTGTGTCATCTTGATATCATTACATGTTGTCATCTTGATGTCTTTATGTGTTGTGTCATCATCTGTGTTTTGTTAGTGTACCAGAGTTTGGTTGTCGTCCTGTGTATGCATGGTCAGTGTTTAGAGTCCATCATCTTCCAGTACAAGTCATTGACTTTGGGAGCCTTCAGATGCAAGAGTTTATGAAATATAGACTGCACTGGTGGTTTCAGGAGAAACGATTTCAGATAGTCTGTCAGTGTGTGTTTGCATGAACATATTTTTCGACATTCGTTTCAAGAGATTTGATTTTGTCTATACATGTCCTGTTAACTCATGAGCAATGACACATCATCCATTTCACTCCTTGGCATCGACATTAAGACATTGGCTTGCTACAACAAAGATTATGATATTATCGTCCTTAATTTATCATACAAAAGGGTCATAACTTAGTAGTTTTTATTAAATCCGGCTAAAGGGACATAACTCTGAAGATTGGACAATTTTTTTAAAGGGACACAACTCTCCTCTCACACCTATGCCTTTCAAATTCCTACCACATACAGTGACAATGTGTGCTTTTGTCATGCTATTGTTGGACGTGTTGGGCGAGCTGGCTAAGGCTCCAGGCTAGTGATCCAGCGAGCATGAGGTGCCGGGATCGAGCCCACCTGTGACCGGGTGTAAAAACTATGGGGTCAACTTTGTGTGCAGACTCTTTCAGTGTTGTCACAATCCCTAGTGTACAGTACACAACCCTGTGCACTTAAAAGAACCCACGGATCCCTTGGTATATGTCCAGATGGTGGCCACATGAATACGTGCAAACACCTAGTTGTGGGTACAGCAACATGCAGTAAACTTGGACAAAGTACTGTGACTATGTGTCCCAGTCCACCCAGCTGTGAATGGGTACCTCGTTAGGATGAGAAAGCCGCAATAACTCGGTTCGCCTTGTGGCAGCAAGAGTTGTATGATCCCCAGGGAGCTGAGATTGATAATACGATGTGCAGTTGAGATTAACATCCAATGATCGAGGGGAAAAAATACCAGTGTCTTGAGCATGCACTAGTGCGTGGATATGTGCGCTATATAAATATCCAATAATAATAATAATAGAGTCATGCTGTATCAGCACTGATTGAGAGAAATTGAAACAAGCTATTCAGGAGTTGACAAAATTTACTCAAGAGAGCTTCACTGACACAACCCTGTCAATGAATCTATGAATATTTTTATTCTAAATTGTATCTGAAATTTTGTAATTCCAGTTTTGGTACATCCATCTCAAGGGAAATATTTCGTTGCTATTTGATCATCTATTTTCTGCTGACTTTCGCCTGTGCCTATCAGAACCGTAATCTGTGTTGCATCAAGGCAGCTGATCCTGTTGTGAAGGAGGAAGAGGAACAGACCATTCTCTGAAGAAAATCTTAGTTCCTAGAGTGAAAAATAATCAAGTATTCATTGAAATTTCCATGTTGTTTATGCACTGGCAGCAGGAATCAATATTGAGTGTTCTGCAGACTGTTACTACAGCTGGGGTTGCCAGAATCATATTGTTGTATTTTACGTTTCGATGGGTGAAGATATGTTCACCAAATATGGTGAATTTGTGTGGATTAGAATTATACATTTTCGTGCATAGCAGGTTTAAAAAATATGTGGGTTGTTCCAAGGTCTTGAGGGTCTGCTGTGGTGAATAGAGGTCAGGATTAGATCGGATTGTCGGGATCGTAAACGTGCAATTGTGTTTCCTGGTACCCAGATGTCGTAAATCGTTGAGTATCAAATAGTTGATCTAGGGAAGATTTGTCTTCATGGGTCCATTATTTAGAAGCTGCCAACTTAGAGTTGGAATATTGCTGAGTGAGACTGAAACAACAAGCAAAACTTTCACTGTTTCTCATCCATACTTGTTACTCTTTCATTCTCATAACGGTGTCACCGCCTCTGTGGTGTAGTGGTTAGAGCGTCCGCCCGGAGAGCGGAAGGTCGGGTTCGATCCCTGACCGTGTCATACCAAAAGACGTTAAAATAGGGTACTTGTTGGTCCCTGCCTGGCTCTCGGCATTAATGGGTACAACAAGGACTGGTCAGCTCAGAGTCAGTATAATGTGTCTGAGTGGGGTATTCATGCTTCACTGCGGCATGGTATCTCAGTGGGCTAGCACTATAAAACCAGCTTCAGTCTGGGCTAGTACAAGCAGCCGCACATACACATACACACGCATGCACGTCGTCATATGAGCAAAATATTCTCAAGCACGACGTTAAACCCAATTCCACCACCACCACCATAACAGTGTCAAACAACAAACAAACCTGGGCTGTCTCGTTCTCTCAAACTGACTCTCAGGCGGTGGGGTAGCCTAATAGTGAAAGCATTCGCTACTCACTCCAAAGACCCAGGATCGATTCCCCACATGGGTACAATGTATGAAACCCATTTCTGATCTCCCCTGTTGTGATATTGCTGGAATGTTGCTAAAAGCAGAGTAAAACTCAACTCACTCACTCATACTCATCCAGATAAAAAAAGTCATTTTTAACCTCAAACCATCCAGTCCAGTTCATTCACCCTGTTCATTTCATACTTATCCAGTATTTCACCCTGTTCATTTCATACTTATCCAGTATTTCACCCTGTTCATTTCATACTTATCCAGTATTTCACCCTGTTCATTTCATACTTATCCAGTATTTCACCCTGTTCATTTCATACTTATCCAGTATTTCACCCTGTTCATTTCATACTTATCCAGTATTTCACCCTGTTCATTTCATACTTATCCAGTATTTCATTCTGTTCTATTTTCTCTCTCTCAAACTATGGTTAGAATTTAATTTTCATTCTCACAAGTCTAAAAATTATTGTGTTTCCATTTACATATTAGTGAAAGTTTTGTAAGCCACAAGGAAAAATCACGTTAATTTTTCCTGCAGACTTACCTTAATTTTGACCCTGCTCTTATTCAGTGTCATACTTGTGAAGATCCAGGTTAGATTGATCTTCAGTAACCAATGCTTGTCGTAAGAGGCAACTAACGGGATCACGTGGTCAGGCTTGCTGACTTGGTTGACACGTCATTGTATCCCAATTGCACAGATTGAAGCTCATGCTGATGATTACTGGATTGTCTGGTCCAGACTTGATTATTTACAGACCGCCACCATATGGCTGGAATATTGCGGAGTGCGGCATAAAACTAAACTCACTCACTCACTATCACTTTCATGCTCAGTCACTCTTTCATTCTCTGTTTTGTTCTCTCTGTTATTTACTGTCTCCTAGGCAGGAGAATTCACAAGGCAAACCCTTGAACCTCTTCACAGTCCTGTACAGACAGGCTGTCGACTGAGGCACATCTGGAACAAAGATTTGTTTTCTCCTGCCTGAATGTTATCTGCCTTGTTTTATTGAGAAAACTCCCCACCCAATGGGATGTGAGATGTTCCTTCTACAAACACATGATCTAGAGAAAGAATTGGTCTTGAGACTTGAGTTCATGCTGGTGTATGGAGGTGTAGGATTGAGAGTTGGGCAGTATTTGATCTGGTCTGAAGGGGATAGAGTTTGTCTGTCTGTCAGAGATGGCAGCGATTGCTGGGATCTGATGATGAGGGAGTTGAGATGTGGAGGGGGGGAGAGGAGGGGTTGAGTTGGGAATGGATGGGAGGGGGATCTGGTTTAAATGAGGGTGAATGTTTTGGGGTCTAGAATGTTTAGGGGAACAAAGTGGGGAGGGGAAGTTAGTTGTTTTAAGAACTGGCTGTAGTGTAGATGAGGTGTTGTCAGGGAGGTGAGGTGAAGGAAGGGGGTTTTATTCTGGAAGTGAAATGTGACAGTGTTATTAACATGAGGGTGTTACGGAGGAGATGGGGAGGTCAGGGATAGGGTTTAGTTGAGGGGTTGTGGTCAGGGAAGGTTAGGTGAGGTGAAGGAAGGGGGTTTTATTCTGGAAGTGAAATGTGACAGTGTTATTAACATGAAGGTGTTACGGAGGAGATGGGGAGGTCAGGGATAGGGTTCAGGTGAGGGGTTGTGGTCAGGGAAGGTTAGGTGAAGTAAGGGGGTTTTATTGGGGAGGTAAAGTGTGATAAAGCTGAAGTTTTCTGAAGGGATTCAGATGACAGGGTTGTTTTCACAAAGATGTGATGGGCGTGAAGGTGAGATGTTACAAGGACTATGAGGCCATGTTACAAGAACGATGAGGTGTGGGGACATGTGATGTGTTGTTATGGTGGGGGTGTTATGGGGGTGTTATGAAGGAGGATGTGTGAGGGTGGGGTGGAGGTGTTATGAAGGAGGTGAGGGTGGGTGTTATGAGACATGTGGTGTGGGACATGTGATGTGTTGTTGTGGTGGGGTGGGGGTGTTATGAAGGAGGTGAGGGGTGGAGGTGTTATGAGAACGATGAGGTGTGGGGACATGTGGCGTGTTGTTATGGTGGGGTGGGGGGTGTTATATGAAGGAGGTGAGGGGTGGAGGTGTTATGTGGAGAACGATGAGGTGTGTGGACATGTGATAGAGAAGGAAAGGATGAGGTGTGGGGACATGTTGTTATGGTGGGGTGGAGGTGTTATGAGAACGATGGGGGACATGGGATGTTGTTATGGTGGGGTGGGGGTGTTATAGAAGGAGGTGAGGGTGGAGGTGTTATGAGATGAGGTGTGGGGACATGGGATGTGTTGTTATGGTGGGGTGGGGGTGTTATGAAGGAGGTGAGGGGTGGAGGTGTTATGGAAAGGATGAGGTGTGGGGACATGTGATGTGTTGTTATGGTGGGGTGGGGGTGTTATGAAGGAGGTGAGGGTGGAGGTGTTATGAGAACGATGAGGTGTGGGGACATGTGATGTGTTGTATATATGGTGGGGGTGTTATGGGAGGTTATGAAGGAGGTGAGGGATGGAGGTGTTATGGGAGGGATGAGGTGTGGGGACATGTGGAGGTGTTGTTATGGTGGGGTGGGGGGTTATGAAGGAGGTGAGGGGTGGAGGTGTTATGAGAAGCGATGAGGTGTGGGGACATGTGACATGGTTGTTATGGTGGGGTGGGGGTGTTATGAAGGAGGTGAGGGGGTGGAGGTGTTATGAGAACGATGAGGTGTGGTGGGGAGACATGTGACGTGGGGTTTAATGGGGGTGTTGTGGGGGTGTGTATGAAGGAGGTGAGGGGTGGAGGTGTTATGAGAACGATGAGGTGTGGGGACACATGTGATGTGTTGTTATGGTGGGGGGTGTTATGAAGGAGGTGAGGGTGGAGGTGTTATGTTATAGAAGGAGATGAGGTGTGGGGACATGTGGCGGTGTTGTTATGGTGGGGTGGGGGTGTTATGAAGGAGGTGAGGGGTGGAGGTGTTATGAGAACGATGAGGTGTGGGGACATGTGATGTGTTGTTATGGTGGGGTGGGGGGTGTTATGAAGGAGGTGAGGGGTGGACGTGTTACAAGAAAATGAGAGGTGTGGGGACATGTGACATGTTGTTATGGTGGGGAGAGGTTGTTATGGGGTGTTATGAAGGAGGTTAGGATGGAGGGGTAGAGGGGTGTTACAAGAGGTGAGGGTGTTGAGGTGTGGGGACATGTTGTTATAGGCGTGGTTGTTATGGTGGGGTGATGGTGGAGTGTTATGAAGGAGGTTAGGGATGGAGGTGTTACAAGAACGGTGGAGGTGTGGGGACATGTGACGTGTTGTTATGGTGGGTTGGTGGGGGTGTTATGAAGGAGGTTAGGGATGGAGGTGTTACAAGAACGGTGGAGGTGTGGGGACATGTGACTTGTTGTTATGGTGGGTTGGTGGGGGGTGTTATGAAGGAGGTTAGGGGTGGAGGTGTTACAAGAACGATGAGTTGTGGGGACATGTTACGTGTTGTGGTGGGGTGTGTTGTGGTGGGGGTGTTATGAAGGAGGTTAGGGGTGGGAGTGTTATGAGAACGATGAGGTGTGGGGACATGTGACGTGTTGTTATGGGGTGGGGGTGTTATGAAGGAGGTGAGGGGTGGTGGAGTGTTATGAGAACGATGAGGTGTGGGGACATGTGACGTGTTGTTGTTGTGGTGGAGAGTGTTATGAAGGAGGTTAGGGGTGGGAGTGTTACGAGAACGATGAGGTGTGGGGACATGTGACGTGTTGTTATGGTGGGGTGGTGGCGGGTGTTATGAAGGAGGTGAGGGGTGTAGGTGTTACAAGAATGATGAGGTGTGGGGACATGTGACGTGTTGTTATGGTGGGTTGGTGGGGGGTGTTATGAAGGAGGTTAGGGGTGGAGGTGTTACAAGAACGATGAGGTGTGGGGACATGTGACGTGTTGTGGGGGGGGTGTTAGAGGTATAATTGGGAGTATTACTTGCACTGTTAGTATAGCACAAAATATACCAGATGGGATGCTGACAACAGATATCATTTAGGAAGTATTGTTACATCATAAATAATATTGTTAATTACCATCTTGATTGTGTCACAATGTCCAGATATTGGGTGTTTATGTATGCAGATACACAACTCAGATCATGCTAAGGAAAGTCAGTTTTAACCACAAACCACCCAGTCTAATTTGACTAAATTGATGGGACCCAAATATCATATCGAATATGGTGCCAGCTCTGGTAATCAGCTCGTTACAATCAATGAACTGCTATTATGAATAAATGGAAGAGTGTATTCCTTGGGTATTGGGGTGATATTTCTATTTGAGCTTGTTGGCTCGATATTGATTGCCCTGACATCAGGATGTCCGTTATGGTAATAGGCCATTTAATGTACAAGTTGTGGGAGGGCTGCTAAGGCAGGCATTTGTCAGGATGCGAATTGTGAATGTACTTCACAAGTCACTGTTTGGTATTTCCTGATTGGGTGTAATTTGACACTTCAGGTTAGATTTGTTGTTGATTGGCTTCTGCGGCAGGTTCATAAAGGATGTATGTGAGCTGTTTGCTGTGGTAATTTCTTGTAGTGATAATTGATGGTCTCATTGGACCAAGAACAATATTCCACTTTGTCACAGAGGCATCCTGTATTGTCACTGTGTGCATCCTGAACAACGCGGACACCATTGTTGTTGCATCAGTCTGGCATCCATGTTACAGGTTACAGCTCTCTGAACAACACTGACACAAATCTTGTTGCATCACTATGGCATCCATGTTACAGGTTACAGCTCTCTGAACAACACTGACACAAATCTTGTTGCATCAGTCTGGCATCCATGTTACAGGTTACAGCTCTCTGAACAACACTGACACAAATCTTGTTGCATCACTCAGGCATCCATGTTACAGGTTACAGCTCTCTGAACAACACTGACACAAATCTTGTTGCATCACTCAGGCATCCATGTTACAGGTTACAGTTATCTGAACAACACTGACACAAATCTTGTTGCATCACTCAGGCATCCATGTTACAGGTTACAGTTATCTAAACAACACTGACATAAATCTTTTTGCATCCTGTTGTTACAGCATCAGTTTTACTGAACTAAGACAGATGTTACATCACACACGCATTCTTTATATTTTGTTACAGTGTGCATTTCTTAAAGCCTAGTGTCCCCCACCACAATATTGCTGGAATATTGCTAAAAGCGGCGTTAAACTAAACTCACTCACTTACTCTTAAATAACACAATCACAGATCCATGTGTTAAGTCAGCTCCTTTGGAAGCCCCTGTCAAATCTTCAACAACCTCATAAGACAGTGTTGTCGTCAATACACCTAATTGTTCTTTTAAATTTGTTGGAAATGTGTTGTACACGTATATATAACATTACTTGTGGAATGCTGAAAGCAGTCTTGTTGTTTCAACATACCAATGTCAAGTTTTTCAGAAATGGTTCATAAAGCTAAACAATCAGATGTCTTGAAAAGCTCTACCTGATTTTTCAAAGCCTTATTATTATTATCATTAGTATTGTATATTACAGCTTTGATATAATTTATGTACAACAAGGTCCCCATGTTTTACTTGGCTTGTAGGAAAAGCATGTATAGACGAGCAAATTGTCTTGATATGGCGTAGACCTTGACATAGATAACATTAAACAATGGCGTAGGAGCTTCCTCTGTGTGAATGTCGAGAGTTGCATGTATGTAATAGTTTGTAATATTGACACAAGTATTAACTGATTAACCATCTTTCAAAAAAAGTATCAAACTAATCCCAGAGATTACATAAATCAAATAATGCCCAGCTATTTTTAAGTCAGCCTTAAGATCATATATTGAAATACGAAAATAATCACCCTGTTTTATTGATAACCAAATGCGATAAAAATTGAATGATTTTAAAAAAATTCCTTTTTAAGATGATTTTTGAAAACTTTCATTGTTTAATATGTGAACTTTGCCATTAGAAATTTAAACATGTATTAAGGCAAGATTCCAAGAAAATAAAAACAATCTGTCGCTGAAAGTTAAGTCTTGCATGGTTGCCTCCCTTGAATGACAGCTTTGTAGATAGTTTTTTTATACCAGCTCCCAGTGTGATAAAATGTTCGAGAGTTGGTTTAGGGCTGGTAAGTATTACGTAAGGGCCCAGATTGCAGTCATGCTACTGAAATATGCCTTACAACTATAGGAATATTTGAAATGGTAATATAGTCATGATATAAAATATCCTGTTTGTTGTATATGTGTGGACATAATGGCTCATCTGTCTAATGGGACATTCTGTTGTTGGTTGGAAGTACCTACACCAGTAGAAATAAATAGATATATATACAATATAAAGATACATTTTTGAAACTTCTTAATGATACCTGTGTTTGTTGACATTTCAAAACTTCATGTGATGTTGATCGATTAGAAATTTAAGGTTTCTCGTCAAGGAATGGTTTAAATGCGTTTTACCAGATGCCTATCTGCCATGCTTGTTTGTGCTACTAATACAGTATTTTTATGAAAATTATACTGATACAGTTAGGGGAAAGAAATGATCCCTCTGTTTATTTTTTTTATGGAATCCATTGGGACTTCATTAACTCTGTTTCCTGAAAATGCCTAGTGGTTAAAGCGTTGACAAGTGTTGAAATTTCTGGTGTCCCCAAGCTCATGTTGCTAAACTCACCACTTGTGTTTCCTGAAAATGACACAATCCCATTGTGTGGTACACTCCACCCCCTGCCTGCCCACCCTAACCTCAGCCCCTACTGCAGCCCCCAGCCCACAGAGCCCACCCTCACCCCAGCCCCCACAGCAGCCCCTAGCCCACAGAGCCCACCCTAACCTCAGCCCCTACCGCAGCCCCCATCGTCCACAGAGCCCACCCCTCACCCCAGCCCCCACAGCAGCCCCAGCCCCTAGAGCCCACCCTAACCTCAGCCCCTACCGCAGCCCCCATCGCCCACAGAGACCACCCTCACCTCAGACCCACAGCAGCCCTCAGCGGCCACCCTCACACCAGCCCCATACCAGCCCTCACACAGGAAAACATCTAGTGAGGTGGGAACAAAAGGCAGCTGATACTGTTTAGATCAGATGCTAATGAATGAAGTTTTTTTTTTTTTTTTTCTATTTTATTTTTCATGAAACCAAAGTCTTAAGGAATGAACTTATACGCATCCCTTAACAAAGTGGCAGAAGGTATCTGTTAAAATGCATTCTTGCCCAAACAAAGTGCTGAGGAAAAAGGAACCATCTTGCTGCACGATTAAGTTGACTAGGCTTTCATGTTGTGCCAGTGTTGTCTGTAAGTTCTCATTTGTTCCAGAAGCGAAAAATCCTGGGTGATTCAACCTCCACTCAAGTATTACGTGACCTCGAGATCTCACTCCGAACCAACCACATAGAGTAAGTACTGTTTGAGTGTAACGTATGGTAACATTAGGAGCGCACAAATGGTGGTGGAAGGTGATTCAGTTGGCTGAGTCGGTTGTGTCCCTTTGCCCTGCCAGGATTCACAGAAAGTGTGCTGAGTTTGGCTCCGTGATGAACCCTAGCCCTTCACCACCATGGATGTATGTATGTGATAAACATTTAGTGCCCGAGTCGCTTTGCCCTTTGAACAATCAAGAAGGAGAGGAGGAATTGGTTTTCTGCAAACCATGCGAGCTTGCTAACCCGTAACAGGGAGCTAATGGACCAGGTGGTCAGGTTTGCTTATTTGGTTGAGTCATGTTTTGGTATCCCCAATTTTCCAGATTGATGCTCATGATTGGCTTTGGGGTAGCCTTGTGGTTAAAGCGTGGGGCTAGTGATCCAGCGAGGGTGAGGTGTCAGGATCGAGCTCACCTGTGACTAGGTGTAAAAACCTTGGAGTCAACTTTGTGTAAAGACTCTTTCAGTGTTGTCACAACCCCTAGTGTACAGTACACAACCCTGTGCACTTAAAAGAACCCACGGATCTGTTGGTATATGACCAGATATTGGCCACATGTATACGTGCAAACACCTAGTTGTGGGTACAGCAACGTGCAGTAAACTTGGACAAAGTACTGTGACTATGTGTCCCAGTCCACCCAGCTTTGAATGGGTACCTCGTTAGGATGAGAAAGCCGCAATAACTCGGTTCGCCTAGTGGCTGCACGAGTTGAGATTGCTAATACGATGTGCCATTGAGATGGACATCCAATGATCGAGGGAAAAAATAACAGCACCTTGAGCATGCACTAGTTGCCTGGATATGTGTGCTATATAAATATCCTATAATAATAAATAATAATAATAAAAACATGTTCAATTCCCCACATGGGTACAATGTGTGAAGCCCATATCTGGTGTCCCCCATAATACTGCTGGAATATTACTAAAAGCGGCGTGAAAACACACTGACGTACCTGATGTTCATGATACCGGTCACTGTTTTATCCGGTCCAGACTTGATTTTTTACATACCATGTCATTAGTTTGAATATGGCAACATAGAAACACCAAACAATATACAAAACAAAGAGGCCTTAAATATTTATGTCACTTACATGTGTTGGAATGATCCGTTAAGTGTTTCTTTCTGTTTAGTTTTGGCGACTAATGGGATCGGGTGGTCAGGCTCCCTGGCTTGGTTGACACATGTCATCGGTTCCTAATTGCGCAGATCGATTGATGGTTGTGCTGTTGATCACTGGATTGTCTGGTCCAGACTTGATTATTTACAGACTGACGCCATATAGCTGGAATATTGCTGAGTGCAGCATAAAACTAAACTCACTCACTCACTGTTTAGTTTTGATGTTCAGATATTAAGATTATTTTTCTTGTACGAAATGGGACACACTTCATTGATCAGTTGACATGGGATCAAGGTTTTCATGGCTGGTGTTCATGATTTATGCTTCCAGAAAGCGTAGATATATAAGACCAATGATTTCATTGCTGATGGTTTTTGTTTGTTTTCAGATGGGTGCGTGAGTTCCTCAGTGAAGAAAACCAAGGATTGGATGTCCTGGTGGACTACCTGTCATTCACTCAAGTTGTCATGAGGTGGGTACATTGTTCATCTCAGGTGTCATTCACTCAAGTTGTCATGAGGTTGGTAAATTGTCCCAGGTGTCATTCACTCAAGTTGTCATGAGGTGGGTACATTGTCCCAGGTGTCATTCACTCAAGTTGTCATGAGGTGGGTAAATTGTTCCAGGTGTCATTCACTCAAGTTGTCATGAGGTGGGTACATTGTTCATCTCAGGTGTCATTCACTCAAGTTGTCATGAGGTGGGTAAATTGTCCCAGGTGTCATTCACTCAAGTTGTCATGAGGTGGGTAAATTGTTCATCCCAGGTGTCATTCACTCAAGTTGTCATGAGGTGGGTAAATTGTTCATCCCAGGTGTCATTCACTCAAGTTGTCATGAGGTGGGTAAATTGTTCATCTCAGGTGTCATTCACTCAAGTTGTCATGAGGTGGGTAAATTGTTCATCTCAGGTGTCATTCACTCAAGTTGTCATGAGGTGGGTAAATTGTTCATCTCAGGTGTCATTCACTCAAGTTGTCATGAGGTGGGTAAATTGTCCCAGGTGTCATTCACCCAGGTGGGTAAATTGTTCATCCCAGGTGTCATTCACTCAAGTTGTCATGAGGTTAAATTTCATCCCAGGTGTCATTCACTCAAGTTGTCATGAGGTGGTGGGTAAATTGTTCATTCTCAGGTGTCATTCACTCAGGTTGTCATGAGGTGGGTAAATTGTTCATCTCAGGTGTCATTCACTCAAGTTGTCATGAGGTGGGTAAATTGTTCATCTCAGGTGTCATTCACTCAAGTTGTCATGAGGTTGGTAAATTGTTCATCTCAGGTGTCATTCACTCAAGTTGTCATGAGGTTGGTAAATTGTCCCAGGTGTCATTTACTCAAGTTGTCATGAGGTGGGTACATTGTTCATCTCAGGTGTCATTCACTCAAGTTGTCATGAGGTGGGTAATCTGTTCTTCTCAGGTATCATTCACTCAAGTTGTCATGAGGTGGGTAAATTGTTCATCTCAGGTGTCATTCACTCAAGTTGTCATGAGGTGGGTAAATTGTCCCAGGTGTCATTTACTCAAGTTGTCATGAGGTGGATAAATTGTCCCAGGTGTCATTTACTCAAGTTGTCTTGAGGTGGGTAAATTGTCCCAGGTGTCATTCACTCAAGTTGTCATGAGGTGGGTAAATTGTCACAGGTGCCATGCATTCAAATTGTCATGAGGTGGGTAAATTGTCCCAGGTGTCACTTACTGAAGTTGTCATGAAGTGAGTTAATTGTTCATCATAGGTGTTACTCACTCAAGTTGTCATGAGGTTGGTAAATATTCCATCACAGGTGTCTTCTCCCTCTCAGGTTGTCCAAGTTTTTCACATTTAGATGTTGGTTTAATAGCTCAGTGGGCTAGAACTATAAAAGTCTCAAAACTCTGGATTAGTGCTAACAGCTATACAATTGCTTACGGCTTGTGTGTTTCAATTAAAGTAATCTTCATTACAAAATTAAACCCAATTTGACCTCAAACCCCTCCCACCCCTGTCCCCTCCCCACACTCACTCATGCCATGCTGTGTTTGTTCCAGACGAGAACAGTTGTTGAACAAGGAGAAGACTTCCAGCCTGGAGTCTGGGTTGAGTCGGAGTCCTGGCCGGAGGTTGCGGCGCTCCAACACCCTAGGCTCACCGCGATCCATAAAATACTCGAGTAAACTAAACATGGGGGAGGCGAGGGATGATGTGCATGTGTGCATAATGTGCTTGAGGGCAATCATGAACCACCAGGTAGGAAGCACACCGATGATAACAGAAGGTTAACTTGAAATAGAAGGTTAATTTTAAGTTCGGATTACAGACCACAATTAGAAGCCACAGCCCACAATTACTATTTGTGACTTTAACCACAGGTTTGAAGACCGTCTTTGAAAATTTATGGAGTTGAGAGACTTGATGCACAGGTAAAACTATCACCTGCGACATAGAAACACACTGAAATATTTGATGCAGGGGATATTTGAAGTAGGGGTTATTTGAAGTAGGGGTTATGTTCAGTGTGAATTTAGAATGATTTTAAAATTAAATATATATTTGTCAGATGATATTCTACAGTGGGCTGCCCTATGTTTCAGTATGGTTTCAACTTGGTGATAGCTCACAAGCACGCCATCAACTGTATAGCGCTCAGTCTCAACCACCGGAGTCTCAGGTAGGTTGACATCTGTATCATCGTACCAGCGTGAGTGCATGTGGTTTTATGCCGCTTTTTGCAATGTTTTAGCAAGATGACAGCGGAGATCACCAGAAATGGTGTACCCATTTTGGGAATCGAACCTGGGTCCTCACTGTGATGAGCGAATGCTCTAACCACTAAGCTATACCACTGCGCTCTTACAAGCACTCTATCAACACTACAGTACTAGCCAAATGATGCTTACTCTGGCCTTACTGTAAATAAGATCAACAGCTTGTTGCTAATGAACAGTGTTCATTGAATGGATATGTATCCAAAACAGAATGAGATCTGCTTCACTTTGGGTCATCCTTCCACATTAAGCTGACAAATTGTGATATATGTGAGTTAATTGTGAGTTATGTTGCAAATTGCCAACTCATTCACTCTTTGTGCAGTTGCAGGTTTGTTGACAATCGAAGGCTTCAGGTTGTGGGAATGAATTGTTTGTGTGTCTTGCAGGACAAAGGCCCTGGTGTTGGAACTGTTAGCTGCTGTCTGCCTAGTCAGTGGGGGGCATGAAATCATTCTCTCTGCATTTGATAATTTTAAAGAGGTGAGTGCAATATGTTTATTCTTTTGTAGAACTCTGTTCTATTGCTCTCTATCTATCTTTGTATCTACAAATCCATTCAACATGCACCCGTCTGTCAATCCATCCATTCACCCACACAGAAAACATCCTTCTTCCACCCAATACCCATCCATCTCTCCTTCCATCCTTCCATCCATCCTTCCATCCATCCACCCACACAAAAAAACCATCCATTTTCCACCCAGTATCCATCCATCTCTCCTTCCATGCCTTCTTCCATCCATCCACCCACACAAAAAACCATCCCACTTCCACCCAATACCCATCCATCTCTCCTTCCATCCTTCCATCCATCCACCCACACAAAAAAATCCCTCTTCCACCCAATACCCATCCATCTCTCCTTCCATCCTTCCATCCATCCACCCCCACAAAAAAACATCCCTCTTTCACCCAATACCCATCCATCTCTCCTTCCATCCCTCCTTCCATCCATCCACCCCCACAAAAAACATCCCTCTTCCACCCAATATCCATCCATCTGTCCTTCCATCCCTCCTTCCATCCATCCACCCCCACAAAAAAAACATCCCTCTTCCACCCAATATCCATCCATCTCTCCTTCAATCCTTCCATCCATCCAACCACACAAAAAAACATCCCTCTTCCACCCAATACCCATCCATCTCTCCTTCCATCCATCCACCCACGCAAAATAACATCCATCTTCCACCCAATACCCATCCATCTCTCCTTCCACCAAAGCCCATCCATCCATTAATGGACTACACAAAAAACCATCAATCCATCCATAAAAAAACACACCACCCATCCTTCTCCCACTCAAAACCTTCCATCCATCCCAAGTTACTTTGTTGATGATGAAAATGAAAATTGCAGGGTATTCAAATACTACAGACACAAAAATTATTTTGGAACACTTTATATCTGTAAGAGAATTTGGTTGCAGAACCAACTGTCTGGGTGTATTAGGTTTTTCACAACTAGAACTTACTGGCATTTTGTGTAAATAAGAAATGTCCTCAATGTGATAAAGCACATGTATGTTTAATTTGTGTTTGTATTTCCAGGTCTGTGATGAAGGACACCGGTTTGAGACACTGATGGATTATTTTAAAAACTATGAGGAATTTCATATAGACTTCATGGTGAGTACATCATTGGAAGTATGCAGTATTGTTACAAACTTTATGGAATTTAAGACATATAAATTTTATTTAAGAGAAAAAATCAGTAGTTTATCCGTCATATGTAACAGATGTTGGTTTACAAGTGAAAATCTGGATTAGAATTGGTCTTGTCGTAAAAGGCAGCAGTCCTATGGTCAGGCTCACTGACTAGCTTGATATATCTCATTGTATCCCAGTTGTGTAGATCGATTCTTATAATGTTGAGGGGCGGTGGGGTAGCCTAATGGTTAAAGCGTTGGCTCGTCACGCCGATGACCCGGGTTCGAATCCCCACATGGGCACAATGTGTGAAGCCAATTTCTGGAGTCCCCTGCTGTGATGTTGCTGGAATATTGCTAAAACCGGCGTCAAAACCAAACTCAGTCAGTCTTATAATGTTGGTGACTGGAGACCCGTGAAGGTCCGGGTTAGAATATTGATCTTCAGTAACTCATACTTGTCGTAAGAGGCAACTAACAGGATCAGGTGGTCAGGCTCACTGACTTGGTTGACACATATAATCGTATCCCAATTGCATAGATTGATGTTCTAGCTGTTGATCACTGGATTGTCAGGTCCAGACTTGATTATTGACAGACCACTGCCATATAGCTGGAACATTGCTAAGTGCAGCATTAAACAAGAAACACATAAATGGTCACTGGATTGTGTGGTCCAGATGATTATTTATCAACTGCCATCATATTGATAGTGCTGGTGCATTTTCAACATGAAAGAAACAAAGGAGCGAACAGACATTGGTAGTCCATGTGACGTGTTTTATAGAAGGAGTCTGTTTGCAGGTCGCGTGTATGCAGTTCATCAACATCGTGGTCCACTCTGTGGAGAACATGAACTTCAGAGTGCATTTACAACATGAGTTCACAGAGATAGGACTGGATGACTACCTGGAGGTGAGCATTATTTAATCCTGTACAGGGGTGGAAATAACCCATTGCCCGACGCCCGAGTCCAGTGTTTTTTCTGTCGGGCATTGATATTCAATTATGTTTATTTAAAAATCAACAAGAAAATGGCACTATAGTGGGAAAATTATCAGACTGCCACTATGGTTTAGCAATTTTAAAGTTATTTTCCCCCCTGCCATTCACTGCACCATAAGACTGCCTCTAAACGAATAAATCTGGCCAGCGAACAGAGGTGTTCTTTGATTAGAAGAAACATAAAGTTCCTCCCTCATCACCTCTTAATTGCCCACAGGAGAATGCCTGGATCTTCTGCTTCTCAATCAGAATATTTCTCATAAGAACACCAACTCAACATGCTGATCTAGGTGCTGGAGTTAACACTTATAAGTCACAAATGAAACGGATACCAGCATTGGTGGCTGAGGGGGTTAGATGGCTGACTTTGTGTACTGCGGTTAAGGTGCCTGTCTCTGAGAGTATGGGTTTGAATCCCAGATGGGACTCGAGCCAACAAAAGAACCAGAATCTGTACTTTACTAAGAAAGTGTTATGCCAAATTTAACATGTGTTACAATCAATATTTGATGACACCACAGTATGTTATATGCATTGTGGCTATTCTTTGTACACAGTAGCTTCTTGTGCATCACTGCTTTGCCATAAGATGTCATTGGTGGCACATTTTGTTTCCCTTGTGTGATTTGAGGTCTTCGGGGGCGGTGGGGTAGCCTAGTGGTTTAAGCGTTCGCTCGTCATGCCAAAGACCCGGGTTCGATTCCCTACATGGGTAGAATGTGTGAAGCCCATTTCTGGTGCCCCCGCCGTGATATTGCTGGAATATTGCTAAAAGCGGCGTAAAACCATACTCACTCACTCACTCACTCTGAGGTCTTCATGTATCACTGGAAGTCGTCATGGCCACCAGAATGTGGCATTTTTTCTGTATCATGATACTAATCATTTCAGGAACTGACTATTTTGATGTGTATCACACTGTGTATCATGCAGTAGTTAACATAATCCACATTACCATTATCTGCTTCATTGTTGTAGAAACTTCGGAACACAGAGAGCGACCGACTGGCTGTGCAGGTACATGCGTACCTAGACAACATGATCGATGTGGCTCAATTGCTGGAAGATTCGGAGACAAAGACGGAAGCTTTGGAGAAAGTTGCTGAGCTGGAAGACGATCTGTCTCAGGTAACAAATTCAGCATGGACAAAAATATTAATCACTGATTTGGTATTTTTTGAACACTGCTTTTTGGTAGGGGTTCTGTATTAAATGTTCATTTAATGACAAAGTAATATTTTATGTTCATATCCGACACAACACAAATTCTTGGAAAGTTGATTTTCAATCTCGAATCAGGTTTTGAAGAGTATTGTGTTTGATGACATTCGATTGGATATTATTATGATACTCACAGTGCACTGTTTATCTCCTTAGTACCCAATGTTTGTATGACTTCCAGGTAAACGAGAGGTTACAGGAGGTGGAAGAAGAAGCTATGGTTAAAACAGGTGAGTCACTCTCGCTTTTAGGTACAGCCCATTCAGTGGGTTGACAGGCTGGATCTATACTTTATTGGAATCTTTGTAATTCACCAGTATGTATTCCTTGTCACTGTTTAAATCACAGTGAAGCACTCCATTGTAAAAAGAGTCTGAATACTTTGTTTATCAAATAAATATTTGAATTTTGTTGCTACTTTTGTCAAGGTTCACAAATGTCATATCTTGGCCTTTTTGGAAGAAATTAACATATTTCGGAATCCGAAATAGTCTTCTATAGTTATGATTCAGTTATTTTCAGTATTAACTCAGTACAAATATTTTTATGTGTATTTTTCAGTGGAGTTAGAGAAACAATTATCTGAAACAACAACAGAGTTGGAAGAAATCAAGGTGAGTTGATCATGAATTGATGATATATCTCATATTCACTGACATCAGGGAAATGGGAACCTCCTGAACCCCATACATGGTAAGATAACATGGGGTATGAAGCCTGATATCAATGATGCTAATATTGCACTGTGCAATGGGGACAGGGTGGCCATTTCCTGAGATGGTATTGTGGAATGGGCTCTCATAGCCTTGGTGCGAGATCACCTTGATTTTTAGATTCTGACCTTGTTTATCAAGCTGTCCAACATACTGTGCAATTTAATTCTGTTGATATCAAATTATATGATTTTTGATGATGAGAGTTTAGTTTGTATAGGTAAATGGGAAACAAGTTGTATAGGATGGAGGAATGGTTTTCTGACACCTGCTGGTTGTTTGTTTACCAGGAGGACTTGCGTGAGAAGGAGAGCGAGATGAACACGTTACGGAAGACGGTGAACGAAAAGGATGAAGAGTCACGGAAACGGCAGTCAATGCTCGACGCCAAGCTGCAGGAGTTGGAGGTCCTCAAGAACCAAGTTGGAAGTGAGTGAAAGAATTTTCTGGGCAGAATGTGTTGATTGTCAGGGGTGGAAATAACCCATTGCCCGACGCCCGAGTCCAGTGGTTCTTTCTGTCGGGCAAGCAAATTTGTATATCACACTGTACCGGTGTCCAGTTGACTTTCCAATATTAATTATGTTGTTTATTTTAAAATTCAACAAGAAAACGGCCGGTATAGTGGAAAATTTATCAGTGCAAGTGATTTCACATGTGCCACTGTACCTGAGTACACTAGCAATTTTAAAGTTATTTCCACCCCTGATTGTGTGTGGAGAAGTTGTACCAGTAATGATGCAGCAATGGGGTAGCCAGTTGGTGGAAGCGTCACGCCAAACACCCGGGTTCCATTCCGCACACGAGTACAATGTGTGAAGCCCATTTCTGGTGTTCCTGACGTGATATTGCTGGAATATTGCTTAAAGTGGAGTAAAAACATACTTACTCATTCAGTGATAATGTGTGTCAGTAAAAGTTTTGTTGTGTTGATGATGTCTTCGCTGTGTTGATGATGTCTTCACTGTGTTGATGATGTCTTCGTTGTGTGGCATTTAGCTATGATATGATGATGAGGAACAAGTTTTCTGCATTTTCAACTTCTTCACTGCAATAGATGCAGAGTTTGGGTGAAGATGCTAACCCTTTTTTCAAACAAGTTTCCTCTTTCTGTTGATGATGCGACTGTGATGGGTGTAGGCGATGACGATGTTGATAATATATCACTGTTAATATATGGGTTGGTCTATCAATTCATCTTCAGAATGTCAGGAATACAGTTTGTTAGATTAATTTTTGTACAAATTTAGAAACATGAATATCAAAATTCACATGCATTTCATATTTCAAAGCCATCAAATATTTTCCTTGCCGTACATTAAGATAATTTGTTCCAGCTGAACCAGTTCTGCCTAACGGACTCCCCCCTCCCCCTCCTCCAATTGCCCCAGTCAGTGCTCCGGCGGTGGCGCCTCCTCCTCCTCCACCCCTCCACCTCCACCTCCTCCACCCCCAGGCTCCGGTCCTCCACCCCCTCCACCACCCCCAGGGGGAGGCATCCCCAACATGTCTGCTATGACAATCAAGAGGAAGATCCAGACCAAGTACAGGTTGCCAATACTCAACTGGACTCCACTCAAACCACAGCAAGTCAAGGGGACCATTTTCTCCGATCTGGATGATGAGAAGCTGTATGCGGTAAGTCATTGGGATGTTTTGTTTCTGACAAGGATTTTCATTTACTTTGAAATGTCAATCTGCTGAGGGGTGATGAGAAAGGTTCAAGGATACCTTGTCATAGTGGAGGCCGGGGCTCTTTTTTCCTGCAAGTGAACAGTGTTTGAAGACAATTTCCAATGCACCTGCTATGATATTGCTGGAATATTGCTGGAATATTGCTAAAAGCAGAGTAAAACCCAACATAATCACACCACAGTCTCCGCTCATCATGCCAAGGACCTGGGTTCCATTCCCCACATGGGTACAATGTGTGAAGCCCATTTTCGGTGTCACCCGCCATGATATTACTGGAATGTTGCTGAAAGGCGTAAAACAGTTATCGCTCACTCACTCACTCATGCCAAACCACTGATACGGGAGAGCTGTGTGAAGGGAGACAACTCAAAGACGTTTGCCCATTGATTATAACAGAGGCACCAGACTATCTTGTATCTATGTTCTTTGTGTTAAAAGTATTGTATACATTTATTCATTGTCAAAATTATTGTTAAAATACCTCTGAATTTCGAAAATGAAAAATTGATAAAAACATCAGTTTTAGTTTGGAATCCTTAGAAAAACCTTTGAAGAGCATTTAGAAGTGGAATGCGTAAGAAAAGCAAGATTTATGGATGTCAACTTCTTTATTGTGAATAACACGATGTTTTGGAGAGTATGCTTGCAGGTGCTTCATCAGGTGAGGAAGGAGCAAGCATACACTCAAAAACGTAAAAGAATAATAAAGAATTGACATCCATAATCTTGCTTTTCTTGAATAAGTCTGATCGTGTTGTGACATAGCACGTGTGACCAAAAAACTTATAGTACAATTATTCAATCTTTATCCAATGCAGGTAATAGACTTTGAGGACTTTGAAGAAACATTTCGTCTGGGTCCCGCTGGTCCAATGCGTCAGTCATCAACCGGCACGCCGAAGTTGTTGAGGAAGAACAAGAAGCCAGAAAGTATTTCCTTGATGGAGGCAAACAGACTCAGGAATGTTGGTCAGTAGATTAAACCTTAACATAACAGCTAATTGTCCTGACTCTTTAGTACAATCTCGCTTTGTTTAAGTTTGCTATTCAAATACAATTTTGTCCCAAATTAATAATAATATGCCATTTAAAAAACATCATTAGAATCGATTTTTATAGACACCTGTATGGTGGTGGTTTGTAAATAATCAATCTGAACAAGACAGTCCAGGGATTAGCAGCACAAGCATCAATCTATGCAGTTGGGATACGATGATATGTGTCAACCAAGTCAGCGAGCCTGACCACCTGATCGCCTCTTAAAACAAGCATGGGTTGATGACGCATTAAATGTATATATGGTGTTGTTTCTGTCCAATCAGGGGCAGTGGGGTAGCCTAGTGGTTAAAGTGTTCGCTCCGTCACGCTGAAAACCTGGGTTCGATTCCCTACATGGGTACAATGTCTGAAGCCCATTTCTGGTGTCCCCTTTCGTGATATTGCTGGAATATTGCTAAAAGCTGCTGGAAACCAAAGCAATCAAGACGCTCCATTTCCTCACCGAATTGTCTGTTCTAGACTCGTTTATTTACAAGCTGGAACATTACTTGAATGTTGCCTATTGTAAAGTTTAACAGCAAACCAACCAATCCCATGTAGAGTACATGATGTGACGTTGTGTTTTCAGCCATCACGAGAAGGAAGATGGACATGACCAATGAGGAAATAGTCAAGGCCATCATGGGGTGAGTGTTGTATTGCTGTGTCCAGTTGCATTAAACAATTACGTTTTTCTGTGCAGAGTTGCGTCCCTTATGCAAACAAGGATCATATGATTATGAGTTCAAATTCTAGAGTCGTCTTCATTAATATTCCTTTTGTCAGCACACTGATAGAAAGTAAGTGGGGACCTGTTGGGACAGACAAGGTCCCCGGTCAGTTTGACCGAGATTAGTGTCTTTTTCAGGGTTTTACACGATGCTCAAATGTGTGTCCAGTATGCCCAAATATAGAGTATAAATCCAAAAAACTAACATACCGCATCACGAGGGTTGCAAATGATATTCATCGTATCTACAGGGCAGTTATGGGGGAGGTGGGGTAGCCTGGTGGGTAAAGCGTTCGCTCGTCACGCCGAAGGCCCGGGTTCGATTCCCTACATGGGTACAATGTGTGAAACCCATTTCTGGTGTCCCCCGCCGTGATATTGCTGGAATATTGCTAAAAGCGGCGTAAAACCCAACTTTCACTTAATCACTCAGTTATGGGGTGTCTATTTCATCCATCAGTCATCATCACTGCTAACATGAGTATTGATAAATTGACTCTGAAGTCATTAGCGAAATGTACATTGCACAACACCATCACAATACTTACAGGACCCTCATATTGTATAGAAGGGCTAAAAAATAATTAATGGATATCCCCCGGACGCCCATGTTTGTAAGTCGAGGTAAATCCTCTCTTTCCAGTCAATGTTATTGGTATGATATGCAAATGGAATTCCAAGATTCCTACTTTATTATATGGTGTTGTATTTCATGTTTTATGTGTTTAATCCATTTCAGCCTGGACTTGAAAAGACTGTCCTTGGATATGGTCGACATCCTTCTCACCATCCTCCCGAATGATCAGGAAGTAAGTGTGTGGTGAACGGTTGTCCTGTCTGTTGATTCTAAGAGCCTTGGAGTGTTTTTGTTCCTAAATCCTATAGGGCGCTATGCAAATTTTGTATATTATCATTATTATGATCTCTCATGCTAGGGGCGGTGGGGTAGTCTAGTGGTTAAAGCGTTGGCTCGTCACGCCGAAGACCCGGGTTCGAATCCCCACATGGGTACAATGAGTGAAGCCCACTTCTGGTGTCCCCCGCCGTGATATTGCTGGAATATTGCTAAAAGCGGCGTAAAACCAAACTCTCAGTCAGTGTCAGTCTCTCATGCTAAAGACCGCATCCGTGGTGTAGTGGTTAGAGCGCCCGCCCGGAGAGCGGAAGGTCGCGGGTTCGATCCCCGACCGCGTCATACCAAAAAGACGTTAAAATATGGTACTTGTTGGTCCCTGTCTGGCACTCAGCATTAATGGGTACAACAAGGACTGGTCGGCTCGGGAGTCAGTATAATGTGTCTGAGTGGGGTATTCATGCTTCACTGTGGCATGGTATCTCAGTGGGCTAGCACTATAAAACCAGCTTAAGTCTGGGCTAGTACAAGCAGCCGCACATACACATACACACGCATGCATGTCGTCATATGAGCGAAATAGTCTCAAGCACGACGTTAAGCCCAATTTCACCTCACCTCACCTCTCATGCTAAAATTTTCTTGGAAGGGGCGGTGGGGTAGCCTAGTGGTTAAAGCGTTTGCTCATCATGCTGAAGGCCTGGGTTCGAATCCCCACATGGGTGCAATGTGTGAAGCCCATTTCTGGTGTCCACTGCGGGATTACTGCTGGAATGTTGCTAATAGCTGTGTTAAGCCCAATTCACTCTCACTTTCTGCTGGAAATAGAAACAACACAGTTTTGGTCACACTTTGATAGTTGTGAAGACGATGATAAGTAGCATATAAAAGGTAACAATTTCTTTACAAATATAGGTGCTGGTGAATTTGGCCTCTGCATTCCACGCATCTATGGCAATTACATGTGAAAATGTTGAGAACTTGGGAGAAAGGCAACCCAGAAAACTTTAAACAGATGAGAATGTGTTGTGACTGTCCTTGGATATGGTCGATGTACTTCTCACGATCCTCACAAACGGATCAGGTCACTGGTTATACACATTGTGTACTTCTCGTAATACATTATGGCATAATGTGAAAATATATATGGAGGGAGGGTTGTGTGCCTCAAGATGTACACACACGGTTCATGGGTAAACTGGCCCAGTAATAAGCTGTATGGTGATGTAGATGATGCAGGATTTTGTTGTTGATGCTGTGTTCAGAATCAAAGGGCGTCCTCTGGTTCTGACATGTTTGGATCCTGGTACCCATTACATTTTAATCTTTCAACACTGAGGTCATAATGAGGCAGTGTGCAAAATAGTTTCCAAATTTTGCTAGCCAGTCGGGCTAGCTATGCCTGAAAGTTACTAGCGCACAAAATAATTCACTAGCCCGAAATTTGAATGTAGACACGGGTTTCATCATTAGCTGCTGATATGATGAACATTTCTATCAGGTCATAATCTTGCATGATTTAAAAGTGTGTTATAACTTAACAAGTCGGAGAGTGTAATATATTGACAAAATGACCCAATGAAAATTCACTAGGTAGTAGGGCCAATGGCTGTGGATCTACTGGCCCTGCTGGATTTTTACTAGCCACGGGCTAGCGGGCCAGTGGCTATTTCGCACACTGTAATGAGGACTCCTTGATTTCATGTTACCACGATGTATTTATAACAATATTCATCTTCAGGCCAAGGCATACAAGATGTATGAGAGGGAGAAGAAATCTGTTGATAACCTGACTGACGAAGATAAGTTCATGATGCAGGTTAGTTCATCCCCAGCACATCAAGAGACCCGCGAAGGTCCGGGTTAGAATGAACCTTCAGTAACCTATGCTTGTCGTAAGAGGCGACTAATGGGATCGGGTGGTCAGGCTCGCTGACTTGGTTGACACATGTCATCGGTTCCCAATTGTGCAGGTCGATGCTCATGCTGTTGATCACTGGATTGTCCGGTCCATACTCAATTATTTACAGACCGACGCCATATAGCTGGAATATTGCTGAATGCAGCTTAAAACTCAACTCACTCCTCAGCACATCAAGATGAAGGACTGAAATGAGAATTAGTGTATATAATAATGGTCTTGTTAGTTCATCATGAAACTTGCAGTCTTTTTTGTTAAGTCAACTGTAAAATGGAATGGACATCATATATTTAGTCATATAGAATGGATGGCATATGATATATTTAATCATCTCTGTGAGATGGGTTTGGTCTTGATTATGGAATCTCTCCATCAACCTATGATGATTGTTATTGGAGATAGGGCCGGTGTAGCCTACTGGTTAAAGCGTTCGCTCATCATGCCGAAGACCTGGGTTCGATTCCCCACGTTGGTGCAATGTGTGATGCCCATTTCTGGTGTCCCCTGCCGTGATATTGCTGGAATATTGCTACAAGCGGCGTAAAACCATACTCACTCACTCACTCACTCACTCACTCACTCACTCACTCACTCACTCACTCACTCACTCACTCACTGTTATTCTAGATAAGAATTTGACTCAATGACTTGGCTCATAGTCAGTCCTCCTACCTCTATGGTGTGGAATGTTGTTGGCTCATTGCTGACAGTGTCAGTCACTGGATTGTCTGGCTTACACCTGATTAGTAACTTGCTGTCGTCATACAGCTGGAATATTGCTGAGTGCAACATTAAAAAAATATGCAAATTAAACGTCATTGTCGTATTGCTTAATAAACAGTACTGTTATTTTCAGTTGTGCAAGGTAGAACGTCTTGTTCATCGACTGACAATCATGAGCTTCATCGGTAACTTCTATGATAACTTGCATCATCTCCAGCCGGTGAGTGTCACTTTGTATGATGTAGAGATTCTTGGAAAACTCCCTTGAACATGGATCAGCCAACTCAAGACATTTTTTAACTGGAAAAAGATACTGAAGATTATTTAAGTTAAATGTTATTTGTTAATTCATTTTTGATTGATCTGATAACAGTTTGTTGTATTATGAAAGTAAAATAATAAGAACCTGATTCTCTGCGTAACAGGGATATAATAATCTCTCTGTGAACTGTAACTCTTTCTGGCTTTCTCATGAGTATAATGTTATCTCTGTTTCCAGCAAGTTAATGCTATCATTGCTGCCTCCATGTCTGTAAGAAGCTCAACGAAAGTGCGGAAACTGATGGAGGTAAGATTGGTTTGAGTTGTCTTGAATGATGCCAAGAATTGGAATATGGTCCACTAGCAGCACTTTCGATTGCACTCTCACACATACACCATGTGCCAAGGAATTGCATACCACTTCATGCTTGTTTCTGGGGGCCATGGGTAGCCTTGTGGTTAAAGTGTTCGCTTGTCATGGCGAAAACCCGGGTTTGATACCCCACATGGTACAATGGTTGAAGCCCATTTCTTCCCCCACCTTGATATTGCTGGAATATTGCTAAAAGTGGCATAAAACTACGCTCGCTCACTTGATCTTAAACTGAATCCGTGTGAGGATGGTGGGTTAGAAATGCTTTTAGCAACCTTTACTAATTGTTTGAACCCATGAAGATCCGGGTAAGAATTGGTCTACATTAACTTATACTTGTCGTAAGACAAGAGGATCGGATGGTCAGGCTCGCTGACTTAGTTTACACATATCATCGTATCCCAATTGCGTAGATCGATGCTCATGCTGTTGATCACTGAATTGTCTGGTCCAGACTCGATTATTTACAGACTGCTGCCATATAGCTGGAATATTGCTGAGTGCAGCGTTAAATAAGAAACCAACCAACCTAGTAATTGTTTGAGGTGACTTACTGGATTACTGATGTGGCTCAGTTGTTCTGTCTCTGCAAGCGACAAGGATCTTGAAAGCTAGACTTCTCCTCGCTGCCCAAGTTCATATTAATGTGTCACAGCGAAACAAAGATGTTTCAATGACAGCCTAATCAATGTTTCAGGTGATCCTTGCTTTTGGGAACTACATGAACAGTTCAAAACGTGGAGCTGCCTATGGTTTCAAGCTGCAGAGTCTGGACATGGTGAGTTTACGTTTTAAAATTATTTACCCTGGAGTGAAAATTCTTAAAATACTGCTCTCCTCTTTAATTTGGAATTCTGTGTTATGATTCCTTCTGCCATTGGTGTTATTTCTTTAACCGGCCTTTAGAAGCTGGTATGATGACGAGAAACAATTTTTATGGATAGACAGCTTATTGTAATAGATGGGACGTTTTGGTGTAGATGCTAACACTGTTACCAATCAAGTGATACACAGCATTATGCACAAGGAGAATATATACATGAAGGTTATTTGAGTTTTCGCAATTGAAGAGAATGATGTACAGTGTGTTGACATCACTGATAATAATAATAATAATAATAAGGGCATTTGTAATGCCCTGAATTCGCATCACGGAGGGGCACAGTCAAAGCTCTACAACCTGATTGTTATTACACTGGATAACCAAAGCTGCCTGTGAGGCGCTAGAAGGTAAATAGTCACATGACTTATCCCACCAGGTACCCATTTTCTGCAGGGTGAACAGAAGCAAGTTTGAACAAACTCACTTGATAGTTTTGATTACACATAATGACTAAGAATCCAGATAGATAATGGGTAGGGAAGGGTTATTCTTGATTGGCCTTGATTAAGTGATGGTAATCTGTAGGAATGTAATAGCCTTGATCTATATTGATTGTTGAATGTGGCATTTATTGTGTTCCTCTTCATTGGTGTGATTGTGTTTTCAGCTGGTGGACACCAAGTCTGGGGACAAGAAGGTCACTCTCATGCACTTCCTGGTGATGACGATACAGGAGAAGTTCCCGGATCTCATGAACTTCGACACCGAGCTCAGGTTCATAGACAAGGCAGCCGTAGGTGAGACTGACATGCAGTTAGTAGCAAGTTACATGTCAAACTGATATGTAATCACATCCTTGGTGGTTGGGGGTTTGTCTAAGTAGAGCATGTCCATGGTGAAGACACAGGTTGAGGTTTCTCTAAGCAGAACACGCCCTTGAAGGGAGGAGCTTATCCTTGAATGCATTAGAAGAAGCAGGTTGAGTGGTATGTCTGGACAGAGGATGTCCTTGATGGGAGAGACAGATTGGGGGTGACAGAGGATGTCCTTGATGGGAGAGACAGATTGGGGGTTGTCTAAGCAGGGCATATAATTGTTGAAGGCAGGTTGAGAGGTTTATCTGGGCAGAGCATGCAGTTGATGGGAGAGACAGATTGGGGGTTGTCTAAGCAGAGCATATAATTGTTAAAGGCAGGCTGGGAGGTTTATCTGGGCAAGACCATGCAGTTGATGGGAGAGACAGATTGGGTGTTGTCTAAGCAGAGCGTATAATTGTTAAAGTCAGGTTGGGAGGTTTATCTGGGCAGTCCATGCAGTTGATGGGAGAGACAGATTGGGGGTTGTTTAAGCAGAGCATATAATTGTTGAAGGCAGGTTGAGAGGTTTATCTGGGCAGAGCATGCAGTTGATGGGAGAGACAGATTGGGTGTTGTCTAAGCAGAGCAGTATAATTGTTAAAGGCAGGCTGGGAGGTTTATCTGGGCAGGCCATGCAGTTGATGGGAGAGACAGATTGGGGGTTGTCTAAGCAGAGTGTATCATATTTTGTAGCTCTGAATATGATAAACTCCCATCACATGTAGATAAAAGGTCCATAGATCTTCAGAAAACAGGATAAATCTGTGTCTTTTGTATTCAAATAAGTGTTTATTGGGCAGATATTTGTATTGCATTTACATTCTTTCAGGGAAAAGATGTACAGGACTCTGTGGATTTCCATTCGAAGTCACTTTTGATAGTTTGGTGTCATCATAGAGACTAAGGTTCCTTTTTATGTTTCAGTTTCGATGGAGAACATCACCACAGATATTCATGAACTAGAAAAGGGCTTTGATCTGACAAAGCGTGAAGCTTCATTAAGAAAGGAAAAAGACTCACCAACAATACTCAAAGATTTCCTCTCTAACTCAGAAGATCGCTTTAAGAAATTGTTGGCTGATGTTAAAACTGCACAGGTGAGTATATCAGGCTGATCGAGCTTGTTAAGCAGAGACACAGGTAAGGTCACCTTGTGTCGATATGATGATAGTCTAAATTAAGTAACCATAGTCATATCCTGTTTATCATATAATGGCTAGTTTTATTGATGCGATAAATCAATCTGATAAGCTTTATCATGAGCATTATCACCATCACCACCACCACCACCATCATCATCATCATCATCATCATCATCATCATCATCACCACCACCACCACCACCATCATCATCATCATCATCATCATCATCATCATCATCACCACCATCATCATCACCACCATCATCATCACCACCATCATCATCATCATCATCACCACCATCATCATTACCATCATCATCATCATGTTTGTCCTAAGAGGCGACTAACGGCATCTGGTTGTCAGGCACGCTGGCTTGGTTGACACATGTCATCGTATCCCAACTGCGGAGATCAATGCTCATGCTGTTGATCATCAGATTGTCTGGTCCAGACTGGATTATTTATAGACCGCCGCCATATAGCTGGAATATTGCTGAGTGCAGCATAAAACTTAACTCACTAACCATCCACCCACCCACCACCATCTTCATCATCATCATCATCATCACTATAATTTGTTTGTTTTAGGATGCATACAAGCGTGTAGTGGAGTATTTCGGTGAAAGTCCAAGGACCGTTGCCCCATCAACCTTCTTTGCTCAATTTGTCAGATTTGTTAACGCTTTCAAGGTGAGTTCATTGTTTTGTGTATGCTTGTTGTTCAGCAACTTATGTTGCGTTGATTTTCATGACTCATGTGTTGTTTATATTAAGATATTAAACAAATTTGAGACATTCATACACCCTCCATATCACTTACTTGTTATGAAGAAACTGACAACAAAAAGTTCTTGTGATACATTGAAGTACAGTATCTCTGTAATAACTCAAAGAGACCACTAATTTTAGTTTATGAAAATCATAGTTGGATGTTTGTATAACTGCTGACACTCTAATAAACAATTGTCTGTCTCTCACCATAGGTCCTCATGTAGCCTAATGGTTAAAGCATTGGCTCGTCACGCCGAAGACCTGGGTTCGATTCCCCACATGGGCACAATGTGTGAAGCCCATTTCTGGTGTTCCCCGTCGTGATATTGCTGGAATATTGCTAAAAGCGACGTAAAACCCAACTCACTCACTCACTCACTATTGTTACATCAACTAGTTCATTAAACACAAGTTCACTGTAATCAGTAACTTAGTTTACTGTAATCAGTAACTTCATTACTTCTTCATCTTCACAGCAAAGTATTTTGGACAATGAGCGGAGGAAGAAGCTGGAGTGTGCTAGTATGATGGAACCCAACACCCCCATGGCCAACAAGAAGAAGGACAAGAAGGCCACTCAGGTAGGTGCTCCAGCCCAGCAGAGATGATTTCAGCTCCAATAATGCTTGCTGATCTACTATTTTATCTGATGATGAGTTAAAGAAATGTTGACTTGGAGCAGGTGTCCAGTGGTGGAAACTGGTTGTTGTTTTTAGACGCTTGTTGGTTGAGTATTTGCTCCACATCCGATTACATATTCTTGCATGAAATAAGTAGTTTCTATTATATCCGTTGCGAATAGGGGTGAAGCGATCCATTGTTGCAGTAAATGTTTGTTTGGAAAAGCAGAGTTTTTGAAATTGAGAAAAAGAAATGGTAACCTCCATTTTGTTTCACCTCTATCTTCTGTGCTGATGGGGGTATCGGAGACCAAGTCATTTATGTTACCACAAGTTGCTGTGCAGAGTTTTGTCTTCATCATTCCGGGTTTGAATCCTGATTTGCCCCAATTATGATTCAAGATTCTTGGCGCTGTACCTTTGTTCATGAGTTTCACAAAAATGGTAAATGTGTAAAACATCATGCATTGACATAACTGGAATTCTGTTGAAAGCCACATTAAACCCAACTCCGTGTTGATGGCAGTGATGTTTGAAACAGTTGTAACACAAGCAGTATGTTGAATGTTTGGATATTGCTTCACAGCTGGTCATGAAACGTTATTAGAGAAGCAGGAGGTCAGGTATGTAGCCATGCTTCTGTCACGAGGACTGGCTGCTGTGTTGAATGCATGGATGCAGGATAGAGGGAGCTGGTTGCTGGTCTTGCTGGGGCCTTATCACACAGGCAGAGAGTTGTAGCACACCTATACCCTTTGGAAATTATGAATCATATTAGATTATTATTGTAGATGGTAGATGTCATCTAAATCATGGGATTTTGTAATGTAAGGAGGGCTGTGGACTATTATATAAGGTGATGTGATTTTCTGTGCAGAGTTGTCTCCCTTAGTAGTATTAGGATCCACTGAATGTTGGTGTGAATTTGTGATTTGACCTGATTATGATTCTTGGTTTGTAAGCACCATACCTTTGTCCAAGGGTTGCACAAATGACATCAGTGACCGAAGTCACTACAGGCATTCCCTTAGCTTTATAAAGCGTAATAGCTGGGAACACTTTAAACTTTATTTATGAAAATCAGGGATTTTGAATTAAGGGTCAGGTTGGAAGGCAGATTGTCTCCCTTGACTAAGGCTGCTTCACCATGTGAAATGTGCTGATGCTGCACAATAGGTTGCATATTTGACATGGCTGCCAAGCAGAAAGCATTGGAATATGTATATGTGCTGATTGATAGACAGGAGCTGGCTTAAATGTATTTGTTGCCTGAGCAAGCAAGCACACACACACACACACACACACACACATACATTTTTGTAATAATGAATGTGTTTGATCAATTTTCCTGAAAGCTACTGATGCAATGTGGCCTACATCATTTATACATTATAATGGACGGAGATACCACCTGGAGGCTCAATTGTAGCTGTCAGTGATATTGTGCATTCTTCTGCAAGCATGTTGACATTTTCTGCAAAAGTATAAGATTGCTTGATATATTCTATCAGAATTGAGACAATTTGTTTGTCTGTGTAAGACATAGTCGGTCATGTGCCATGGTGAACTACTGATAGATGCTCACGATATCGACCACTGGTCCGTATGACCCAAGCTTGATAATTTATAGGCTCTTCTATTTAATGTCTGGGGCAGTGTGGTAGCCAAGTGGTTAAAGTGTTCACTCGTCATGCCGAAGACCTGGGTTCGATTTCCCCACATGGGTACAATGTGTGGAGTCCATTTCTGGGGTCCCCGAGTGATATTGCTGGAATATTGCTAAAAGTGGCATAAAACTAAACTCACTCACTCACTGTTAAATGTCAAACATTGTACACATGGATAAATCATCAACATTCACACATCCACTGCAGCAGTGTTGTCCAGTATCACCCTGCTGTCAGAGAATGTTCCCAAGTGTCAGCCCACAGTCTCATCTGACTGTAGCAGAGTTTTTCCAAGATCTCATCTCACTGTAAGAGAGTGTTTGCAGAGTCTCTGCCACTGAAGGAGACTTGTTCCCCAAGTACTTACACTCATTTAAAATAAAATAAATATATAATAAAAACTGTTGCTGATTTGCAGGCCGAGATGGTGTCCGAGCTGAAGAGCAGAAACAGGAACATCAGGGAGAAGAAGCTCCTCAACAAGGACGAGGTGTACCATGGGGCACTGGAGGACATCCTGCTGGGTAAGTGGACCTGTTCACCTTGTAGCATACAGTGTTCATGTTCCTTGTAGAATACAGAGTTCAACCTTTCTTATAGCATACTGTGTTCATGTTCCTTGTAGAATACAGAGTGCAATCTTTCTTATAGCATACTGTGTTCATGTTCCTTGTAGAATACAGAGTTCAATCTTCTTATAGCATACTGTGTTCATGTTCCTTGTAGAATACAGAGTTCAAACTTTCTTATAGCATACTGTGTTCATGTTCCTTGTAGAATACAGAGTTCAACCTTTCTTATAGCATACTGTGTTCATGTTCCTTGTAGAATACAGAGTTCAATCTTCTTATAGCATACTGTGTTCATGTTCCTTGTAGAATACAGAGTTCAATCTTCTTATAGCATACTGTGTTCATGTTCCTTGTAGAATACAGAGTTCAATCTTCTTATAGCATACAGTGTTCATGTTCCTTGTAGAATACAGAGTTCAATCTTCTTATAGCATACTGTGTTCATGTTCCTTGTAGAATACAGAGTTCAATCTTCTTATAGCATACTGTGTTCATGTTCCTTGTAGAATACAGAGTTCAATCTTCTTATAGCATACTGTGTTCATGTTCCTTGTAGAATACAGAGTTCAAACTTTCTTATAGCATACTGTGTTCATGTTCCTTTTGTAGAATAGAGAGTTCAATCTTCTTATAGCATACAGTGTTCATGTTCCTTGTAGAATACAGAGTTCAATCTTCTTATAGCATACTGTGTTCATGTTCCTTGTAGAATACAGAGTTCAATCTTCTTATAGCATACTGTGTTCATGTTCCTTGTAGAATACAGAGTTCAATCTTCTTATAGCATACTGTGTTCATGTTCCTTGTAGAATACAGAGTTCAACCTTTCTTATAGCATACTGTGTTCATGTTCCTTGTAGAATACAGAGTTCAAACTTTCTTATAGCATACTGTGTTCATGTTCCTTGTAGAATACAGAGTTCAAACTTTCTTATAGCATACTGTGTTCATGTTCCTTGTAGAATACAGAGTTCAATCTTCTTATAGCATACTGTGTTCATGTTCCTTGTAGAATACAGAGTTCAATCTTCTTATAGCATACTGTGTTCATGTTCCTTGTAGAATACAGAGTTCAATCTTCTTATAGCATACTGTGTTCATGTTCCTTGTAGAATACAGAGTTCAAACTTCTTATAGCATACTGTGTTCATGTTCCTTGTAGAATACAGAGTTCAACGTTTCTTATAGCATACTGTGTTCATGTTCCTTGTAGAATACAGAGTTCAAACTTTCTTATAGCATACTGTGTTCATGTTCCTTGTAGAATACAGAGTTCAATCTTCTTATAGCATACTGTGTTCATGTTCCTTGTAGAATACAGAGTTCAAACTTTCTTATAGCATACTGTGTTCATGTTCCTTGTAGAATACAGAGTTCAATCTTCTTATAGCATACAATGTTCATGTTCCTTGTAGAATACATGTTTATAGCATACTTTCATGTTCCTTGTAGAACAGAGTTCAATCTTCTTATAGCATACTGTGTTCATGTTCCTTGTAGAATACAGAGTTCAACCTTTCTTATAGCATACTGTGTTCATGTTCCTTGTAGAATAGAGAGTTCAAACTTTCTTATAGCATACTGTGTTCATGTTCCTTGCATACTGTGTTCATGTTCCTTGTTCATGAATAATAGAGTTCAATCTTCTTATAGCACTGTTCTTATAGCATACTGTGTTCATGTTCCTCCTAGAATGGTTCAATCTTCTTATAGTGTGTACCTTGTGGCATAGTGTTCAACGTTTCTTCCTTGTGGCATAGTGTGTTCATGTTCCTTCCTTGTAGAATACAGTGTTCACATCTTCTTATAGCATACTGTGTTCATGTTCCTTGTAGAATACAGAGTTCACATTTCCTTATAGCATACTGTGTTCATGTATCCTTGTACTGTGTCCAGTGTGTCAGTTTAGCATACATATTGACCCTTCTTGTAACATATGTTCACAAACTTGTAGCATATTGTGTTCACATATAAGTTAGGCAAACAAACATTGAGAAAGTATTTTTCAATTTTTGTTATATTTCCAGATTTGAAGAACGAGCCCTATCGAAGAGCTGATGCCGTGAGACGAAGTCAGAGAAGGCGCGTGGAGAATATCATGCAGGTCCCAACAGGAAGGAGCGAGATATTTTAAATTTTTATCTCCAAGAGATAGTCGTCACACCAGGGTTGTCCCTCTTGTTGGAAATCACCATCTCATGTTGAAAACATCAGGTGACCAAGGGAGAACAGAGATTTTAAACAGTTCAATATGTCTTTTATCCAAGTTGGACGATAAATGAATTGTCAGCCTGGGTTATCTTCCCAATGTTCACGCAACACAAGATAGTGCCAGGTACTTTTAAAAAGATCATGGAGGTTGCATTTGCAGCTTGTGTACGTGACGTCCAATCAGAGTGAGTGTAGATGCTGATAGAGATCGACAAACCACAGAGAAAGTAGACTGACTAATGTGTAGATCACAGGAAGATGCAAGGATTTGTGTTTCCGTGGTTGGTGTAGCGGAAGAGATTGGACGTGGAAGAAGTGGAAGGGGAGATAACCCATGCAGTATTTCTAACGGAGATGTTGCGAGCAGGCGGCGGCTTGCTTGTGTTAATTGTTATTTGTGTAAGTAACTGAAGCCATTGACTGCATAATGCTATTGCTAGTTCCTTGTTACATGCAACACGGACGGACGGAGAGATTACAGAGTTACCAAATCATTACATGCGTTACTTGATATTCAGGATCATTATAGCCGAGTATGCGGTGGCCATTTGTCCAGACTGCCTGTAGTTCAGTGCTACGACTTGTAATCATTGTTGTACAACATGAAGTTATGTTACGCTGATGGTCAGGGATGGAAATGAGCCCCCCGGACCAGTTTTGTTAAAGCTTTACAGCTAGTCGAATTTCAACCATTTTTGGTATATGCTATCATGATTCAGGGTAGAGGACGGGCTTGGTTAATTTCCATCCCTCAAGGACAAGGTCAACTGTGTCAGAAAACTGAAGCTTCAAGTCATCTGTGCTTGAAATCACAATGGTTTAAAAGTACATTAATAAAACATGTCCATTTTTGGTGTATTCTGAATATGCTATCACTCTTCAGGATAGAAGACAGCCTCGGTTAATTTCCATCTGTGAAGGTCAAGGTCAACTGTGCCCGAAAACCGAAGCTTCAAGTTGTGAAATTTTACCAAGACTTCAAACCATCTTCAATTGCGATCTGAACTCCTCACCTTTTCATCACCTTTGACCCTCATAACTCAAGGTCGCAATTCTTCATCGATGATACCTAAATGTTTGGTCCTTGTGTTTGAATGTAACAGTTTGCCATGTCTTCATGTGATATTCATCTTCATTTGCTTAACGTGTCTTCCAATGAAATGTTTGTATTACAGAGAAACTGAAGTTATTCTTCTTGTGTATCTGGCTCAATTGACAGAGGCCTCTATTCAAGTCTCCTCCCTGTTCATATCGCTGGATATTCTGAATTAGTGTGGATTGAAGATAATGGAGAGTGACAATCAAAATATTGTTGATGCTTCTGAGGACATTATATGGGCAGTATTGGGACAGGTGGTTGTTTCAAGTGTACACATAGTATTCGGATTTGCTCACAATGTGGTTGGCCCTCCGGGTAGTGTGTTAGCTTGCCATGTAGTAGTACTGGTTTGATTCCAGCATGAGCTAATCAGTGTGAAGGTCATACTTTCAATTGTCCCCTTATTACCAGAATTTAGCTGTATTGACACATAATTTCACAAATTTGCAGCTACATAGTAAGCCATGTTGTTGCTTGATGTGTGGCTGGTAAGTCTGCTGTTTGACATTGTGTTGAGCAGGACAGTGTTCCCAAAAAGAAATTTAGAATTTTTTGACACTCATGACTCGTGCATGTTAACTTGGGATTATAACAGTCATAACTCCCACATGTTAACTTGGGATTATAACAGTCATAACTCCCACATGTTAAATTGGGATTGTGACAGTCATAACTCCCACATATTAAATTGGGATCATAACAGTGACAATCATAACTGCCACGTGTTAACTTGAGATTATGACAGTCATAACTCTCACATGTTAACTTGGGTTTATCACAGTCATAACTCTCATATGTTAGGATTATAACAGTCGTATCTCCCACATGTTAACTTGGGTTTATCACAGTCATAACTCTCATATGTTAGGATTATAACAGTCGTATCTCCCACATGTTAACTTGGGTTTATCACAGTCATAACTCTCATATGTTAGGATTATAACAGTCATATCTCCCACATGTTAACTTGGGTTTATCACAGTCATAACTCTCATATGTTAGGATTATAACAGTCATATATCCCACATGTTAACTTGGGTTTATCACAGTCATAACTCTCATATGTTAGGATTATAACAGTCATATCTCCCACATGTTAACTTGGGTTTATCACAGTCATAACTCTCATATGTTAGGATTATAACAGTCATATATCCCACATGTTAACTTGGGTTTATCACAGTCATAACTCTCTTATGTTTGGATTATAACAGTCATATCTCCCACATGTTAACTTGGGATTATAACAGTCAAGGGGATATGATTTTCTCTCTGGAATAACGCCTCGGATGCCATTTCACATAAGCAGTTGTAGCACAACAAGTACCAGACTCTTTTACTTTAACATTAACTTAAAGCAGACCTAACACTATGATTACTTTATGAAATGGGGCCCTTATGTTCAAATCACCTTGAAACACCAGCCGATATCTCTTATCATAGTCTCGTTAATTCCATTTGATTCACAGCTGTTCTCAAGGAATTACTTAAATTTTTTGAAGCAATGTTATTGTTTGCTCTAAAAGAACACCTCGCCTCTGTCGATTGGTTGCCTTGTGGTGTCCCCATCTTGTGACCTCATTTACATATTACCCAGCAGGCATGTCTCTGTGCCACAAAGTGCAATTTTCCGTGTCAATTTTTTTTTTTTTCCATTTCTTTTACGTGTTTATTATGCATGGTTGTTAAGTATAAATGGTAATAGGTTAGTTCCTATATGCTTTTATAATGGAACAGTTATCTGGACTACACATAAGATCAGAAGGCTGCATATTGGTAAATATCCATGATTAGGGCTGGAAGTCATATGAGTGAAACTATTACCATGGATAAATATATTTCTTATTCATCAGTATCCATATCAACCAATGTGAGTTTATGGTATTTTTACATTGGGTATATGCTCCTCAACATTAATTAAGGTCGGAATTATTCATATTAAAAGTTTGTTGTTAGCAAACGTTGGTATGACAATTTTGTAACCAGATGGATTGACTAATTCTGATCCATAATCAGGGGTTGATGGACAAGTTTGTGTAGCCCCTTACCATGGATACTCATCAGTTTTGGTCTTATATAAGTGTAGGAACATGCGGTATGTCTGACATAACTCTGCTGCTGTGTTTGCCATGTGTACTCAACTGTCAAATATGTTCTTAGTGCTTGAAAATCCATGAATATTTGTAAAGAAGGTCAGAATCTGGAGGGCTTTGTAATAACAATTAAATCATTTCAATTACAAAGCCAACATTTTTCCAGTGTATTTTGGTTGAAAAGAATTAAAAGTAATTAAAATTCTATAAAAATTAAATTAAATTGAAGTTGAAGGGTACAACACATGGAATCTGTCCTTAAAAGTGTTATCACATTTATTTCTTCAAGATTTTGAAAATTAATAAATTCAGATTCTACAATTTGGGTACATTATTTGAAATATAAGCTAAGTTTCATTAATATAAAACAAATTTTCTCCACATTCTGCCTTCTAGCATCGACATGGTCTCCACAATGTGATAAACTCAAGCAACAAGTTCCTAAACTTGCTTTTTTTTCCATGTGTAGCTATTTATGTTTTATTTTTTATAGCTTTTATTTGTGTGTTTTACGAAGCAAGTCGCCACCCAAACCTCTCGTAATTCCCCATCTGTATACAATGTATTTTATAAATATGTACATAGACGTCTAGATTTACTGAGTTATTGTACATTTGTATGTATTCACAACATTTCACCTTTAGAAAAAGTAGCGCTTACATAATCCAGGACTATTGATGTAGTGTGCGTGTTGCTGGCTTTAAAACCTCGCTGTCGTAGTTTCCATGGTAACCGCTCGACCATTTCACCTCCATAGTCATCAATCATGAATACGATTTCATAATGTGCAATGTGAAGTATCTGTTGTCGGTTTCCATCAATCATGTCAATTTGATGCAGAAGTTAGATTGGTATAGGCTTGCATGAAATCTATCACACATATACACTAAAACATGCATTTATATAAACAAACACATAGTTTTTACAACATGAAGCTGTTGTGAAAATCTGATACGGCAAAAGAATTGGCAATAACCTGACTGTTTATTGTGATTTTATGTTGTCATAAGTGGTTACGGATTGATCGGCATGTTTTAAACATACACAGAAATTCAAAGAATTGTTTGCTGGTAAACTACTCTAGATGTTTGAATGTCAAGACTATTTTGGCTTGTGATGATAACTGTTGTTATTGATGATTGCAGATAAGCATCATAGATCGTGTAGAAAAAACTCCACATCTCATTGTCAATGTTCCCCTCTTCATAAGATCCAAATATAATTTTACGCAAACTCCAACACAGACAGTTTCATTAATGAGGAATAATGATTGAAAAACAACTCTGTCTACGATATCCCACTGTCAACTTTCATTTCTACGTAACATGTTTTTTTCTTGTTGCAAACAAACCCATTTTTATTACCATTTATTATGGACCATTGACAAGATTTGCCTAAAAGGCCAATAAAATTGTTGCTTTGAATTATTTGTGATGCCCAAAGTTTTTTTATTTGGCAATTGAGAACACCGCGTCAAACGCGTTACATGGGGACCATCTCAAAACCAGTTTATTCCTGACATCATGATAGACTTTTAATAGCTCAGGCCAAGATAGTGCTCAAAATTTGTACATTGCTCATCAATCATCGGTTCAGTTTAATATATATTTTTTTTTATTGGTATGTAGACATGTAAATATATATCACCTGTGAGCTTTGCAACTGTTATTCATAACACATAATGCATTTCTTTGAGGTAAGGCTTGTACACATACTTGCCATGTGATAGACAAATATATCCTAGTCTTGGTGGGTGTTCTCTCAAAAGTGATATAGGGCACTTGTTGGTTCCTTTAGAATTGGTGCTAAATTTCTGTCACAATGCATGCACTTTCATGCACATACACACCTGCGCACACATGCATGCACACACATGTACACACACCTAGTATTGTAACAATGGATAGAAACATTTGTCAGCTTCACAAATTGTGCCTTTTGGTTGGTTTACAAAACAAATAACAAAAGCTTCTGAAAGAAAGTTTGAAAACATAAAATGAAGTTTAACAAAACATATCAACCTCTACCTTATATTTACAAGCTGCTAAAAATGTCTTAGAGAAATAAACAACTCACACGATTGACATGCTAAATATTCCAAATATTTCATGGTACGAAAAGATATTCTACTGACTAAATTGTGCTTTTCCTTTATTTCTCATTCCTCAACAGTAGGTTAATTTGGAAATTGACATTTAAGAAACATTTGGGGCCAAGCTTAAATCAGATGCTACAAAATTAAAAGGCTTCACCAAGATGCCAAAGTCGTTGCTCAGCATCCTACTTTGAACTATGGAGTTGGAGTGGTGAGCTGCCTGTCAGTTATTTATTCCGTGTCCAGGCCTAAGCGCATGGTTAACAGTGTTTAAAGGCACATTGTTTTACTTGATCTGTCACTTCTTTAACTCTCTCATCGGAGAGGTTACTAAAGGGAAATCAGTCAGCTGAACATCAGAAATAAGACCTTTTTGTGATAGACAATGGACGCAACAAGACCTTTTGGTGTTTGATTTACAGATTTCTGAATGATAATTCCTTTTCAATTAAAAAAATAATTGTACACCGATTCCAAAGAAGCCTGATCTGTTCATAATAAGAATAGAAGTCTACTGATGAAGTACAGTGTGTCTTTAACATTGGTGTACATTTGTCAGGGACTGTATCATTTCCTTGGTAGTTGTATTTACAGACTGTCCAGTCACATTGTTTTGTCAGTCTTTATTTTCCTCGATGATCCCGTGTGCTTGTCTGAGGGGCATGTTTGAAAAGGGCAAGTCCGACTGTATTGTACTTAAGCACTGCCAAAACAAGGGTATTTCTTTCTGCGACGGTGTCCAGCATAGTAGGTTAAATGCTGAACCTTTTGAGAAGTGACACGTTGATGTAGTTGCTGGTAGGAATGCTACTTTCTTAACTGTTTTAGGATGAAATTTTTAAAGAAATATTTTGAATGGCGTAGATCAGTAAGTCTTCCAGATTTGACAATTGTCTCTGATAATCCTGAAGATTACATTTTATTGCTGAATTAATGGATGGAATATTAGTATGAATTTTGCCTTCTTCAGTGATCTGGGGCGGTGGGGTAGCCTAGTGGTTAAAGCGTTGGCTCGTCACGCCGAAGACCCTTGTTCAAATCTCCACATGGGTACAATGTGTGAAGCCCATTTCTGGTGTTCCCCCGCCATGATGTAGCTGGAATATTGCTAAAAGCGGCGTAAAACTACACTCAGTCAGTCAGTCTTCAGTGATCTAATTCTCAGGCTAAATTGAACATGGTTAAGGAAGTTTGGGACAACTGGATGCCAAGCATTTTCTAACAAAGATTTTCAGTTTCATCAATGAAGTGCATTCTGTGCTAGAAATTGTGGGCTCTTTGGGCTCGGATTGAAAATTAATATCCTATTCCTGGTTTAGAATATATATAGGCTACATAAGTTTTTAATTATCTTACTTTTACTTTGACAAATAAACAATTTGAATGATACCACATAGTCATCCTAATTCATCAAGGGTATTATGTCACCCAGTACATATATGAATACCTGTTCAATTTGTGGTTATAACTTCTGTTGGAAAGTGAACACAATAAGACGATTCAAAGAAATCCAAAACTGTCCATTTTATATGTGTGATGTATTTCAAGTTGTTCTCCGCTACAGAGTGACCATTGCAGAGTGTGGTATCCAGGGGTTCGTTGTCAGAGTTTAGGGATGGTTCTGGGAAGAAGTGACCTGAATTAATCTGAAGCCATATGTTCTAACTAGGAAATGACCTATTTTGAAGGACTGTAGTCAGCCATCTCACTGATAGACTTGGTAAAAGCCATCCATTTGCAGCTTCATCAACATTGTTGGTGTGTCACTGATCTCAAATTCAGGCTTGGTTTTAATGGATGAACAATGTTGAATTTTTTCACACATAACATGATGCTCAATGCTTGTCAAGGTGAAATAAATCAAGTTAATAAGTTCTTCGTATCAGTGACTTTAAGTAGATATTCCTCATAATGAAACCCTTGATTGAATCTTTAACGAATGTCTGATTGATTGGTCCTCCATCACAATTTGTCTAACACTAGATGAAGAAGTGATAGAAGTTAACAGAGATCCTGAGTCTTGAAGGCTTTTGGCTGATGCTTTGTACTTTGTGGACCCTGGAATCGGTGTTAACGGGACACTAAGATCTCAATAGCTTCGGCCTTAGTGTTCTGTGGACTGTGGAATCGGTGTTAACGGGACACTAAGATCTCAATAGCTTCGGCCTTAGTGTTCTGTGGACCGTGGAATCTGTGTTTATGGAACACTAAGATCTCTATAGTGTCGGCCTTAGTGTCATTTGCTGCTGATTCTGGTGTGCTTTGTAACTGATTGAGACCGAGTCTTGCTTAAGTTGCTGTTCAACTGCTGAGTGTGTTTGTATTTATAGAAAGGAGGAAGGGTTTAGACATTTTTTTTAACAGAATATTAAACCATTTTCAATTTTGCTGCCATATTCATTAATTTTTAGTGAAATTACTGATCTTGAAATTGTATTAGTCGAGTCCAGGACCCTGGTACAAAGCAACCAAGGTGATCGTAGTAACTCTCATTAGCATAGATTAAAGACAATCGTAACTCTCATTAACGTAGATTTAAGAGGATCATAATTCTCATAATCATATTTACAGATGATCGTAACTCTCATTAACATATATAAAAGATGATCGCAGCTATCATTAATGTAGATTTAAGACGATCGTAGCTCTCTTTAACATAGATTTGAGATGACCGTAACTCTCATTTACTTATATTAAAGATGATCATAAATGTCATTAACATAGATTTAAGACGATCATAACTCTCATTAAAATAGATTAAAGACGATCGTAACTCTTATTAACAGATTTAAGATGATCGTAACTCTCATTAACTAAGATTTAAGGCAATCACAGAGCCAGATCACTTTGTGTGGTAGGGCCAGGGATGGGATGAGATGAACGTCCATGATGTCCAGACTCTGATTTGTCTAATCCCCTCCTCCCCGTGCTGACTGTAAAGATATTGGGCAGCCAATGCTTGCTATAATTCGGCATTTGCTTCCCATGGCTAGGATGTGTTGTAGGTAGCCGTTGAGCCAAGAGCAGCTAGAAGGACTCATGTTGTTGTGTTGTCACAAGACGCAAAGTTTTATGTGGATTTTTATATATCTTATTGGTCAAGACCTTTGTCACTGTTTTTCCCCCATTTTGTTGTTTTCTAGCTGACCACACTCAAAGTGTTTGTTACCAGGGAAACTGTTCCTTTCCCGTCACATTATTAGTTTGCAGTGTTAGCCACTAGTCCATAGCTCGCCCAGTAGAATACTGTTCAGCCAAGCTCAGGTAATAATGGTCTATATGATAACAGTAAATACAACTGAAAGTGAGGCCAAGAGCCATGTTCTTAGAGCCGATTTCAGCCTTTTGGGCACATTCCTGTTCTGGATTTGGAAAGTATTTCCCTAATAACTGGCATTATTACATGTATTTTAAGTTTTAGGATTCTTCTAAATTACGAAACAATTAATGAAAGAGCATTTTGAGGCTCAATTTGTTGTGAATTTCCAGCACATCAACATTTATAAGAGCTTTAAATTTAGGGACTGGTACACTTTCCCAGTGACAAGACACGTCGAAACTCACATTGTTAATTTGTAGTCAGTGGTTGTTGTTGGCAGGGTTCTGTTATGTGTGGAAAAGTCAAGTTTTGAGTTGAAATCTTTGATTCTTTTAACACATGTAAATTGACTGTAATTATACATGCTTTGGTTATTTTATTCAATTAGATTCATGTGATTGTTATTTGACTTGATGAACTTTATGAATGCTGTTTTATGCTAAGAGCGGCTGTACAGAGACTTGAGAGCTGATATACCTTAAAGCAGTGGCCTCAGTATTATCAATGAGCTTGAAATCCCGTCTTAGTGATTTCTGAACAACTACACACTTAACCTTCAGGTTAAAGGCAATGTATGAAATAAGGCCTGTCCGACCACCCGAGACGGGCTAGATTTCTGAGGGACGGTCTAAATTTACAGCTAGCCAGCCCGATGGTCTGGTAAAACTTGTAGATGTTTCATACATCGGAGTAAATTCACCATATCTTGGTGTCTGGTCTGGTTAAATCCGTTTTGGGCTGGTAACATTTTGAAGTTACCAGCCCTGATGTTGGCCAGGGCCCTGTTTCACAAAGCTCTCGTAAGCCTAAGATCTCGTAACTTTTCTCGGAGGAATCGTACCTCCTATGCTGTAGCATAGACTTACGACAGTCGTAGCGCTACGATAGCTTTGTGAAACGGGCCCTGGGTTTTGGGTTTATTTCATACACTGTTAAAGGCCTTTCTACATCAAGATTCGGGCACTAAATTCAGAAGATATTTAGGGTTACAATGCTTTCAGAAACAATCCATTTCATCTTTGATTTGTGAATTATTTTTCATTGACAGTCTTATTAATAAGCAGGATCACACAACATTTGCAGAATCATTACAGTACCCAACATCTCTGCTTCAAATCTGGATCTGAATGTGAAATATGTTGCACCATTCATCAGTATTATGTCTTGCTATACCTGTGGAAAGTAAGGGCGGTGGTAGCCTAGTGGATAAAGCGTTTGCTCATCACACTGAACACCTGGTTCTATTCCCACATGGGTACATTGTATGAATCCCATTTCTAGGGTCCCCTACACGATATTGCTGGAACATTGCTAAAAGCTGCATGTAAGGATGGCCAAGAAACTCTTGTCCTTGAAAACTTAATGTTTGATGTGACATCACATTTCCCAGCTGTGAACTGTTCCTTTTTGTCTTTGTGAGTTTACAGCTCAAATACCAAATTACATTTTCTTCCATAATTCATACAAAAAGAGTGCCAGTCTTCAAAGAATTAAATCTCCCAAATTTAATATACATAGAACTCTGTGAGGAGGATATTATTTAGCCTTACACTGTTGAGTGGGGTAGGCTAGTGGGTACAGCATTCACTCGTCATTCCAAAGACAGAGGTTCGATTCCCACAATTTGTACACTGTGTGAAGCCCATTTCTGGTGTCCCCCGCTGTTATTGCTGAAATATTGCTGAGAACAGCATATTAACTATACTCGCAAGCCTTGTTGCATTTATTCTCTCCTCTAGTATTACCAGAAGTATCAACCAACCAATAAAGTTTAAGCCGAGTTCTTGCATTCAACAGAGTCAGATTTTGCCAGGATTTAGTGTCATGACCAAACAAATACTAATTTTATTTGGGGAAGTTTGGTAGTTATCACAGCAATTTCGTTAAAGCGTGGTGGGGTAGTGTTGTGGTATAAGTGCTTGCTGATGTTGATAACCTGGGTTTGATTCCCAATGTGTGATTTTGATTGAAGTAATGTAAGACCCAACCCAATCACTATTTTGATGACAGGAAACACAAGACACATTGGATTTTTTTTCCATCAGTATGATAGAGACAAAACTGGTCCCGTCATTTTCATTATAGATACTGAAGATTTTAAGGTCTTTCACAAGGGGATTTCAGCTTCAGTCATGGTATTGAGTGTGTACACTGCAATGTCAGAAGTAATTGTTATGACAACATAAAATAATGTGTGTGGGTCAAGATGACCTGTCATATTGTACAATATATACATTATAGCTCATCACCTCTGGACTGGATTTTAACAGCCACATGTGCCATTGAAATCATTAAAAATACATAAACATTATAAAAAATGGTGTTGTGTTGTCACTTTCTTCAGTTTGTTAATTGTTGTTATACTCCAAAACAGCAGTCTGTAAATGCTTTAATCATGGCCAGACAATCCAGTGATTGACATCATGAGCATTGAATTTTCATCAGTGGTTCATCTGAGACATGCATCTCTTAGGGTTTGTTTCTCGGGGCCGGTGGGGTAGCCTAGTGGTTAAAGCGTTGGCTCGTCACGCCAAAGACCTGGGTTCGAATCCCCACATGGGTACAATTTGTGAAGCCCATTTCTGGTGTCCACGGCCGTGATGTTGCTGGAATATTGCTAAAAGCGGAGTAAAACTAAACTCACTCGCTCTCTGTAAATAATCAAGTTAGGACATGACAATCCAGTGACTGATCAATGAGTGAGTGAGTTTAGTTTACGTTGCACTCAGCAATATTCCAGCTATATGGCGGATGTCTGTAAATAATCCAGTCTGGACCAGACAATCCAGTTTTGGACACAAAGTGTTTCGTCATAATTGTTGTTGTAGATTAACATTAGCAATCAAAGGGACATTACTCTTGCAGGCTCATAAACTATGTCAAACAAGACGAAAACAAATTCTTATTGTTGAGAGGTATGAATGAAGGTGCCAAATCTTAGTTTACCACATTAGTTGTTTGTTGTTTAGGTTGCACTCAGCAATATTCCAGCTATACAGGGGCGGTCTGTAAATAATCCAGTCTGGACCACATAACCCAGTGATCAAAATCATGAGCATCGATCTATGGAGTTGGGATATGATGACGTGCCAACCAAATCAGTGAGCCTGATCACGTGATCCTGTTAGTCGCCTCTGACGACATCATAGTGGATAATGGAAAGAGTATAGAAGGTCATTTATTCAATACTCAGCTTGCAGCATCACATCAAAACACGGTACTTCATATTACCATATGTTTTCCTGCCTGGCACTCAGTCTTACAGGGATAAAACAAGCACTGGTAACCTTGGGTATCCATCCTACACTGCAGCGCTAAAAGAGACGTAAAACAAAACTCACTCACTACACTGCAGCATGGTGTCACTAGCTAGCACTGTACATGTGCAGTATCTTGACTTGAGCACGCACATCCGCTGTAAGTTCAATTTCTTGACCATCACAGCTGGTGTTAAAACTTCTAAATATTTTATCCCAACAATATTGTTGAAAACAACTTTATTATAGTGTAGAGAAGTACATTTATTAATAACCATATATAAAGTGTGTGCTCAACATCTTTGCCACTGTAAAACAGTGAGCACTTCTTAGATGCAGGGTACATCAGCAAGCTGTATGGATTTCAAGAAAACATTCTGAGAATTCATTCATCCCTGTCAAGACCAAGAAATGTATAAACAAAATACTTTTCAATGCCATTGGTCGTCAAGATACAGACATATCTCCTCTGCTGCACTGCTATGAAAAAAATACATCCAAGAAAGCAAATGTTTTGTAAACCCTCAAAAATGAGGGTATTCCTTTTGGGGAAAATTTAACTTCAAGTGTTCTGATTATAAGTTTATAATGTCTGTATATTTGTGACAAAACCAAACAAATTAGAATCTTTACAAACAAAACAAAATGATTGTATAAAAATGTAAATCACAGAAATCCACATCCCATCTATAGCAACAATGTCTCTGAATATATATAGATAAATGTATTTGGTAATACCTAAACATACCCTACTCACCATACAGATACATCCTTCAGCCACACATGTAACACACGCACTTAACCATGACACCTCACATTGGAGGGCTTAATGTATTTCAGTAATGTGTTGCTATGAAGAACAGCATCACCTTCCCTAATCTTTTCCTGAATGCATCCAAACTGTGCATGCAGATACCAAGTACCTTTATAACAAATATAGATGACATCACTTTTTGTTTGGCAACTTGTCTACAAATGCACCTCAATCAAATTACCTTATCCATGAATTTTGTCATACAAACACTTAACATATGAATATTGGTCCAGTATACAAAGAAACGGAATTACTTGACCTTCAAAGATGGTCACTCAAACATCCCCATCTGAATGATGATATTAATTTCATCCTTCCAAAGTGAACACTTCCTGAGTTACCACAAACATACATTTTTAAATATATAAAATTGAGACTTTTTACTTTGGATATCAGTGACAACGTTTCAGAAACATTCCAGGGGGTCATGTACAACACAACTCATGTACAGAGATGCCAACCACAAAGTGTTGCAAATAGTAGTTTCAAGGATCAAAATTAGTAGTTTGACCATAAAATGAGTAGTCAACTAAATACTAAAAATCATTATGGACTCAGAGAAAGATAATATGACACTAATCAAGAGTGAAGCTTTAATTTCACATACCTCCAACATTACCTCCACATACATTCCAAATTATCAGCATTACGTTTCTTATTGTCGTCTCTTTTTGGCGAAAATGTATCTAATCAACGAAAATATTTAATCCATGAAAATATATGTTTTTGTCTATATATCCGAATGTTAATGAATTTTTGTCAAGTTTCGTAGAATGAGTAGTGGAATCGTATTGGCGTAGTTTGAGGCTAAAATTCGTAGCGACTTCGATAAAATCGTAGAGGTTGGCATCTCCGCATGTATGACGTCCCTAGGTGGAATTCAATGTAACAACAAATGGCACATGCTCTTCACTGAAAGTAGGTCAGTATCCAACCATTGATATCCGAAGAATGTCACTTGTCATTCATATGTATTCAAATATTATAACCACTTGTGCATCATAATTATAAATATCTACATCCATTTGTAATTTGTTTCTAAAACCCTGCATGGAACATTGTGGAAGGGTCTGGCTTGGTACAGATCTTCTCAACTCTTCCTGAAGCCTCCCCAACAAATAGGAACACCAGGACCTTCACATATATATTCTGTGATGAGATAACAAAGATCTTGTCGACAACAATGTCTGCAAAATTTGTGCTTAATAAAAAATAGGTAGTCTATGAAAATGGCATCTTGGATAAAGTTCTAAATTCACAATCGTAGTTAAGGTGAATGTGATATGTGATGATGCACTCCAGATCCAGATCACAATGTAATTGATGGCCAAAATACATGAGAAAGGCACAAGGGCACTGATTATATATATGCTGACATATGGTCACCGCTTTTGGAGGTCACAGTCTCTTCAAGACTCAAATCAATGTCCACAGCTATAGCCTGCTGTTAAAGTTTCCTGACAACCAGCTAGACCTTCAAACCAGCTGGCCAGATCTGGAGACCAAATTCAGACCTCGAGATCAACTGGTTTGACCTCAGGACCAACCAACTAGATCTCAAGACCAACTGCTTAGACCTTGAGACCAACCGATTAAACCTCAAGATCAATCTATTAGACCTAACAACCAACCAGCTGGTTAGGCACAGAATAACTGTCTTGACCTCAAGATCACCTAGTTAGACCTTGAGATAAAACTGGCCTGACCTCAAGACAAATCTATTAGAGCTAAAATCCAACCTCTAGATCAACTGGTTAAATGTTAGACCAACAGGCTTGACTTCGAGATCTACTGGGTAGACACTGAACCAGCTGTCTAGACCTTGAAGCCAAACATCTCGACTTCACGACCAACCAGGTTGACCTATTCAGGCGCATAGCAAGCCAATTTTTTCGTGTAAGCCCGATAGGTTGCAAAGCTTTATATTTGGATAGTATTGAGGGCTTGCCCAACCTTTTCAGCAGCAATCATGTGTAAGCCCGGGCTTTTTTTATAATGGTAGCTACGTCCCTGCTAGTGACCAACTGACCACATACTCAGTATGGACAATCCACATCATTCATCTCCACATACACAGACTTGATCTGACTATAATAGTCCAAGGTGTCCCGGCCATTTTCCCGCCCAATTCCTGATTTCTTGTATCCTCCAAAGGGGACCCCGACGGGGTAGATGTTGTAGTTGTTGACGTAGAGAGACCCTGCCTCCATCCCCGCTGCCACACGGTGGGCCCGACTTAGGTCCCTGAAATTTGTCATCAAATGGGTTATTTGGTTGGTTGGTTGGTTGGTTAACACCACACTCAGCAATATTCCAGCTATATGCCAGCGGCTTATAACTAATCCAGTCTGAACCAGACAATCCAGTGATCAACAGTATATTCGTCGATCCATACAACTGGGATACCATAACGTGTCAACCCAGTCATCAAGCCTGACCACATGCTCCTGGCAGTCGCCTCTTAAAACAAACATGGGTAGCTGAAGAACAATTCTAACCCGGATCTTCATGTCAAAATATGTTACATACACTATTGTGTATCTAGCCTCTGAAATGAGCATATGTAACAGAAAAAATGGTCCCTAACTTAATTTCATAAAATATAATGAACAAAAGCCCAGAGACTTTCTTCATTTTCCTGAAACTGTGGTAATCTAGATTCGCCACATATTTTACACTTGCATTAGCTTTCTTGGGCATATAAGTTTCAAGGTCTGTATGACAGACTAATTATTGTGATGATATAAAGTTCTAATTTACACACTCAACACATAGAGTTACATCTTTATTAATCATGCCTCCTCTAAATTATGCTCAGAACACTCTTACATCACAACTCATTTGTGACGTGAAATATACTGATTTCTTTTGGACCTCTTTTGCATTTTTACAAAGCTACTTCTCAGATATTTATAAACAATCTATCAATATTTAGTTAATGATTACCAATAATAATAATAAATAAGTTCATATTTGTAGCGTGCCTAAATCCAAAATTTGCTCAAAGGCGCAGGTCATAGGCTCGTTTGAACAGGAGGGTCTTCAGATCACTTTGAAATATGTCACAGCCATTGATTTGCTGGATATTTGGCAGGAGTTCAGTCCAGAGTGCTGGGCCTGCTTTGGCAAAACGTCAAGGTCAAGGTTGTGCCGTGTGGTTGCACCTTTCACAGGGTCTGCTGATTTGTGAATGACCAATCTCTTTTATCTATATCGACAGTATCGATCTATATTGCCCTTTATGTATGTTTTGATTACATCGATCTATATACACATTTGCCCTTTATGTATGTTTTGATTACATCATGGAGTGTGTGAAGGCTTAAAAACCTCCGGGAACATCTAGAAATAGACACTGAGAGACAAGAAGTTGATCTTCCCTCACCTGGTAAACACGCCTCCAGCAAGGCCAAACTCTGTGTCATTGGCTCGCCTCAACACTTCCTCTTCTGTGTCAAAGGTCAACACCGACATGACACTACCGAACACTTCCTCACGAACTACAGTCATGTCGTCGTGGCAGTCTGCCAGTATGCAGGGAGACAGATAGTGCCCACCGGCGAGCCACGGGTCAGATACAGACACACGTTCTCCGCCATACACCACAGTAGCACCCTGAACACGTAGGCAAAATCTCAATGTCTTCATTGATAATGATCTAAAAGTGACTTTATCAGTAGTCATATTTGTTTGTTTGTATTGTGTGATATTTTTGCACTCAGCAATATTTCAACTATATAGCAGAGGTCACTATTTACTATATGTAAATAATCTGAACCAAACAATCCAGTGATCAACAGCATGAGCATCGATCTACGCAATTGGGATACAATGACATGTCAACCAAGCCAGTGAGCCTGACCATCCAATCCCGTTAGTCGCCTCCTACGACAAGCTTGGTTTGCTGGAGATCAGTACTAACCTGGATCTTCATGAGTGAGTCAAATTTGAATGGTCATTTCTTCATTACATGTTCATAAATTCCATCATGTTATTCCAAATGCTGTAAGGAACTGTTTCCTTGTATATTGTGCCCCAAAGCATAATTGGCATCCATTTAAGAGTGTTTTGTAGTGCTGGAGCGATTGATCGAATAATTGATCAATCTGATCGATCTCGCTTGTGTCAGCGACTATCGATCAGCTCAAGAGCTTTATCGATATTCATAAAAAATTCATCAAATTAAACTTTAGAGAGTATGTTTCTTATTGTTATGTTTGTTAAATAAAGACATGAACAACAGATGCAGTTTCCTTACTTTTAAAACTGCAACGTAAACAATAGGGCTCGGACGGGTACTCGAATCCGGGTCGGGTACAATTGAAATCGAATACTATTTCTAGGAATTGAGTACCCGGAAAGGGAGAGAACTCTATAATGGCAAGGGCACATAACTTGTCTTTTTCATTATTGCTGTAACACACATTTGCATCATTGGTATTGTCCGATTAATGGAGGTCATTATTAACGACTGTAATATATATGAGCATGAGCAGTGAGGAGTCAAGTTACAGTAACAGCGGTAACGAAAAGTCCTGTGTTTTAACGAGGAAAGCATGTAATGGAGTTACTCTCTATACTTGTTAAATAGACATAAATTAAATAGCCTAAGTTCAGTTTCAGTGTCTTATTGCCATCCTTTCAAGGTTTGTATAAAAATCTCCGTCAAGTTGTGATTGAATATTCAGAAAGTTGACAGAAGCGCTGTATTCCTTACACTTCCGGGTACTCGATTCGGGTAAGTACATGCGGGCACTCGATTCCATTTTTTCTTACCCGTCCCAGCCCTAGTAAACAACATACTCGCCTGAAAGTTTGAAAAGGAAGTATGCATGGTATTAATCGGTGCCTGTTTCGATTGCACAGTGTTATGATTGTGTTCCGTTATAGCCCACATGAGTTTTGTGGTGAGATTTCGATTACAATCTAATACTGAGATCCGATTATCGATCTGCATATTGTGAGCGATAACCAGCACTAGTGCTTGGGAAAAGCACAACCAAGACATGGCAGAATTCTATCATGGTTGGTAAAGAAGTGGTATCAAATCTTTATTTGACCACGATATTGCTGATGACCAAATAGAAGACATATAAGGCTCTGATAAGACATATGTACTTCTACTTTGGAAACTTCAAAGTTTTGAAAATTTACAGGCATCAAGCATCAAGCATCACTAAGTTTTACAAATTATCAATGTAAATCAATGTTTCATAAAGAGGATATCTTCCAGAAAAAACAACAAAAGAAGCTAGTACCTCTTTCTTCGCCCCCTCAACGTACGCCATGACCTTGTCTGCTTGACTGCTGCTGATGGTGGCTCCCACTGTCGTGTCTTCTGCATTTGGATCACCAATCTTCATCTTTCGTGTGCGCTCCACCAGTTTCTCCAGGAACTGTTGGGCAACATCCTTCTGGACAAACACTCGTGTTCCGTTGGAGCACACCTGAAAGACAGACACTAAAATCTAAGGGTATGAATGGAAACGGTCAGCTCACTAACAGAGGTAGAACCCCATGGGCACTCAAGGCTAGAATACCACCCTGGGTCAAGATTTTCAAAGCTCTCTTAGTGCTAAGATAGTCGTAAGTGCCATACTTTAACATTAACTTAACCCGTGAAGGTCCGGGTTAGAATGAACCTTCAGTAACCCATGCTCGTCGTAAGAGGCAACTAACGGGATCGGGTGGTCAGGTTCGCTGACTTGGTCGACACATGTCATCGGTTCCCAATTACGCAAATTGATGCTCATGCTGTTGATCACTGGATTGTCTGGTCCAGACTCGATTATTTACAGACCACCGCCATATAGTAGCTGGAATATTGCTGAGTGCGGCGTAAAACTAAACTCACTCACTCACTAACATTAACTTACGACTATCTTAGCAGTAAGAGAGCTTGAAAAATCTAGGCCCAGGAACCTATGGCTGTGCATACAATGTGTAAACTGCCAGTGTTATCATGAGGGAGGTTTGTTTGTTTCCTGTTTAATGCTACACTCAGCAATTTTTCACCTATAAAGTTATCCCGATATAAATAATCAAGTCTGGAAAAGACAACCCAGTGATCAACATCATGAGCATCAATCTATGCAACTGGGATACGATGACATGTGTCAACCAAGTCAGCAACCCGTTAGTCGCCTCTTACAACAAGCATGGGTTGCAGAAAACCAATTCTAAGAAGGATCTGTATGGGTTTATTGCACCATGGCCCAGTGGCATACTTGTACATGTGGATACCAACCAACTGCATGACTGTACCTGGCCCTGGTTGCTGAAGTTGGCTAACATCGCCCCTTTCACAGCATTGTCTATGTCCGCATCTGAGAAGATGATGAGAGGAGACTTTCCTCCCAGCTCCAGTGTAACATACTTGATGTCCTGGAAACACAGACATTATCACGCCATCAAGGGAACTATTGTTCTTGCTATTCTCAACTAAATCATACCTTAAACAAATAAGCATGCACAAGTATATAACTGTGTATTTGAAAGTGATATTCAGGGATAGAAATACTTTTTTTTCTAAGTGTGCCTTATGGCACCAGGTAAATATTTTAGGTGTACCTTTCAGAAATCAGGTGTGCCCACATGTTTTAGAATAAATGACTGCAGCAAGGATGATGATCTTTTGAAATTTGTTGTCAGAAAACAACAAATGTAACCAGTTTTCTGTTATCACTGATATGTCTTCTGTTTAGGATGGCTTTCTTAAGCTTCATTTGTTCTGCTTTCCCAACACCTTTAATAGCTAAGAATTGTGTGAAGGTTCACTTTTTTCAATATATCTAACATACACAATTTCCTCTTCAATAACTGAACTATCAATACTCCCAACACTCTAAATGAAAAAACAACCAGATTTCTTTACACGAACCATCCTAATTCCAGTGATTTCCTGGGTGATAAAGTCAATAAATGTTTTTACTTGGTTGTCATTTGCATAAGTGTTTTGTTTGGTTATTAAGTGACTAAAGGTGTGTTATGTCTTAGGCGTGCCATAAGGGCACCGAGAACATTTTTTGTCCGTGCCATTTCAATATTTACCGTGCTATGGCACGCTAATATATGGGGTATTTCAAACCCTGTGATATTGCTAATAAATGCATATAATTTATTTTACTGTTCATGTTTTGTAAATAATCAGGGCGCGGTGAGGTAGCCGAGTGGTTAAAGCGTTTGCTCGTCACACCGAAGACCCGGGTTTGATTCCCCACATGGGTACAATGTGTGACGCCCATTTCTGGTGTCCACGCCATGATATTGCACGAATATTGCTAAAAGCGGAGTAAAACTAAACTCACTCACTCTCTGTAAATAATCAAGTTAGGACATGACAATCCAGTGACTGATCAATGAGTGAGTGAGTGAGTTTAGTTTTACTTCGCTCTCAGCTATATTCCAGCTATATGGCGGATGTCTGTAAATAATCGAGTCTGGACCGGACAATCCAGTGATCAACAGCATGAGCATCCATCCGCTCAATTGGGAACCAAGGAAATGTGTCAACCAAGCCAGAGAGCCTGACCACATGATCCCTTTAATCACCTCTTACGACAAGCACGGGTTACTGAAGGTTCATTCTAACCCGGACCTTCACTGGTAGACTGATCAATGAATGCGCATTGATCTACGCAATTCAGATACAATGACATCCATGAACAAAGTCAATAACCCCAACCACTGACCACATATCAGTTATGTTTCAAGACAAGCAGGGCGGTGGGGTAGCCTAGTGGTTAAAGCATTTGCTTGCCATGCTGAAGACCCAGGTTCGATTCCCCACATGGGTACAATATGTGAAGCCCATTTCTGGTGCCCACTGTGATATTGCTGGAACATTGCTAAAAGGAGCGGAAATCAAAACTCACTCACTTTGAGACAAGTTGAGATGCTTGACTACTTTTAACTTTGATGTTCACAGGGAAGTAACAACATAAGCATGTTATCATTTCATGTACAGTAAGAAAGACCATGCAAAGTACATAAAGGCACAGTATTTTTGTTCAAAGTTTGAAAGTTAACCAACCTTTAGATCACAAACATTACTGAATATGCCAAATAAAATCCAATAAAAGATAAACAAATGTCACAGGAACATTCATTGTAATGCTCTAACTTGGTAGCATAACTACGTACCAGTTAAGCTTTTGTCATAGTAATGTAGGAGTGTATGAGATCTCAGAATGTTTGGGTATCACATGGTTAGGGTAAGTGAGTATGGTTTTATGCTATGTTTAGATATATTCCAGCTACGTCACGGCAGGGGACACCAGAAATGGGCTTCATACATTGTACCCATTTTTTAGAATCATGACATGATGAGCCAATGGTTAGAATGGTTACCGACCTGGGCACATGCTTCCATAATGCGGGATCCTGTGGGGACGCTCCCTGTGAAGGACATCTTGGCCACTCCTGGATGCCGACACAGTAACTGTCCAGTCTCCCCTTCACCCTGCAAACACAAGATTAGTGCTTATAATGAGGCACTGATGCTTAACATAGAAAAAAGGATCCGTTATGTGCCCCTACAGCCCATATGAAGCACAGCATAACATCAGTCAGGTGCTCCTATAACTTCACTAGACAACCTTGCAACATCCATCAAGTGCTTCTACAACTTACCTTGATTTAATTGTAACATCTGTCAGGTGCCCCTACAGCTTACCTGAATAACACTGTAACATCTGTCAGGTGCCCCTACAGCTTACCTGAATAACACTGTAACATCTGTCAGGTGCCCCACAGCTGACATGAATAACACTGTAACATCTGTCAGGTGCCCCTACAGCATCCTGAATAACACTGTAACATCTGTCAGGTGCCCCTACAGCTTACCTGAATAACACTGTAACATCTGTCAGGTGCCCCTACAGCTGACATGAATAACACTGTAACATCTGTCAGGTGCCCCTACAGCTTACCTGAATAACACTGTAACATCTGTCTGCCCCCACAGCAGGTCCTGAATAACACTGTAACATCTGTCAGGTGCCCCACAGCTTACCTGAATAACACTGTAACATCTGTCAGGTGCCCCTACAGCTTACCTGAATAACACTGTAACATCTGTCAGGTGCCCCTACAGCAACATCTGTCAGGTGCCCCACCTGAATAACACTGTAACATCTGTCAGGTGCCCCTACAGCTTACCTGAATAACACTGTAACATCTGTCAGGTGCCCTGTCAGGTAACCCTGTCACAGCTTACCTGAATAACACTGTAACATCTGTCAGGTGCCCCTACAGCTTACCTGAATAACACTGTAACATCTGTCAGGTGCCCCTACAGCTCCCTGAATAACACTGTAACATCTGTCAGGTGCCCCTACAGCTTACCTGAATAACACTGTAACATCTGTCAGGTGCCCCTACAGCTTACCTGAATAACACTGTAACATCTGTCAGGTGCCCCCACAGCTTACCTGAATAACACTGTAACATCTGTCAGGTGCCCCTACAGCTTACCTGAATAACACTGTAACATCTGTCAGGTGCCCCCACAGCTTACCTGAATAACACTGTAACATCTGTCAGGTGCCCCTACAGCTTACCTGAATAACACTGTAACATCTGTCAGGTGCAGGTGCCCCCACAGCTTACCTGAATAACACTGTAACATCTGTCAGGTAACCCTGTCAGGTGCCCCTACAGCTTACCTGAATAACACTGTAACATCTGTCAGGTGCCCCTACAGCTTACCTGAATAACACTGTAACATCTGTCAGGTGCCCCTACAGCTTACCTGAATAACACTGTAACATCTGTCAGGTGCCCCTACAGCTTACCTGAATAACACTGTAACATCTGTCAGGTGCCCCTACAGCTTACCTGAATAACACTGTAACATCTGTCAGGTGCCCCTGTCTTACCTGAATAACACTGTTAACAACATCTGTCAGGTGCCCCTACAGCTTACCTGAATAACACTGTAACATCTGTCAGGTGCCCCTACAGCTTACCTGAATAACACTGTAACATCTGTCAGGTGCCCCCTACAGCTTACCTGAATAACACTGTAACATCTGTCAGGTGCCCCATAACACCTGAATAACACTGTAACATCTGTCAGGTGCCCCTACAGCTTACCTGAATAACACTGTAACATCTGTCAGGTGCCCCTACAGCTTACCTGAATAACACTGTAACATCTGTCAGGTGCCCCTACAGCTTACAGCTGTAACATCTGTCAGGTGAAATAACACTGTAACATCTGTCAGGTGCCCCTACAGCTTACCTGAATAACACTGTAACATCTGTCAGGTGCCCCTACAGCTTACCTGAATAACAACATCTGTCAGGTGCCCCTACAGCATCTGTAACAGGTGTCAGGAATAACACTGTAACATCTGTCACAGCTTACCTGAATAACACTGTAACATCTGTCAGGTGCCCCTACAGCTTACCTGAATAACACTGTAACATCTGTCAGGTGCCCCTACAGCTTACCTGAATAACACTGTAACATCTGTCAGGTGCCCCTACAGCTTACCTGAATAACACTGTAACATCTGTCAGGTGCCCCCTTACAGCTTACCTGAATAACACTGTAACATCTGTCAGGTGCCCCTACAGCTTACCTGAATAACACTGTAACATCTGTCAGGTGCCCTTACAGCTTACCTGAATAACACTGTAACATCTGTCAGGTGCCCCTACAGCTTACCTGAATAACACTGTAACATCTGTCAGGTGCCCCTACAGCTTACCTGAATAACACTGTAACATCTGTCAGGTGCCCCTACAGCTTACCTGAATAACACTGTAATGTCTGTCAGGTGCCCCTACAGCTTACCTGAATAACACTGTAACATCTGTCAGGTGCCCCTACAGCTTACCTGAATAACACTGTAACGTCTGTCAGGCGCCCCCACAGCTTACCTGAATAACACTGTAACATCTGTCAGGTGCCCCTACAGCTTACCTGAATAACACTGTATCGTCTTTCAGGTGCCCCCACAGCTCACCTAAATAAAGTTGTAACATCCGTCAGGAGACTCAACAACTTACCTGAATAACATTATAACCTCCATCCAGCAGCCCTGCCTCTCTGTATATCTCCCCCAACATAACGGCTGTTAGCGGTGTGAATGGCGAGGGTTTGAAGACGACGGTGTTGCCGCATGCTAGTGCAGGAGAGGACTTCCAGGCCGCCATCTGGAAGGGGTAGTTCCACGCCCCTATAGCCCCTACCACTCCCAAGGCTTCACGGATTGTGTAGGCAAATGACCCCCCTGCCAGCTGAGTGAACTCGCCTGGAAGAATCACACCAAAACTACTTGCAAACACTGAGGAGCTTAATCTGTGCAGGAGTCCAATATTTTCCTTGCTATGCAATGGTGGAGTTCACTGAAGACAGATGGCAGTAAACTTTCCTAAATGGGAATAAAAAATGACTCATACAATTAAATTTTCATGGGCTAGTGGCTAAACATGTTTGTCTGATTGTTTGTTTGTTTGTTGTTTAACACCAAACTCAGCAATATTCTGTAAATATTTATCTCGGCAATGTGGATAAGATGACAGATGTCAAACAAGGTAGTGAGCCTGTGTTTGGCAGCTTCACTGAGAGTCTCTAGGGCTTCAGTCCTGCCTCACGAAGCACATGTGATACATGTGGTCTCACCTAAGGCAAGTGAGTTTGTTCAAACTTGCCTCTGTTCACCCAGCAGAAAAATGGGTACCCGGTAGGATAAGTCAAGTGACTATTAACGTTCTAGCACCTCACAGGCAGCTTAGGTTATCCAGGGTAATAATAATCAGATTGTAGCACTTTGAGAGTGCCCCTCCGTGGTGCGGAATTCAGCATATTACGAATGCCAATATTATTATTAGTCGCGTCTTACCAGTTCTAACCGGACCTCCACTGTCTGTAACTGAACTCAGGATCTACAGATGCTGAGCAAGAAGTCGGGATGCTTTAGGCTATGATGCACGAAACAAACTTAAGTCTGAGCTTTGACTTAAGAGTTTGTAGTCAAATTTGAGAAACGCAGGAAAATGCATTTGCCAGAATGAACTGAAATCGATATTAACTCATACATAGTGTACAATTTGTGTTGGTGGATACATTACTTGGGTTGTTTGGGCTTTTCAATTTTAAAAATGCAGTTGAGTTAAAAATTCAGCTGTTTCAAATTGTCAAACTCAGTTTGAAATTTGAGTAAAAACTTAAGTTTGTTTCCGAGAAATCGGGCCAGGTGTGTTAAAGTACCTGTTATTGCTGCTGCAAGCCCCCCGTAGTAGTCGATGGTGTCGGCACACCCCTGAATGTCATAGCGAGCCTCCCAGATCGGCTTCCCTGTGTCCAACACCTCTGTCCGTGCCAGTTCCTCACACCTCTCCTGTAACCATGGTATTTTTTACATTACCTGTACCAACCATTTAATCTTTGGAGAGATGCCCAAGCCCACAACAACTATTCATTTCATGGTCACTTCATTTCATCTAACTTTAAGAACTGGTATTCAAATGCATTTATTTTACATCAAACTCTCTATGACAACAAAACAAATATGTAGACATTTGATGTGTGTACTTGTCCCCGAGACAGGACAACCAGCTGCGGTGGCTGAGTGGGTTAGGCGGCTGACGTTGTGTGCTGGCGTTTAGATGCCTGACTCTGAGGGTGTGGGTTCGAATCCCGGATGGGACTCAACTCAACAAAAGTACTCGAATCTGTACTTTCCTAAGAAAGTGTAATCCCAATTATAACATATATAACAATCTATTCCACAAGACTAATGTTTAGTCTTTGAATAAATATAATCCTGATAGAGACAAATGATTCTGTATAAATTGAAAATGAATCCCATTGAGATGGGAGATTCAAAACCTGAGGAAATCTAGACTTGTTTCATTTAGGGCTTTCTCAATGCAGAAAGGGCTATCTTTCCCACTTTTTTCGAAAAGAAAATTGTACCACACAAAACCTTGACTGATTAGATAATTCTAAAATGGAATATTCTGCCCCCAGCCCTAGATCATACCCTAATCAGCTGTGCCGCCTTTCTCAAGACCTGGCCCCTGTCAAACCCTGACTGTCGGGACCAGGACGGAAGTGCCTGTTGAGCTGCTCTGATAGCGCCATCTACTTCCTCCACTCCAGAATTCTGTACCTGCCGCAGAACTTCCCCTGTCAACATAGCACCATTTAAAGTTCAAAGTCCCAAGCTAGGACTCCAAAATTCCAGATTTACATTTTCCAAGATTCAAATAGCGTCATGACTCCCTAAAATTCGGAATTCAATGTTTCAAAATCACACAGAATTGTTTAATACAATTTATGTTCCTAATCTTTGAGATTTACGATATGGAAGCATGATGGACATATCTAGGTTTCCAAACTAAATGTCTTTGGCAAGCGAATGTTCAAAACTGCATTATTTCAATGTTCTTATTTTAAAAATTTACATGAATCTGGATGTTCTTAATGCAATTTGGAAAGTTTATCTGTCATTTGCTGAAGGTCATCCTCGATAATCTCCAGGGCATAGGTTCCAATAAATCTCCACTAGTACCCTGGATGCATCTACGACTCGGCCCGATAATGTTATGATCTCCCTTTGCTGGCTTTTTATCCAATCAGGTGTCTACCTTGGGAAGTTGAGCGTACCAATCACAAGGCTTCTATCATAACTCACTTTCGCTTCTTTTATCTAACCGATTAAACTTGGCAACACAATTGTTGCAGAGGTACTCTGAAAGAGGTAGAAGGAGTTCTTGCATATATTTTTTGAAGGTTTCAGACCTGTCAATTTGTCTGTATCATTTTTTCCCTAAATCTGAGTCGCACAGCGAGCAAACGTTCGCGGCTGCGGCCACTATCTTTGGTGACACTGGCAAGCTCGGTTGTAACAGCTTATCTGATTGGCGACTGTGAGAAAGTGGACCCAGCAAAGGGAGCTAATAAAATTATCGGGGTGAGTTGTAGATGCATCCAGGTACTAGTGGAGATTTATCGGAATGTATACCCTGGAGATTATTGTGGATGGCTGCAGGCTTGAGGCCAAATATCAGCCTCCAAGCAGGTCTAGATAAATTTGTGAACACACTAAGCTGATGTCTATATGGTAACAAAAGCAGGTATGAGTAATAGCCATGCTGACAGTATTGCAAACACTATTCATTTTGCAATATGTTGCAATAGGAATTTTTGGTGATTTCCATGACACTATTATCAACAAATTGGAAAAATATCTTTGCATCACTTTGTATAATACTCACTAAATGTACACAACACACAGACCTGAAACTCTTGCCTAAACATGAAAAATAGAATAACCTTTCTGTAGAACATTTACAAGCAAGGGACCACCTTGAATGCATATTGTGAAATTGCACCTGTAGCAGGATTTATAAGATCAAATCTGCTGGCTTGGTCTCGTCCTTGGGGTTGATCACGCTGACCGTTGACATAGTTGAGTGGCTGCTGCACCTGTGCGGCTGAGCCTGTGACTGTGGTGTATCGGCGTCTCAAACATGTATATATCTGGCCACTTACTCGGAGTCTCATGGTGAATCTGAGGATAAGGATAAACATTATTAAAGGTCACATGCAAGCAGAAAATCAAACATAATTAAAACACAATTATCACTTATTCATGACAAATAATATACATTGCTGATTATGAAAAAAACATATAAACAAAATTATAAGCCGTACAATCGCAAATCAAAAGTGCAATAGTTTGTACTTGGGTTTACTTCCCAAGAAACAAGGCAGCCGGGATACTGAACCCAGTCAGAGCGGGTGGGTGTGCACTCAAGTGTAACGGCTGGTTCATTTGCAGATGCCTCCCTCACGGCTCATTGTGTGTGTATATATAGAGATGTTGGGTTTTGTAAATACATGCTCATTTTTTGTGTATAACATTTTGCAATCAACAGACATCATAACATGTTATGTGTACAAGTATCACACCTGCCTGTCTGTGTAATTACATAATGTGACAGAGACCGAACTCGGGCCCATAAATGAATGCGTTTTGTGTATAGCCTGATAGGTGTTAAGTTCAAATTGCATGTGGTCAGTAATCGTAGTTGTGTATTGAATATTGTCATTAGCAGACAGGCAGGCAGACACATAGGTGTCAATAAAATAGACAGTGAGTTTTGTCTGTGACAACGACATATCTATATCACAGTTAGAAATTCTGTCAACGCTAAATAATGACATTGCTTTTAAGTATCGAACTGAGAAAGTAAGAAGAACGTGTGGTGAAATAGACAAATGAAATTATATAAACAGTTAAATCGGTAATCTACTGTCTTAACATATAAAAAGCTCGCGCCTGTGGAATATCAACAAAACATTAGAAAATAGCTCACACCAAAGCCTTCACCGAGTATTCACCGGACAACCCGCTTCCAAGCTGCATGAACCTATTTCACTGCGCATGTGCTATGAGTACAGCCCAGTGTAGTGCAGCCCAGCTGTTGAAACCACTCTTCCCCCAAGCGCTGGGGGAAAATTAGCGAATCGTTTGAACTCCGATTTCGCGCAGTTTTTTTCATCGCGTTACTTTTCAACTTTATAAGTTGAATTTGCATTTTTGATGATTTGTTTCAGTAAGTCCATACCAAAAGGTATCAGAATCTGCAAAGATGTGTTTTACGTTGCATGTGACCTTTAAATAATTGAAAGATATCTCACTCACTTGGACAGCAAAATAACTTTGTTCCCTTCTAGTCATTTAGAACTTATCATTTTGGAGCAATTCTAGAAAATCACTTCATTACTCAGATATAACATTTGTCTTTACATCACTGGAATAAATTTACAACTGAGATAGATTCTCTGTCATACTTACACAGTCTTATTTATTTCCAATAAAATGAGACATTGTCAATTATTGGTTGGTTAGCTAAATCTCTGTGATGTGGCATAAACATTTTAAAATGTACGAGGGTTGAAATACTTAAGGTGAAAAATCCATACCTATTTTACTCATAGTTTCTTTACTTACATTCTAAAAACATGTTATTGCCTGTTATGCTGTCTACAGTATTACATATTTTCTGTGTGATTTTGCAGATTATAGTTACATGCAAATATTTAAGATTGGATTTAAGTTTAGACTTAAAATATTTTATAAAACCTCTGCACTCCCAGATAGGCATGATATGCACTGTTTCAAGGTTAGTTCATGTTTAATATTTAGCACCACAATGTGACCCACTTGCAATCAACAAGGTCAATATTTATTGTTAGCTGCAGACAGAAACTCGCTTCTTTGCAAAAAGCTTTATACGAAATAAATATAGTCAAAAATATATTTATAACTTCGTTCTTTGAAGGACAGGAGATACGAAATGACCCAGGAATACGAAAGTCAGAATTTGCTTACGAAACAACTTAGAGGATACAAACTACCAGATTACGAAAATACACAATGGTTACGAAACTACTGGGTCAGTAAAGTACTGGGTCAAGAAAATGTCATTTACGAAATGACATAAATGAAAAGCAGAACTGAAGTAACCTGTCGGAAAACCAGTTGATATCAGTATGCTAAACTTGGGGCCTTGGTCTGACCACTACTGGTGGATTTGTGTCACGCACATAGCACTTTATGATTAGTCAAAACCACAGTAGACCTGGACTTGCAGGCTGGTACAGAGTCTGAATATGAGGTACTTTGTAAAAAATGTAAATTCAAAGAGAAAATATGTGATAATTAAGCTTGGAAATTTCCACAAACCTACCCCACATGTAAAGCAGACAACTTTCAAAGGGAGGTAACTTTAACTTTCGTCGTCTTTGTCGTCTTCCGTACCACTAAAACAATACCTTTTCACTGTCGGTAAACGCGTTATTTGTTGAGTGGGAAACCCCTATTACGCCTCATTATATAATGAGAATATATTTTATTTACGCCAATCCTTGTCAACGTGTATCAGATTATTTTCAGAAAACACGTTGTTTACGTCTTACTCACCAATATTCCAGCTACGTGTAGGCGGTCTGTAAATAATCATGTGATCAACATAATGAGCACCGATCTACGCATGGATGCGATGACATATGTGTCAACCAAGTCAGTGAGCCTGACCACCCAATCCCATTAGTCGCCTCTTACGGCAAGTTACTCTACATGAAAAGAAAGTATCTTGAATGTTGTGGAAATAGTGCGTCTAACAATAGAAACTATGTAATGTATGATTATGTATTTATGTGATTTACTCCGAATTACTCTGTGGAAATGACGAAAGAAACGTGTTGTTGTTGTTGCTGTTGTTGTTGATGATGGTGATGATGATGATGATGATGATAACTCAGCAAAAGTCTGACGTCACACCGCATTGTTTCGCCAGTGTTTTTGGTAACAAGGTTTCACAAATTACGTCATAGCGTTTCACTAATTATTACTCACCCGTTGAAGATATGTATACGTTAGCACCCTCCTCAAGGGTGATATGGATTTCAACGTTGAATCCATATCACCCGCAGAGGGTGGGGTGGGGGTGGGTGCTAACCTACTTATACCACGTGGGCGCCGAATGGCGTCGTACATTGCTTGTTGCACGTGCGTTTCCTGCACCGCCAAGGTTGTTATCCACATATCAACCTCTGCACGTGCAGATAGAAGGTTGATACACAGAAAATCAACCTGCCAGAACAATGGATATAGTATACCCTAGTGGTATAACACTGGTTAATAAATTTACAATGTTATTATACATTGTGTAATAACATCGCGTGATGTCGGACGTATGACGTCATAATGTTTTACAGTTATGATGTCACAATGCTAATTCCTCTGCCACAGTGTTATACCTTGCCTGATGATGAGTCATCGCTCTGTAGGCAGTTTCTATCAATTTATGTTGGAGAGTAATAAACAGAATACTCAACTCGCTTCCGTGAATTACCATTTTAATTAACTCATGAAATCATTAACTCGTTTAATAAAAATGGTATCACACGGAAAGTCGTTTAGTATCGTCTATTTACGTCATGAGGTACCCGTGAAGATCCGGGATAGAACTGATCTTCAGTAACTCATGCTTGTAGTAAGACAAGGGGATCGGGTGGTCAGGCTGGCTGACTTGGTTGACACATGCCATCGTATCCCAATTGTGTAGATCGATGATCATGCTGTTGATCACTGGATTGTCTGGTTCAGACTCGATTATTTACAGACCGCCGCCATATACCTGGAATATTGCTTAGTGCGACGTAAAACTAAACTCACTCATAAGGTATTGTGAGGTATTTTTAAAGTTTGTGGTGCGATTTCATGCGATTTTGAGACTGATTGCATGAAATTCTCGTGTCCCAAAATATTGTCTAATTAGGGTTGAATTTTGGATATGATAACAGGGGCGGATCCAGAGGAGGTTTGCGGGGATTCGCACTCCCCTTCTCCCCGAAGGAATTTTACCTCAGGAGGGCTTCATTGTTTATGTGCAAGCCCCAAGCCAGCAGATTTGATCTTATAAATCCTGCAGCAGGTGCGATTTCAAAATATGCAGTCAAGGTGGTCCCTTGCTTGTAGGACTGTAAGGTCCTGAGTTCTGATGTGACATTTGGGTACAAGAGTTTTGTACCGATTTTATGCAGAAATGGAAAGGGTTACATATGTCATTTTAGATTATAATCACAAACAAACAGATTACAGCCTAACTGGAAGGTCCGGGTTAGAATATTGGCCTTCAGTAACCCATGCCTGTCGTTAGAGGCGACTAACGGGATCGGATGGTCAGGCTCGCTGACTTGGTTGACACATGTCATCGGTTCCCAGTTGCGCAGATCGATGCTCATGCTGTTGATCACTGGATTGTCTGTTCCAGACACGATTATTTACATACCGCCGTCATATAGCTGGAATATTGCTGAGTGCTGCGTAAAACTAAACTCACTCACTCACTCCCTAACTGGAAGATTTTACCCAAACATCGCATTGAAATATACAAGACGTTGCTTCCATAAGACAAAATGTTGCACAGCCTTCAAATGTTCTTTTAAACAAAATTATGTGTGAAGAGGCTATAAAATGTCCGAGTCCCGTGCTGGAATTCTAACCGCGGTCTTTCTGATCTGATGTCGGGCGCCTTGTCCACATGACCAAAGGGGTTATAATCAACCACGTCAGCTAGCTGACAAGGTAAGGATGTCATCTGTGGGATGACTCCACGCCCTGTTTCATGTGTCGGCAACCTGTCTTGTCCCTGGCAACAATGTTTTGAGGTGCGCCCAACTGCAACATGCAAGTAAAGGTACACTAAAGTTGCGTAGTGAATATTGTTACAGTTGCGTAGTGAATATTGTTACAGTAGTAATGACTATGTGACATTAATGACGTGTTTTTGATTGTTTGGTTCCAAGAATGCAATATGTGTCTGCTAACATCCGAATCTGAGCAACAATGGTAAATCTGGCACAACACCCCGGCGCTCGGGAAACAACACTCGCAGTACAACCTTGTGAGGCAGGGCGAGCAGTTTACACACAGTTTACAGTTTACGCACAGTTTACACCCAGTTTACAGTTCACACAGTTTACAGTTTAGTTTACAGTTTACACACAGTTTACACACAGTTTACAGTTTACACACAGTTTAGAGTTTAGACACAGTTTACAGTTAAAGTTTGCGCATAGTTTGCACACAGCTTACAATTTACCTGCAGTTTACAGTTTACACACAGTTTAGAATTTACACATAGTTTATGCACATTTCACATACAGTCTTCATACAGTTGACACACGGTTTACATACAGTTTACATGCAATTTACAGTTGACACACAGCTTACAGTTTGCACACAGTTTACAGTTGACAAACAGTCTACATACCGTTTGCATACAGTTGACACACAGTTTACATGCAGTTGACACACAGTTTACATACAGTTGACACACAGTTTACATGCAGTTGACATACAGTTTACATGCAGTTGACACACAGTTTACATACAGTTGACACACAGTTTACATGCAGTTGACACACAGTTTACATGCAGTTGACACAGTTTACATGCAGTTGACACACAGTTTACATGCAGTTGACACACAGTTTACATGCAGTTGACACACAGTTTACATGCAGTTGACACACAGTTTACATGCAGTTGACATACAGTTTACATGCAGTTGACATACAGTTTACATACAGTTTTACACAGTTTACATTGACAGTTGACACAGTTTACATAGAGTTTACATGCAGTTGACACAGAGTTTACATGCAGTTGACACACAGTTTACATGCAGTTGACACAGAGTTTACATAGTTTACATGCAGTTGACACAGTTTACATGCAGTTGACACACAGTTTACATGCAGTTGACATACAGTTTACATGCAGTTGACACACAGTTTACATACAGTTGACACACAGTTTACATACAGTTGACACACAGTTTACATGCAGTTGACACACAGTTTACATGCAGTTGACATTTACAGTTTACATAGCAGTTTACATACAGTTGACACAGTTTACATACAGTTGACATACAGTTGACATACAGTTTACATGCAGTTGACACACAGTTTACATGGTTGACATGGGAGTTGACACACAGTTTACATGGAGGTTACAGTTGACACACAATATACATACAGTTTACACACAGTTGACATACAGTTTACACACAGTTGACATACAGTTTACAGTTTGCACACGGTCGACAGCAAAGTTTACAGTTTGCATATAGTTTACATACAGTTACACACAGTTTACATACAGTTAGCACACAGTTGACACACAGTGGACATGCAATTTAAGTTGACACACAGTTTCAGTTGACACACAGTTTGCACACAGTTTGAGTTAACACACAGTCTACATACAGTTGACACAGCGTTTGCACATAGTTTACACAGTGTACTGTTTACAGTTGACACACAGTTTACAGAGTCCGATAGAGAGTACCAAGGGAGGCAGCGAAGTCAGCCTGACACTTGGGCTGTAGATGGTCTGGACTGGCTGTTCAGTGCCTGTCTCTGCTTGTTCCTGCCTTGCCATTCTGCTGGCCTGTCCGCGCTCTTCCCGCTCTCTGCCGGCTTCCCCGACTTCCCCTACCCTACTTTTATAGGCAGCTGAACGACTAACAATCTGTTTAGTTCGGCAATTCTCATGGAAATAATCTGCTCAGCTGGTCATGTTTTGATTAGTTTGACATATCTCGGACAAGGGAACACGACAAATAGCGTTACACAAACAACCCGTTTCACGTGCTGTTCGAGATGACTTGCTTCACGGCTGTCACAATGTTGTGTTCGGTAGCTTGATTTCTTGCGAAGTGTTCTTGCAACATTAACCACACATTTTCACTTCCAGACATTTGTGTATGTTTCTGTAGTTCCGGGGAGGTGGGGTATGCCCCATTTAGGGAGGCTTTCTAAATAATACCCATAATTTTCATGCATTGTATAAAAATAACAGAAAGTTACACCAGATTTTAGACATAAACGCACAGGCCAAAAATAAGGAAATGCATTAAACATTGTGTACACAAGTCGATTAAGTTTGAGCATAGATGAAGGAAATTTGACACACAGATGAACATATTTATTGTTGTCATTGTCAGCTTTCAGTTAACCCATTGCACATGTGTGGACACAAGGGATCATTCCGGTCAGTCCTTCGTGACACCACCCCTTGCAGCCGTCACTGCTCGGCACCGCCTTGGAAAGGATTGCACAAATCGTTGGCTTTTTTGCTTCTTCGCCATTCCTCCTGCAACGCGTTAGCAAGTTCTGCAAGTGTCTGAGGACGATGGTGACGTTTATGGACGCGTCGATCAAGTTTGTCCAATAGATGCTCGATCGGGTTCAGATCAGGCAATTTGGAAGGCCAGGGAAGGACACTAGGCACCTTGGTGACGTAGGTCAAACACACGGATGTATAGGTCCTGAGCAGGAGTGGTCACTGTTAGTCTTCCACTTCTTGGATGATCTTGGGTCGAATTAAAGCGGGCATATCAACGCCATAATCAAAATATGATGCTATGGTTGACGTTGAAGTGTCTTGCAATGGCAGACAGGGACTCTCCTGCTTAAAAAAATCCAATGGCGATATTTCGGTCAGTGGCATTCAATCTAGGTATTTTTTTTATCTTAGTTTACGCCGTAAATTTCGTAATGAAATGATGAATTTGGGTTGGCCGTTATCACCGATGTCTCTACTCATGTGTCCGACACATTGCACGAGCAAGAAACATTTTTCTGCATGCACTTTTCATATATCGTTTATATCTTTTATGAAAAATGTTTACAAACACACTTTGGGATATGCTTGCATGACAAAAAACAACCACGACATGACGAACGGGATTCAAACATAGGAATTGTCTAAATGACGATTGCAGTCAACATAAACTGACGGCCAGAAGAAACTTTACCATAGTTTCAAACAGTCATAGAAAACACAAGATACTATATAAATGTTTCATATAAACTGTATTCAAAAGATCAATCCCAACTCGAAATGACACAAAAGCCTGACATCCATATAGTGTTCGGATAAAGCAGAGCAGTTGATTAAAGTCAGGTGGGGTACATAAATTGAAGTTCCAAAATGTTCACAGAATATGAGCAAGAAACAATGTAGTATTTCTCTCTGAAAAGTTCAATCAATAACGTGTGTGGCCCCCTCAGGCATCAATACAAGCAAGACCCCGCCTTCTCATGGAGAAAATCAGAAGTCTGATGTGACCTCGTGGTATGCGCCGCCATTTCTCCTGGAGTGCTTGGATGATGTCCTGTTGGTTAGCTGGCGTGCACTGTTGTTGTCGGATACGACCATCCAGGATATCCCAAAGGTGTTCTATAGGGGACATGTCCGGCCACGGTAGGACGTTGACGTTGTTGGCAGCGAAGACCTGTTGAACCACACGGAATGTGAGGGGTTGTGCGTTGTCCTGCTGGTAAAGTACGCCTTGTCGCTGCCCCCTCCGCCGTGCAGTACAAGCTCTTGTTCTCTCTCCTCTCCGGCGGTAAACACGTTGTCTTCCATCAGCTCTGAACAAGGAGAACCTGCTCTCGTCACTGAAGACGACCCTCTGCCAATCACGTCGCTGCCAACGACTTACAGTTTGGGCCCATGTCAGTCTCCGGCGACGATGTTCAGCGGTCAGTAACTGTCCTCGTAGTGGTCGGTATGCTGTTATACCCTGATCCCGGAGTCGCCTGCTGACAGTCTGTTGACTGATTTGATGACCTAAGGCATTCGTCGCTGATGACGTCACTGTGATGAATCGATTTCTCAGATACCGGTCTTCGTTAGGGATAGTAACTCTGGGTCTTCCTGATCTTGGTCTGTCAGAGGTCTGTCCTAGCTGTCTGTCGGAACCGCTGCATCAAGTTGGTTACCCCAACACGCGGGCAACCGAAGATTCTTGCAATGTGGGCGTGGGTGGCCACGATCTGGACCATGCCGATGGCTCGTGCTCGCTCTGCAGCTGTAAGGCGTGGCATTTCAAACCCCTTTTTATACCCACCATGCACGTGCAGTTTTCATACTAAACGAGTCACGTGATTTTTCGCATTTTCACATCTTGACGTGCAAAACATGCGCTTCACGTGTTGTTTCGAGGGTTGCTGTGTTCTTGCGATGTGTTTTCATTGGTTTGCGGACCTACAAACAACTTTTCATTCAAGTTATTTCATTTATATAATTGTAAAGTTTCTTTTGGCCGCCAGTTTATATAGCAATGAATGCTGATAAAGCCTGTGCTTTTCAGTTTTCTTAAGAGTGTTCAAAAAGTAAATTAAAAACGGAACAGCATTGATTGATTTTGAAATACCTGAATGTATACCTTTTGCGGGTTTTTTAAACACACAAAAACATGCATGCATACAGAAATTGAAAGCACATTTTGTTCTCTCGTTTTTAGATTCCCAAGGGTGAGTGACACACAGAGGATGGTATACATGGTTTGAGTGCTCTTAAACATCACATTCATGACCTCTGTCACAGGTGGTTGTCATGGAGTAAAACCCTCGACAGTACATGTTTGTTTAAGATAAAATATTCAAAACATACTCTGTATTTCTATTAAAAAAGAAGCGAAACAGCTTTCTTGACTTTTTACAATTTATTCAGAACATACAGCTTGTCCAGTGTTTGATATATAATTTTGTTATAAACAAGTGAATAAATAATTTTTAGACATTTTCTAGTAAAGAAAAACAATAAAAACACAACCCACAATCATAGGTTCCTGGCAGGTCCAAGGGACGCAACTCTGCACAGCTAATTTAGGCGCCTCAGACAATTGAGCCAATCGGAAACACACATGGACCTAGATTTTCGAAGCTCTCTTAGCTCTAAGATAGTCGTAAGTTAATGCCAATGTATGGCACTTACGACCATCTTATCGCTAAGAGAGCTTCGAAAATCTAGGCCATGGTGTGCAAGAAAAGATCAGGGCCACCATTTTCAGATTGAACTTTTGTCGGTAGATTTATGACGTCACACCTCGATACAGGACAAAATGGATCCGGTACCCTATTTTCGGGAGAATTTATAACGGCAACGTTTTACGATGTTGGTATACTCGCTGTGGTGTAACAAACCAGTTTCAAATACCCATTACATTCTGATGATTCGTTGTCATTGTCCGCCACAGACAAAAAGAAAAGGTTCTGCTCGTCATGCCAAAGAGTCACTTTCGATTCCCAAAATGCTTACAAATATCCTACAGTCTACATTTAGCTCCTATCCTGTTCATGATCTGTCCTTTGTGTAGATGAAAAGACGCCAAAGGGAGGGTACAAGTCTATATGAATGTCCCCATCACATTTCTGGAATAACTTCACAAAGTGATGAAAACTCCAGAATCTACAGTCATTTTGTTTTTGTGATGGTTGAACATGATGTTTTATAAACTGCATTCATTTTCCTTTGCCTGGGCATCCAAAGCTTGCTGATCCCAGTGTTTATTTGGCTTCACTGACTGTTGAAGTTTCTGAAACAGATATTTGTGTAAACTTGAAGCAACATTTCTTGAACAGTTCTGAGAAGCGCTAGCTGAAGCGTTGTTGAATGAAATGAAAACCAGGACATTCACCGCATTGTAAAAATCAGTTTAAAGCTCTTAAATGTAGCGACATAAAAACCTAAAAGCTTTCCAGAAACAAATTTAACCAACATTTGAACATGCGAAATATATATGGAATCAAATATGAACTATTATTTTCAACAATCCATGAGTTACAAATCACTGTGCATTAGTGTGTTTATATCTATGCACAAAGCACCATGTTTTACTTAATATTGAGCCGAGGTTTGCTTTCAAGTTTGGCCCACCTTTGCTCATCATGAAGTGAATGGGGAAGCTGCGCTGAAGTTAAATGATCGTTGAGCTTAAGACGCGAGGCTCAGCTGTGTAGATGACAGCTTTGAAATAAATTTTGCAAACCTAACCATACGCTGCGGGTGTAGCGATGTGGAGAAAAGGCGGAGGGGCGGTTGAATGTTTCAATAGTTGCGCCAGACACATACAAATGTGACGGATACCTATAACAGTTGGTCACACAACAGACAGGGCTCTGTTCTACCTGAATGAGCGTGTTTCCTGGAGTCTTCCAGACTCCCCAGACGAAGAGAGCGGGCAAGGGAACAATGGAAGCTATAGATATCATCCATCCAAGCCCCGTGGCCCAGGCAGGGTAGACGTAGTCCTCGTATTGAGGGGGGCGGTAGGAGGCGAAGGAGTAACCCAAGATGATCTAATTCAACACACATATGATGATTAAATGAATAGTAGGACCCTTTGAGTTTTTTCCGTGTCACATTCTTTACAAGAGTGTTTTACGCCGCACTCAGCAACATTCCAGCTATATGGCGGTGGTTTGTAAATCGAGTCTGGACCAGACAATCCAGTGATCAACAGCATGAGCATCGATCTGCGCAATTGGGATACGATGTTCTAAGAGACGACTAACAGGATCGGTGGCCCTACTACACTTCCGTAGATTTACGCTTCGCAGAAATACAAATCATTTGTCGTGATTTGCTCCGAAATCCATCTCATCAAATTTTAAATGAGTCGAAATTAACAAGATATTCTTGTCAGTCTTTACAAGCTCCCTTAACACATCCAAGAGACTATGACCCGTGAAGGTCCGGGTTAGAATATTGGCCTTCAGTAACCCATGCTTGTCGTAAGAGGCGATTAACGGGATCGGGTGGTTAGGCTCGCTGACTTGGTTGACACATGTCATCGGTTCCCATTTGCATAGATCGAAGCTCATGTTGTTGATCACTGGATTGTCTGGTCCAAACTCGATTATTGACAGGCCGCCGCCATATAGCTGGAGTGCGGCGTTAAACAACATCACACACCCAAACTGAATCCTAAAGGTTATATTGTTAATATTTCGAGGACATAGTACACGGATAATATAAAACACTACACTGTGATAAAATACATGAATATTACAACAGGAATTGACATAAACATTTACCAGTAGGAGCAATGGAGAGGCAAATTTGATTGACAACGTGATAGGCCGAGGAATCGTCTTCCCCCACATCAGCATGACGTCCGCTTGAAGTCTTGTTGTGCCTTAACAGTACAATAATCATAATTGTCATCTGAGTTCAATATACAATCAAGTGAGAGAGTGTAGTTTTACGGCGCCTTTTGCAATATACCATCAATATCACGGGGATGGGAATGGGGGTGGGTGGTTGGGAGGCACCAGAAATGGGCTTCACACATTGTAACCATTTTGGGAATCGAACCCGGGTCTTCAGCGTGACGAGCAGACGCTTTAACCACTAGGCTACCCCACCGTGGACGAACCACGAGTTCACGTCCTTCAGTGCAGCTGGAGGTAAATCTATAATGTGAATGCTCGTGTATTATCCTTTCCACTTATCTGCCCAAAAAAATTCCACAGGATTCAAAGGTGAAATAGTGACGCAACGTGATTGCAACCTCTGACGTTTCTAAAACAACTGGGACGATGGGGTAGCCTAATGGATAAAGCGTCCGCTCGTCAGGCTGAAGACCCGGGTTCGATTCTCCAAATGGGTACAATGTGAGAAGCCTATTTTAGTGTTCCACGCCGTGATATTGCTGGAGTATTACAAAATCCGGCGTAAAACTATACTCACTCACTCTAAAACAACTTGCATATAATTTTCGATATTCCTCACGTCTTATGTTGTTTGTTTGTTGGTTACGTTTAAAAAGTCATACTTTTTCCGATGTATGTCCAAAAATGCTTCTGTAAGAGATATATCTTAAAGATTCTAAAACATGAAGGCAAATGCCATCCGAGTTATAAAATTAGATGCCTCAGTTTTTAATAAATTTTAGAAAAATGTTTGATCATCACTTCTAAATGCGTCTTGGGGCGGTGGGGTAGCCTAATGGTTAAAGCGTTGGCTCGTCACGCCTAAGACCGGCGTTCGAATCCCCACTTGGGTACAATATGTGAAGCCCATTTCTGGTGTCCCCCGCCGTGATGTTGCTGGAATATTGCTAAAAGCGTCGTAAAACCAAACTCAATCAGTCTAAATGCGTCTTGCCGTAAAGGACCCGTGAAGATCCGGGTTAGAATTGGTCTTCACGTTATTCGTAAGAGGCGACTTACAGGATCGGGTTGTTAGGATCGCTGATTTGGCTGACACATGTCATCGAATCCCAATCGCGCAGATCGATGCTCATGATGTTGATCACTGGTACTCTGGTCCCGATTATTTACAGACCGCCGCCATATAGCTGGAATATTGCTAAGTCCGGCGTTAAACAACAAGCAAACAAATAGGGCTGTGTAATGGCAAATAAACTATATTGCGATTCAGGTACCCGTATTGCGATATAGGGCGGTGGGGTAGCCTAGTGGTTAAAGCGTTGGCTCGTCACGCCGAAGACCCGGGTTCGAATCCCCACATGGGTACAATGTGTGAAGCCCATTTCTGGTGTCCCCCGCCGTGATGTTGCTGGAATATTGCTAAGAGCGGCGTAAAACCAACCTCAATCAGTCAGTCAGTCAGTATTGCGATGTATTGGGAACTTGTAAATATTGTGTATATAAATGTACTATAGCCCTGTGGCCTTTTAAGTACCGAATAAAGATTGATTGATTGATTGATTGATTGATTGATTGATTGATTGATTGATTGATTGATATATTGGGGTTTAACGTGTGGTGGCAGAATTGATTGATTGATTGATTGGGAACTTATGGCAGACAGTGACACTCACTGTGCATGTCAATCCTATTTTCTACATTATATGTCCCTAAACATATGTTATGGTTCTGATAACAGCAATCGCAAAATTAGGTTGCATAGTTATGGCTTCTGTTTTCTTTTTCATGTAATTTCTAGTATTACAGAATGTCGTTATGTCATTGAATGACGAAAGGAATATTTGTTGTGAATGAAAGTATGTGTAGATTTTAATTTAGACCATAAACCATAAAAACTTCATATATGTTCTTTACCCAATAAATCGGTTCTCAGATAAAATATTGCAATACGTGTCGCTTGAATAGCGTATTGTGATATACCGGTATACCGATAATACCGTGCGGGCTACACACAAACAACTCTTACCGTAGAGCCATCCAATCGCGATGCACTCCGAGAAGGCGAAGACAGCAACTGATGGGAAATATGCGAACCATTCCACCAATGTCAGCATGTATATTCCACCCTGGAAAGATATGATCAAACGTTTTAGAAAGAATCGCACTCTTGCTCAAAAGTTTTCAGATCAAGGTTTGTTTGTTGTCTAACGACCGCCTCCGTGGTGTAGTGGTTAGAGTGTCCGCCCGGAGAGCGGAAGGTCGCGGCTTCGATCCCCGACCGCGTCATACCAAAAAGACGTTAAAATATGGTACTTGTTGGTCCCTGCCTGGCGCTCGGCATTAATGGGTACAACAAGGACTGGTCGGCTCGGAGTCAGTATAATGTGTCTGAGTGGGGTATTCATGCTTCACTGCGGTATGGTATCTCAGTGGGCTGGCACTATAAAACCAGCTTCAGTCTGGGCTAGTACAAGCAGCCGCACATACACATACACACGCATGCACGTCGTCATATGAGCGAAATATTCTCAAGCACGACGTAAAAACCCAATTTCACCTCACCTTGTTGTTTAACGCTAACCCTAACCCGCACCCGCAATATTCCAGCTATATGGCGGCGGTCTGTCAATAATTGAGTCTGGACCAGACAATCCAGTGATCAACAACATCAGCATCGATCTACGCGACTGGGATACAATGACATGTTCCAACCAAGTCAGCGAACACTAGTCGGTTAGTCGCCTCTTACGACAAGCATGGGTTGCCTAAGACCAGTTCTAACCCGGATCTTTACGGGTCTACGCAATTGAGATAGTTTGATCAAGGCTAGAACACTGAAGACAGGTCGAGAGTGTATCCACACTGACGCATCACTAACATGAATGATCTCTGGTGAAATCTCTTACTTTGTTTTTGCTCCCATGTTTGTATATGTTCTTCAGTCACCCCTGGACCGTTGTTGTCAGTAGCAACGACTGCTGGGAGGTGGTGTAATAGAGTGAGTGAGTTTAGTTTTACGCCGCTATTAGTTTTATTCCAGCAATATCACGGCGGGGGACACCAGAAATGGGCTTCACACATTGTACCCATGTGGGGAATCAAACCCGGTCTTAGGCGTGACGAGCGAACGCTTTAACCACTAGGCTACCCCACCGCCCCCAACCATGATTACTTAGTTTTGTTTGTGAGAGCAGATCGGGTCATTGACCATATATTGTATTGAAGAATATGTCATGATACCTGTAGAAGGTAGATAATGGCAAAGGGGAAACTGCTCAATAGGACCAGAGCTGTTATGAGCCACCGCCGCTTACGAAGACTTGGAAACACGTCTTCAAATGCTGATGATATGACTTCAACGGCTGGCAACTGTAAAAGGTAATGTTTTAGATCAGCATGAACAGTTCAGGTGCGTCAGAGGCCAGAGTGAGTGAGTGAGTTTAAGCTTTAGGGGGAGGGGTGTGTGTCAGAAATGGGGTTCACGAATTGTACCCATGTGGTCAGAGGCCAGACGTCAACAGAGGTAGAAGTGCTACCCAGTTTGTTCAACATCTTGTGTGTCAAAAACATTATTACTCGTTTTTAAGAAACGTGATGTATTGTTACCCAATTATATACTCATTAACACCATTTCTTCTTTTATATTTTACCTGACAATCTATTTCCAGCGTCATCAGCATGATGAATGTCAAGGTTGACCATAACTGTGGCAGGGGCAGATAAGTCAGGACTTGTGGATACACAATAAAAGCAAGGTTGAACCCTGAAAGAGACAATGACCAGGATATAATTGATGACGCCCCACCAAACATATCCTTATTGCTTGGGTGCCTTATCACAGGCAGAAATACACTGGATAACACGTAACGGGTCTATGCAACGAACGAATTTCCATCTGCACACGACACCAATGTTATAACTAACGGACAGGTATGCTGCATAAACATGGTGTCTCCCTTTCTCGCCCCCCCCCCCCCTCTGTCTCTCTCTCTGTCTCTCTCTGTCTCTTTCTCTCTCTCTCTCTTTCTCTCTCTGTCGACTAACGCGATCGGGTGGTCAGGCTCATTGGCCTGGTTGACACATGTCATCGGTTCCCAATTGCGCAGATCGATGCTCATGATGTTTATCACTGGTTTGTCTGGTCCAGACGCGATTATTTACAGACCGCCGCCATATAGCTGGAATATTGCTGAGTGTGGCGTAAAACTAAACTCACTCACTCATTCTTTCTCTCTCTCTCTCTCTCTTTCTCTCTCTCTACCTCTCTCTCTCTCTCTCGCTGTATCTAAAGGGGTTAACTAACCTGATGATGCAAAAGCCTCCACTGTCACACCGCGTTGGTAGGCCACGTGACCGATGATTGAAAAGAAGGAAAATCCCACCAAAATAGTAACAAGCAAATCCACGATACAAACACAAACTGCGTCTCTACAATGGAAATGAATAATTATTGACATTGTTATATAACTGGATGTAGGTAATTGGAAAGAATATTGTGAATGTGCGGCAGGTTTATGGCGTCACATATGTATGTGGCAGTTATCAATGAAGGTGTGTTCGTTTGTTGTTTAACGCCGCACTCAGCAATATTCCAGCCATATGGCGGAGATGTTGCAGTTGCAATTGAATACCACGTGACACATATCACTAAATGTAAAGATGTGATGTACATGTGATGTAGCAGAATATTGATGCTTCTTTTCTTTACAGCTGGGAGCGGTGGGGTAGCCTAGTGGTTAAAGCGTTCGCTCGTCACGTCGAACACCCGGGTTCGATTCCCCACATTGGTACAATGTGTGAAGAACTTTTCTGGTGTCCCCGCCGTGGTATTTCTGGAATATTGCAAAAGCGGCGTAAAACAAAACTCACTCACTGACTCTTTACAGTTGTGTTCCTCTGTGGTAGAATAAGCACCTACCTTAAACAGTTATTGTTGATCTTGTTGTATCTCGACATGGTTATATTAAATCCCATGCCCACATTCAAGGAAAATAATGCATAACTGCATGCCTCCACCCATATCTGGGGAAAAGAAATATGACAGCTAAAGAGACCCAGTCAGCATTTGACTATAAAATTATCGATTGATTGGGTTTTTCAAATTGATTTTTAACATCTTTAAGATTAGTATTAAAATTATTCCATGAATCTTAATAGGTTCTTTTGACAGGTGTAGGGTTTTTCCCTGTTAATGTTTCTTTGAAAACATTAATAAGTTTTGTCAAGCTTAACTCTAAGCCGTCTAATGTAAAGTTAGTATCGCATACTGAAATATACGGCTACTGTAATATACTCCATTCAAGTCTATTCCTTAAATCATTTTGTTTAGCTTTATCAAGATTGACAATAGTTTTGCACAGATAATGAAAAGATAAGGAGAGAGTCTATCCCCTTTCTGCTACCTCTGCCAAGGTAATAATAGCACTAAAGCTATTTTGATTTTACCCATATTTTGGGGTAAAAATTCTGTTTCTTCAGCAAAACCTTTCCATTCAAAGGCATTTTCAAAGTCGACAGTCACTAAACTGCCAGGTATTTGATTGACCTCATAGTAATTAATTACATCACAGAGAAATCTTGTATTTTCGCCAATGAGGCGATGCTTTAAAAAACCGGTTTGCGATTTTATAATCCATAATAAGTTTGCTGTATGTTTTAATGGTATCGGCAATCGTGGCCTTCTTTGAGTATACAGATAATTATACACTGTCTCTGAAATTCATTGTCGTATTTCACACATTTTTGCATAATGTAGCCACTTAAAACAAGCCGTATCTTGTAATAACACGTATTGGCAAGTTATTACACATTTTTGCATAATGAAGCCACTTAAAACAAGCCGTATCTTGTAATAACACGTATTGGCAAGTTATTACACATTTGTGCATAAAGTAGCCACTTAAAACAAGCCGTATCTTTTAATAACACGTATTGGCAAGTTATTACACATCTGTGTATAATGTAGCCACTTAAACAGGCTGTATCTTGTAATAACACGTATTGGCAAGTTATTACACATTTGTGTATAATGTAGCCACTTAAAACAAGCCGTAACTTTTAATAACACGTATTGGCAAGTTATTACACATCTGTGTATAATGTAGCCACTTAAACAGGCCGTATCTTGCAATAACACGTATTAGCAAGTTATTACACATTTGTGTATAATATAGCCACTTAAACAGGCTGTATCTTGTAATAACACGTATTGGCAAGTTATTACACATTTTTGCCTAATGTAGCCACTTAAACAGGCTGTATCTTGTAATAACACGTATTGGCAAGTATTACACATTTGTGTTTGTGTATAATGTAGCCACTTAAAACAAGCCGTATCTTGTAATAACACGTATTGGCAAGTTATTACACATTTTTGCCTAATGTAGCCACTTAAACAGGCTGTATCTTGTAATAACACGTATTGGCAAGTTATTACACATTTGTGTATAATGTAGCCACTTAAAACAAGCCGTATCTTGTAATAACACGTATTGGCAAGTTATTACACATTTTTGCATAATGTAGCCACTTAAACAGGCTGTATCTTGTAATAACAAGTATTGGCAAGTTATTACACATTTTTGCATAATGTAGCCATTTAAACAGGTCGTATCTTGTAATAACACGTATTGGCAAGTTATTACACATTTTGGTATTATGTAGCCACTTAAAACACAGGTATTGGCAAGCTATTACAGATTTGTGTATAATGTAGCCACTTAAAACAAGCCCTGTCTTGTTTTGACCAATATATTCTTCAGTTTACATTCTCGACTTGTATATCGCGTTGCCTGTCACACATACCGAGTTCTCGCTGAAACAATTAATGTAGTGATGCTTTAATATAAGGGCCCTGTCAGATGGATGTAGACGTGTGTTATTTAATTACTCCAACATAAATGACCATTGTTTAGCTTCGATAGGACACATTATCTGACTACACATGTTACATGTAGAACTTTGGATGACAGAGGCAACAGAGCTGGACCTACCCCTGGTTCTCTAAGTTTATCGAAGTTGGGTTTGATGAAGTAATGCATTCCTTCAGCGGATCCTGGTAGTAGACATCCCCTGATGAGGAAGACGACGATGAGGACCAACGGAACGCCCACCGTGACGTATACAAGCTGTGAAAAGCAGAAATGTCACCTTACGACTTCCTTGGAGCCTAAGATCAGTGGCTTGACACAATACAAAAATTAGATAAATCTACGCCTCATCAAATCAGACATATTATACATATATGACATACAAAAGTTGAAGTTTGTACAAACATGTTTGCCCTGTGTCTAAGTATGTTATAATGTGTAGAGTAAAGATCTTTGAATCAAGGCTAGGCTATGTTATGTTTATTCAGTAAAGGAGGCCACCAGGCCCTTTACACACATACGTGTCAGAAGGATTAAAAAAAAGTGACGGAATGGACATAGAGGTATAATTGTAAAGAGATGTGAACACTAGATCAGCAGGGTGCAAAATGTTTCATACGTTTTCTTCATAGCTAAAAATATATATTTAGCAAAGTTGTTTATAACAGTAAACTTATGAGACGTAAACAGTAGGGCTAGCCTGTTTTCAGAAGGGTATACATGATAAAAACGTGGTATGAGAGATGCTCTCAGATCCTGATAGAATGGACATTCAAGGCAAAAATGGTATTCAGATTCGATCATAGGAATAAAACACACTGTGTTGGGAAATTAGATGAATGTTAGGCAAAATTGATAGTCTCTAAATTTCATTTGGAACCGAACGCGTAGCGTGAGGTTTCAAATGATTAATTTAGAGACTATCAATTCTGCCTAACATTCATCTAAATTTCCCACACAATGCGTTTATATCCATTCTACCATAACCGATTTCAAATCGAACTCCTTCCTTCTGCGGAAGACACTGCGAAATCCGGTATGGTGCGAGAGGCGAATTGAACTCGTCTGTGAAGGGAGTGGAAGGTGCCGTTCGTATTTATTTAAACATTGCAACATATATAATATTCTGTCCAAAGAAAACTAACTACTGTTTATTCAATGCAATAATGTAATACCTAAGAGCTTGGTTTATATAAACCCAACTCCACACGACCGAAACCAGCCTATTGTTTTGCGTGCCGTGTTACTCTAACCCCCTGGCCACACTATTATGGAATCGTCTGATCTACTTATTTTTCTTGGAAGTGCAGTCTGTAGTTGTTGACAGTTACGCAACAGTTCGGTATGGCGGACAGCCAGTGTTTACATTTTGAGTGACAGTGGAAAATACTTGACTGACTGTCGAATCTGAACCCTGCAGAATCGAAGACTAGATCCTTTTCTGATCGACCTACGACCTGTAAAATTCAAAGATTTGTATGACCAGCGAGTGTGGATCATGATTTCACTTACATAGGCTGTAGGTGCCTCCACCCCGGCATGCGACAAAAGAGTGACAGTGCTGCTTTGTATGTGACTAACTTGGGAGTCCTTGGAACATTGTTTTCATCATTTGGGACTGGAATGTGGCCAAACTTTTTTCAAAGTGTACGAACATAGATCACCAGCAGTGACAGCCTTGTGGGGAAGCTGGCAGAGCGCAGAATTCTGGTGGTTCAATTTTTTACATGTATTTTGTTAACGATGCAACGGGACATGATGGAGTGTGAGTAGCATAGATTTTGTGTTTCGCCTGACCGTTATCTTGCGAATTTCCCATTCTTATGATTCTAAACGGAAACAAATATACCATTTACCAGGTAGGTAAATGTTCAGTAAGGATTTTCTGCACATTTTGTATAGATAGGGATGAAATTTACAAGGCTTTCTGATTTACATGTTAGATATTGTTTGTTTATGTTTGGGGCTGTGTATTGTAATTGAGTTTGAATATTTTTATTATGGAAGGTTATATGATAGTGAGGTTCCCTAATCATTGTGGAGGAAAAATCATATAATCATTGTATTTTTCGAGTTTTAATAAATGTTTCATCAGCATTTCCATCACGTCTGTTGTGTTGATATTAGCCATGTTGATGGCGAAGCTGGTGCGGCAGTGTTGTATACGTGCGCAGTGAAGCGGTCATGAAATCAGTCGAATTTTCAATCCAAAATTGATAGCGTCTAATTGTATTGATTGACCAATCAAAATCGAGCATTTCACGTAGCCATGGTAGAATTAGGAGATAAACGTACTGTGTTGGGAAATTAGATGAATGTTAGGCAGAATTGATAATCTCTAAATTTCATTTGGAACCGAACGCGTAGCGTGAGGTTTCAAATGATTAATTTAGAGACTATTAATTCTGCCTAACATTCATCTAAATTTCCCACACAATGCGTTTATATCCATTCTACCATAACCGATTTCAAATCGAACTCCTTCCTTCTGCGGAAGACACTGCGAAATCCGGCATGGTGCGAGAAGGCGAATTGAACTCGTCTGTGAAGGGAGTGGAAGGTGCCGTTCGTATTTATTTAAACATTGCAACATATATAATATTCTGTCCAAAAGAAAACTAACTACTGTTTATTCAATACAATAATGTAACACCTAAGAGCTTGGTTTTTATAATCATAACTCCACACGACCGAAACCAGCCTATTGTTTTGTGTGCACTATAATGGAATCGTCTGACCTACTTATTTTCTTGGAAGTAGACAGTTACGCAACAGTTTGAAATGGCGGACGAGCCAGTGTTTACATTTTGCGAAAGGTTGAAATTCGAAGTGACAGTGGAAACTACTTGACTGACTGTCGAACCTGAACCCTGCAGAATCGAAGAATACATCCTTTTCTGACCGACCTATGACCTGTAACTCATCAAAGACTGTTGATTTTTATTACCGGCGAGTGTCGATCATGATTTCACGTACCTGCCTCCACCCCGGCATGCGACAAAAGAGTGACAGTGCTGCTTTGTGTACATGCGAATAACTTGGGAGTCCTTGGAACATTGTTTTCATCATTTGGGACTGGATTGTGGCCAAACTTTTTTCAAAGTGTACGAACATAGATCACCAGCAGTGACAGCCTTGCGGGAAAGGTGGCAGAGAGCGGAATTCTGGTGGTTCAATTTTTGACATTTTGAACGATGCAACGGGTCATGATGGAGTATGAGTGGCGTTCGGCTTCAAATGAAATTTAGAGACTATCAATTCGGTCTAACATTCATCTAATTTCAAAACACAGTACGTTTATCTCCTAATTATTAACACTGAGTCGATTGGAAAGCATTGCCATTCGGTTACAGTTTCTTGGATGGTTTTGGGGAGCTTGTACTGACTTACAAAACTATCTTGATAATTTCAACTCATTTAAAACTTGATGAGGTGGATTTCTGTGCAAATCACAACAAATGATTTGTATTTCTGCGAAGCGAAAATATACGGAAGCGTAGTAGTGCCAAAACATTTGGTCTCACTCTCTCCAAAGTAGGGCCTAAGACATAGTTTCGCCTACGTAGGAGTATTAAGTCCTACGTAGGACATAGTATCTAATCCGTAGGAGATAATAAGACTAAAAATCACTGTGGCCCTACTACGCTTCCGCATGAATACCAGCGTGATTTTATTATCAAAGTAACTACAAATGACCTGCCTTTGCATGTGTTTGTGACGAGAATCGCCGGATAAGCAGGGCAGCTTACTGTGTCGGGGAAGTTGGTTACATCCCTATTTGATAGTGATTCCTACACATGGTAAAGTACAGTTGGCTTTTAATGATATTTCTTAAGAATATGTAAAGAGTGAGTGAGTTTACTGTTACGCCGCACTCAGCAATATTCCAGCTATATGGAGGCTCTCTGAAAATAATCGAGAATAATAATCCAGAGATTGACATGGGCATCAATCTACGTTATTGGGATGCGGTGACATGTGTCAACCAAGTCAGCGAGCCTGACCACCCGATCCCGTTAGTCGCCTCTTACGACAAGCATAGGTTACTGAAGATCAATTCTAACCCGGATCGTCACGGGTCGAAAATGTATGGGAGTCATTCCCAAAACGTACAAGAATCTGTACTTTACTGAGAAAGTGTAATCCCAACTATAAAACGGGTCACATTTGAACACCCTCCAATGTTTCATTGTGTATTCAATACGGGTTGGGTTTCGTCCCTTCTGTTTACCTTTCCAGTCACCCTGATTCCTCGACACTGGCATACAAACACAATCAAGTATGTGATGGCCAGACACAGGACCAGAGGCCACCTGACGCCACCCATGTCTTCTAAACCATCAGTCAACTGTAACACCTGCAATCTGAGAGTACACCACTGTCAGTGAGTGAGTAAGTAAGTGAGTGAATGAGTGAGTGAGTGAGTGAGTGAGTGGTTGTGGGTGTGGGTGTGGGTGACTGGGTGGGTGAGTGTTGGTGTCGGTGTGTGTAGGCAGATGGATGCGTGGATAAGTGAAATGGATGCGTGGATATGTGAAATGGATGCGTGGATAAGTGAAATGGATGCGTGGATAAGTGAAACAGTATTGGAATGTGGGCCCCCACCCTACCCCCACCCCCACCCCACCCCACCCCCTATCGCTATGTCTAATCTCACTAGCTACAGCTGCAGAGCTACATGCTTTTTTACAATTAAGCTACAAAAATATTTCCCTTCTCAATCTTTACATCACTCACTCTTCTCACACTCACTCTCTTCTCACACTCTCTCCATCCTCTCAACTACAGCTGTGAAACGACCTATTCTACATATATATTTATTTATCATCCAAAACTGTGTTCCACAGGAGATATCGCTTGTGTGAGATATCGTCTTGACAGTAGATTTTATACAATGCCCTGACAATGCTATGACGTCATCAACTTGATGACGTCGCAATGCTATGACATCAACACTCGTTGATAAAGGGAAAAATATCCTCGGCAAGCCTCGGATATTTGTAACTTTATCAACTCGTGTTGATATAATTGATATCAGTAGACCCTTGGGTGGGGTTCTCTATATATTCTTTGTTTGTAAGACGATTTGGTGTTTTTTCAACTTTTTCTGGCACAAGTATTTTTGTAAACATTTCCTGGATCAATTTTTTTCCCTATGAGTCCAGATTCGTGACATACCTCCAGAATTCCTCTGCCGCTGTCCTACAAGAATGCGCTCCGTCGGTGAGGTTTACAGGATGGCTATAGGCAGTGCAGTTTCTTACTTCCGAGTGGTTCGCGTAAGACACGTTGATGCCGCTGTCGGATACACAGGAGGGGGTGTTCCAGTCGTTGTTGCAGTGGGCCCAAGGCAGGGTGGAGAAAAAGGAGTTGTAGAAGAAGTAGGCAAACCAGGAAAATATGGCGTTGTAAAGTGTAAAGACGATCCATAGTAGAACCAAGATACCAACACCAATTCCTGAAGAAAAAATACGCAAGGTTACCCCATTAACATATATATATATGCCACTCAAGAGATGTTAAGGAACATCCGATTCTTTTACCTTATTATAGTTAATCGGTCGTACAAATAGGGTGTTCTTAACTTCTTTTGAGTAGTATCCTTCACTACCACACGAGCGTGTTTGCAAGTTAATTAAAACGCTAATACAAGTCAAGATTAATCAACCTTTAGTCTGAGGTGTTTGAACATCTGGTCACAAAGAACGTTCGATTCTCTCATGACAGTTTGATTGTCAGGTCACGGCAGATTAACTGTCCAATGCAAGTTAGGTGTTCCGTAACTTTCTCTGAGCTGTATACATTAGCAATTCCATTTGTATGTAAGAAAATTGAAAATCTTATGAAAACTATTGTGGAATTGTGTTTGAAGATCATGCACATCTGATCACATTTGCACGTCAGTATGATTGAATTTTATGTATGTGTGAGTGAGTTTAGTTTTACGCCGCACTCAGCAATATTCAAGCTATGTGGCTGTTTTCAGGTACGAGAAAACTACAGAAAAAGTGAAGAATAATTAAAATGTTTTTGTAAATCTCGATTGAACGCAATACATACTTCAGAAACAATTCCGAAATGTGTTGCAACCAAAGGATGTCGAAACTTTTAGCCTCCAAACCAAAGGATGTTGAAACTTGTATCCTCAAAACCAAAGGATGTTGAAACTTTTAGCCTCCAATTACCTTTGAAAGGTGGACACACATTCCAGACGTTGACTGGTCCACTCTGAGAGAACTGACCAATGACCATGTCCAGGAAGACACAGGGGATGACGGCGATTATGGTGAATAGGGCGAATGGTATCAGAAATGCTCCTAGATGATAAGATCATATACAGTGGTGGATATTATATTTCTAAAAACAACCTCTCACATAATATTTTCGATATTCCTTACTTCTTGTATTGTTTGCTGTTTAACGCCGCGCTTTATGACGGTAGTCTATCAATAATCGAGTCTAAACCAGACAATCCAGTCATCAACAACTATAGTCCGTTTGGCTCAAGATCGGACCGATGAATTGCAATCTAACTCGAAAACTAATCAACACATAATACTTAATGAACGCCGATCATAACAAAAACATCATACCAACTCTGTGAGGTTTTTGCAGAATTTTTGTCCCCAAAATAAAAAAGTTGTTTAACAATCTATCATTAAAAAATTGACACAGTTCACTTTTTGTTACGAGGGAGGAGTGCAGAGAAAGGGACAGCCAGGTGTTCGAGAACGGATGGAGACGGCACAGCACAGGTTAATGAATAAATAACTTTGTCTGTGAACGTGCTTCTCGAACACCTGGCTGTCCCTTTCTGTATGGCACAGTCTCAAAGCATTTATGTATGATGTTTCGATTATGATCAGCGTTTCATTGAGTATTTTATGTTTATTAGTTTTCGAGTTAGATTGCAATTCATCGGTCCGCTTTTGAGCCAAACGGATTATACACAGTTGTGATACGATGACATGTCAACCAAGTTTAAGAGCCTGACCACCCCTATAGTCGCCTCTTACGACAAACGTGGGTTGCTGAAGACCAATTCAAACCCGGATCTCCTGATTACTAATTAATAGGACCAGGATTGAATGAAATTCAATCGTAAACGCACAGTAAAGCATGTTAATATATGCTATAATTATGTACAAGGAAATTGACAAAACATGGGCGCAATAATATCAAATGATATATAAGTTTGATATTCGTTTGATCAGCATTAGTATCGTGATCCATGTGTTATATATGCATTGAGACTGTGATATACATAAATACTTTGAGAGTGTGACATACATATGTGTTTTGAGACTGTAATGAACATGGATGCTTTGAGACTGTGACATACATAAATGCTTGAGACTGCGATATGTGTAAATGCTTTGAGAATGTAATACACATAAATGGTTTGAGACTAAGACATACATAAATACGTTGAGACAGGGACATACACAAATACTTTGAGACTGTGATATGCTTAAATACTCTGAGAGTGTGACATACATATGTGTTTTGAGAGTGTGACATACATAAATGTTTTAAGACTGTAATACACATTAATGCTTTGAGACTGTGACATACATAAATGGTTTGAGACTGTGATGTACAAAAATACTTTGAGACTGTGACATACATAAATGCTTTGAGACTGTGATGTACATAAATGCTTTGAGACTGTGATATACATAAATACTTTGAGACTGTGACATACATAAATACTCTGAGAGTGTGATATACAAAAATACTTTGAGACTGTGACATACATAAATGCTTTGAGATTGTGACATACATAAATGCTTTGAGATTGTGATATACATAAATACTTTGAGATTGTGATATACATAAATACTTTGAGACTGTGACATACATAAATACTCTGAGAGTGTGATATACATAAATACTTTGAGACTGTGACATACATAAATGCTTTGAGATTGTGATATACATAAATACTTTGAGATTGTGATATACATAAATACTTTGAGACTGTGACATACATAAATACTCTGAGAGTGTGATATACATAAATACTTTGAGACTGTGACATACATAAATGCTTTGAGATTGTGATATACATAAATACTTCTGAGAGTGTGATATACAAAAATACTTTGAGACTGTGACATACATAAATGCTTTGAGATTGTGATATACATAAATGCTTTGAGACTTGTGATAAATGCTATACATAATATACTTTTTGAGACTGTGACATACATAAATGCTTTGAGATTGTGATATACATAAATACTTTGAGAGTGTGATATACAAAAATACTTTGAGACTGTGACATACATAAATGCTTTGAGATTGTGATATACATAAATACTTTGAGACTGTGATATACATAAATGCTTTGAGACTGTGATTGTGATATACATAAATGCTTTGAGACTGTGATATACATAAATGCTTTGAGACTGTGATATACATAAATGCTTTGCGATTGTGATATACATAAATACTTTGAGACTGTGATATACAAAAATACTTTGAGACTGTGACATACATAAATACTCTGAGAGTGTGATATACAAAAATACTTTGAGACTGTGATATACATAAATGCTTTGAGATTGTGATATACATAAATACTTTGAGACTGTGATATACAAAAATACTTTGAGACTGTGACATACATAAATGCTTTGAGATTGTGATATACAAAAATACTTTGAGACTGTGACATACATAAATGCTTTGAGATTGTGATATACATAAATACTTTGAGACTGTGATATACAAAAATACTTTGAGACTGTGACATACATAAATACTTTGAGAGTGTGATATACAAAAATACTTTGAGACTGTGATATACATAAATGCTTTGAGATTGTGATATACATAAATACTTTGAGACTGTGATATACAAAAATACTTTGAGATTGTGACATACATAAATGCTTTGAGATTGTGATATACAAAAATACTTTGAGACTGTGACATACATAAATGCTTTGAGATTGTGATATACATAAATACTTTGAGACTGTGATATACAAAAATACTTTGAGACTGTGACATACATAAATGCTTTGAGATTGTGATATACAAAATGCTTTGAGACTGTGACATACATAAATGCTTTGAGATTGTGATATACATAAATACTTTGAGACTGTGATATACAAAAATACTTTGAGACTGTGATATACATAAATGCTTTGAGATTGTGATATACATAAATACTTTGAGACTGTGATATACAAAAATACTTTGAGACTGTGACATACATAAATGCTTTGAGATTGTGATATACAAAAATACTTTGAGACTGTGACATACATAAATGCTTTGAGATTGTGATATACATAAATACTTTGAGACTGTGACATACATAAATGCTTTGAGATTGTGATATACATAAATACTTTGAGACTGTGATATACAAAAATACTTTGAGACTGTGACATACATAAATGCTTTGAGATTGTGATATACATAAATACTTTGAGACTGTGATATACATAAATACTTTGAGACTGTGATATACAAAAATACTTTGAGATTGTGATATACAAAAATACTTTGAGACTGTGACATACATAAATGCTTTGAGATTGTGATATACATAAATACTTTGAGACTGTGATATACAAAAATACTTTGAGACTGTGACATACATAAATGCTTTGAGATTGTGATATACATAAATACTTTGAGACTGTGATATACAAAAATACTTTGAGACTGTGACATACATAAATGCTTTGAGACTGTGATATACAAAAATACTTTGAGACTGTGATACACATAAATGCTTTGAGATTGTGATATACATAAATACTTTGAGACTGTGACATACATAAATGCTTTGAGATTGTGATATACATAAATACTTTGAGACTGTGATATACAAAAATACTTTGAGACTGTGACATACATAAATGCTTTGAGATTGTGATATACATAAATACTTTGACACTGTGATATACATAAATACTTTGAGACTGTGATATACCAAAATACTTTGAGATTGTGATATACAAAAATACTTTGAGACTGTGACATACATAAATGCTTTGAGATTGTGATATACATAAATACTTTGAGACTGTGATATACAAAAATACTTTGAGACTGTGACATACATAAATGCTTTGAGATTGTGATATACATAAATACTTTGAGACTGTGATATAGAAAAATACTTTGAGACTGTGACATACATAAATACTTTGAGACTGACATACAGAAATACTTTGAGACTGTGACATACAAAAATACTTTGAGACTGTGAAATACATAAATGCTTTGAGATTGTGATATACATAATTGCTTTGAGACTGTGATATACTGTGACCCTGAACAAATTTCCATATAGACCGCCCACCCGGTGAATACATTTTTCCAAGGGCCAATCAATACCTTATACCCCGCTACATAAACAATGATGCATCCGCGTCAGTCGGTGCGTGTCACGTCATGACACCCCTTAACCAGTTTGTTTGGAGTTTGACCAGGGTTCGTTGTTATGACTAAAAGATTTTGGTGCATTTCTGTTTGTTCTTATTGATGATAGCTTGAACCATTCGGTAAGATAAATGCGTCATCACATTCGTGGAGGTTTGACTTTGGGAATTATCAGACCCTTGTCCGTCTCGTTGGATAAAACCTAACGCAGGTTTGATAATTCCCAACGTCAAACCTCCGCTGAATGTGATAACTTTTAATGTTTTGAAGCTGTGATGTACATTAACAGTTTTAGACTGTGACATACACAAATGTTTTGAAATTGCGAAAGACATAAAGGCTTTGCGATTGTTAGACATACCTCCACCATTCCGCATACATAAATACGGAAACTTGATAAATGCCCCTGATCCTATACTGGAACCCAGCAGAGTGATGATGTAGTCCAAATGATGCCGCCATTTTTCTCCCGCCATGCCTGTAGAGCCAGTTCCAGTTTAAACTTCGACAGCAAACAATGTTGCACTACAACATTAATGATAGAACGTATTCAAATGATGCCAGTACTTTATTCGACAGCTGTTTATTTGATGTAATTCATGTATATGCGCATTTAAATGGTCTGTATGTAATTGCATGTTCTGTGCAGCAGTTACCGCACTCTACCGCACTTTATTGTTTAATTTTTATTTTTTTTTCCATTATATTAAGTAAGTGTGTGTGTGTGTCTCCATTTTATGCATGTGTTAAAGCATATTACGCGCCGGGGATTAATTCATTTATGATTATGTACATGTATGCCTGTAAATATATAATGGTAATATACTGAGGGAAACAAATAAAGGATCACAAGAAAAAACAAGCATTCGTCTATTATTTTCCAGTTTTCATCACCACAGCGCTATTCAAAGCTGGTGAGGAAAACTGGAAATTAATAAAGTAACACTTGAATTTTCCTGGGATCCTTTATTTGTTTCTTTCAGTATATGATAGGATATTTGTACCGCGCATATCTCCATGCCTAAGCATGCTCAAAGCACACAAAATATAATGCCATTAAGGCAAAGAGTTAGAGTTGGAAGGCTGTCTTGAACATGTGTGTTTTTAGATTGGATCTAAAGGTTTGAAAGTCACAGCAGTCTCTGAGGCTCTGCGGGAGGATGTTCTTAGCCAGTGACCCTGCATGGACAAAGGACCTGCTTACATACTGCACTGTCGTTACTTTTGAGACAACAAGCAGGTTCGGGAGGGCGTGTACACAGTTAGAAGATTAGATAGATAAGAAGGTGCAGTTCCAGTGAGACAGCGGAAAACGAGACTTAAGAGTTTAAACTTGATCCGAAACTCGACTGGGAACCAGTCGAGAGTGTACTGTATAGGAGTATTGTGGCGGGAAGTTAAGTAGGCCTTGAGTCAACAAAGAGCGGTGCCATCAATGGAAAAATGACACAAAATCTGAGACAATGAATGAGCCTGTCATTATCAATCGTATATTCAATCTAAAGACCTTGAGCATGGACTGCATCCAGGGCTGTTTAGATTGGAGAGATGTCTCTTCAAGTACAGAAGTCCATCAGTGAGTCAACAACACTTTATTCGTGATATGTATAACTACATGGTATTATAGCTAAGTGGCATATTGGAAGGCGATCGTCAGCCAACCCAGTCCAGACCAAAACAGAACATTCTCTATTTATCCCTAAGGCCGAGTCCTGGTCATTTGCGGCCGATATTTCTTGTCTTGTTCGCCTGCAGTTTCCCACACCTCATCCTGCTTCAGTGGCCAACCGGCCATTATCTGCAAATGACCGCAAACAGACAGTAGTTAAGCACTCCCCTGACATATCTCACGATTTATCGAGTCCCGATCTTAACCCGTTGGAGCATACCTGGGACACGATTGGTCGTCGTGTGCAACAAAGGGATCCTCCTGTACAGAACCTGTCCCAATTGGAAACTGATTTACACGAGGAATGGTGCAGACGACCCCTTCACAGGATCAGGAGACTGACAGGGTGTATGAGGAGGAGAGTGCTGGCTGCCATGCAGTCACATGGAGGCTACACTCGGTATGGACCCTGAATCCAGTAAGACACGCTTGTGAGCTACTAAGCGGGACTACGCCCAAACGACCCAACATGGTCAAACATAGTCCCCAATCCAAGCTATATATCTCCCCCAAAATGGTCCCCAAACCAATCTATATATGTCCCCGGACCAAGCTATATATGTCCTCAAACCATGGTCCCCAGACCAAGCTATATATGACCCCAAACCATGGTCCCCAGACCAAGCTTTATATACTCTCCCAAAAAAGAAACGCATATAGGAATTTCAACTGTATTTTTATGTTTATTTTGAAACATCTTGTAGGCTTTATGAGTCAATGAAATATAACGAAATTGCACACTGGGAATGCAGACTTATACGTCCTTGGCACCAACTCGAGGAAAGTCAGTTTGAGTGTCAAATGGAGACGTGTGGTGGCGCTGAAGTCAATACCTCGTGTGACCACCGTGGGCATCCAGAACTGCACGGCATCGAACGAATAAGTCTCAGAATCTCGTGTTGCCCAATCGCAGCCCACTCTGCCTGTAGTGTCTGTGCGAGTTGCTGAAGTGTGTGGGGCTGAGGGTTACGGCGTCGCACCCGTCTGTCCAGGGCATCCCACAGATGTTCGATCGGGTTTAAGTCCGGTGATCTTGAGGGCCAGGGGAGCACATTGATGTTGTGGTTCTGGAGGAAGTCTCTAGTGTGACGTGCTGTGTGGGGCCTGGCATTGTCCTGTTGAGACAACTCCCTCTGGCGATCAATGATTGGAAGGAGGTGTGGGCGTAGGATTTCGTCACAGTACCGTTGAGCTGTCAGGTTGCCCTGGATCATCACCAAATGACTTCTTCTACAGCAGGTGAACGCCTCCCACATCATAACACTTCCCCGGCCGAATCTGTCCACCTGGGGAACGCAAGCGTCGGCGAAACGTTCACGTCGACGTCTGTACACCCGCATTCTTCCATCGCATCGTTCCAATAGAAATCGTGATTCACTACTGAACCAGATTCTACGCCAATTTGCTAGGTTCCAGGCCTGAACGTTGGTGCACCATTGAACTCGATGTGGACGATGTTGTTGTCGAAGCACAGGGCCAAAATGAGGTCTTCTGGCACGTAAACCAGCCTCTCTCAAACTGTTCCTGACGGTCTGTGCAGAAAGCCTCCTCAATCCGGGTATTTGTGGAGCGATACTGGTCACCGTAGCTGTTCTATGACGCAAGTGATGTACCCGGATGTAGCGATCCTGCGCCGCAGTGGTTGCTCGAGGTCGCCCACTACGAGGGGCATCTGCGACCGCATTTTGCGGGCGATATCTCTCCCAGAGTCGTGAAATGGTGCTTTGGTGAACATTCATGCGTCGGGCAACTGCACGTTGAGACCGGCGGGCTTCAAGCAAACCAATGGCGATATGACGGTTGGCTTCACCTAGACGTGGCATTTTGCGTTCGTCAACAATATTCCAAATACAGTGAATAATCGACAGACAGCGATCAACCTTTTATACCCATCATTGAGACTATCTGATCCCCAACTTTCACGTGCATTGCATGTGAATTGTGTATTCTGTAACACTACACGCCGAAATTGAAAATCTTGCTGTTAAATACGGGTATTTTACGGATGGTGCGTTTTGTTGTGATGTTTTAAAACATAAACACCAAAGGACTCATAAACAGAGCAAAACCTTTTGTAAAATGAATCACGTGTTAATTCATTGCTACATGAAATTGCTATTTTCATGATGCGTTTTTAAGAGAGTATATGTCCCCGGACCAAGCTATATATGTCCCCAGACCAAGCTATACATGACCCCAAACCATGGTCCCGAGACCAAGCTATATATGTCCCCAAACCATGGGGTGTGCTCTAGGATGACCTAGATTATTATTATTTATTATTATAGGATATTTATATAGTGCACATATCCACGCACTAGTGCATGCTCAAGGCGCTGGATCGGTGGGGTGAACAAGAACAGTGGCATCAAATGTAATGCAACAGAAAGTTGGTGGAATTTACTGAATACATGACGCAGCTTGTCACAACATTTTACCCCTACAATGCCGCCTAGCCCATCTGCCCTTGAGGCTTGTCATTCTGGCAAAACAGTTGCTTGACAGGTCATGTTTTGATCATGATGTGAGAGTTTGAAGTTATCCTGTCAAAATAATGTCGCCGCTCGGTGGTGGAATCGAGAGTGTCGAATATACGATATTAAAAGTTGAATTCCTCGAGAACTGGTGACAACCAATCGTCATTTTTACACATTCCTGATTGTCACTTTGCCCGGTCTCTTATTTGGCTCTTAACTTGCTTGGCTGGAAAATAACGATTACTTAAAATATGTAGCCAAGATGTGGTCCATACAGTTTAACAATAACAAAATATTTGTCCTAAAAGATGCGGTACACAGTGTTAGGGTGGAGGGACTCACTGTTTGGTATCATAGAGGGACCATTGTGATTGTTTCGAGAACAACTTTCTGAAGGATATACTGATTGTTGTTGTTTGCTGAACGAACGAAAGAACGAACAAACAAATAAATAAATAAATAGATAAATGTAATTGATCAAACCTATTGAAAGAAAGCTTTAACGAAGACTTACCTTAAACAGATTTCACTTGCGTGGCTTTGCCCGACATTTGAGCATGAGTGTCCTGGCTATGCACCAGAGCAAAATGACAGTGAAAAGTCATTGCGGAAAATTCCGCACAGCTGAAAACGTGTGGTAAAAAATCTCTTTATTTATATGTTTGTGTTTGGTTTCTGGACCGGTATGTGCAATGACGCCAAGCTCGCAGGATATCATCAAAATATTTTAGGAGGTTTTTCATGACATTGTCAGTACATTTCGTTGTCCAAGTTTTACCATGTTAAGAAAGAGTCAATAACGTTTAGGCAAATTGTAGGTACAAAAAAGTGAGTGCGTGAGTTAGGTTTAACGCCTCTTTGGGCGGTATTCCAGTATTCCAGTATGGTCAGGTTAATGTGGGAGGAATGTCCGAAGTAATGCAGATTTTATACATTCACCTATTTGCTGAGTTCGGGTATGTTGCGGACAAACCTAGAGACATGATCAAGGCGAATCGGGGTTCGAACAAACAACCAACCCTGAAAATCCAGATGGCACCAGCCTCCGATTTCTCGAAACAAACTTTTTACTCAAATTTCAAACTGAGTTCGACAATTTGAAACTCAATTTTAACTCAACTGCATTTTTAAAATAAAAAAGCCCAAAGAACTTAGGTAATCCATCCACCAAATACAAATTGTTTACTATGTTTGAGTTTAATATCGATTTCAGTTTATTCTGGGAAATGCATTTTCCTGCATTGTCTCAAATTTGACTAAAAACTCTAACTGAAGTCAAAACTCAGACTTAAGTTTGTTTCGAGATATCGGGGCCAGTTGTTTGGTAAGCATGCCCCGCTTAATGAAAATTGATAGTGGTTCAGAGAATCCAGTGATCA